CAGGCCCGAAATGAATGCACATATGAAACTACAAAAGTAGATACACATGCCCACACATCCGGATACGGGTGTAACCTGAGGAAACGAAGTTGGAGGGGAAAAAAACGACACACGAAGTCCACAACAAGAGCCAACCTACACATTGTAGTATAAAATGGCTATACGACCTCGAATTTTCAAGGAGACGGCTAACCACCACCACGCGGCCGGTTATAGCCACTTGCTGTGGTACTTCAAGCCCAAAGGATCTACAAAGAGAATATGATCATGCGGAGAAAGGTATATAACAACAAGTAGGAAAATAATGGTCAAAATCCGCAAAAAGGAGGAAAGTGGATTCGAGCAGAAAATAGGATAGGTAACCCGAGCGATACGTATTTCTGCTGGTTGGCTTCATCAGGCCCGAAATGAATGCACATATGAAACTACAAAAGTAGATACACATGCCCACACATCCGGATACGGGTGTAACCTTTGGGCTTAAAGTACCACAGCAAGTGGCTATAACCGGCCGCGTGGTGGTGGTTAGACGTCTCCTTGAAAATTTGAGGTCGTATAGCCATTTTATACTACAATGTGTAGGTTGGCTCTTGTTGTGGACTTCGTGTGTCGTTTTTTTCCCCCTCCAACTTCGTTTCCTCAGGTTACACCCGTATCCGGATGTGTGGGCATGTGTATCTACTTTTGTAGTTTCATATGTGCATTCATTTCGGGCCTGATGAAGCCAACCAGCAGAAATACGTATCGCTCGGGTTACCTATCCTATTTTCTGCTCGAATCCACTTTCCTCCTTTTTGCTGATTTTGCCCATTATTTTCCTACTTTTTGTTATATACCTTTCTCCGCATGATCATTTTCTCTTTGTAGATCCTTTGGGCGTGAAGTACCACAGCAAGTGGCTATAACCGGCCGCGTGGTTGTGGTTAGATGTCTCCTTGAAAATTCGACGTCTTCTAGCCATTTTATACTACAATGTGTAGGTTGGCTCTTGTTGTGGACTTCGTGTGTCGTTTTTTTCCCCCTCCAACTTCGTTTCCTCAGGTTACACCCGTATCCGGATGTGTGGGCATGTGTATCTACTTTTGTAGTTTCATATGTGCATTCATTTCGGGCCTGATGAAGCCAACCAGCAGAAATACGTATCGCTCGGGTTACCTATCCTATTTTCTGCTCGAATCCACTTTCCTCCTTTTTGCTGATTTTGCCCATTATTTTCCTACTTTTTGTTATATACCTTTCTCCGCATGATCATTTTCTCTTTGTAGATCCTTTGGGCGTGAAGTACCACAGCAAGTGGCTATAACCGGCCGCGTGGTTGTGGTTAGATGTCTCCTTGAAAATTCGACGTCTTCTAGCCATTTTATACTACAATGTGTAGGTTGGCTCTTGTTGTGGACTTCGTGTGTCGTTTTTTTCCCGCTCCAACTTCGTTTCCTCAGGTTACAGCCGTATCCGGATGTGTGGGCATGTGTATCTACTTTTGTAGTTTCATATGTGCATTCATTTCGGGCCTGATGAAGCCAACCAGCAGAAATACGTATCGCTCGGGTTACCTATCCTATTTTCTGCTCGAATCCACGTTCCTCCTTTTTGCAGATTTTGCCCATTATTTTCCTACTTGTTGTTATATACCTTTCTCCGCATGATCATATTCTCTCTCTCTCTCTCTCTCTCTCTCTCTCTATATATATATATATATATATATATATGTTGTACCCATTATCTATAGCACTAGTTCGGGGGGGTGAGTCTCCCCCGGACTCCGTTTCCATGCCTCTACACTTTTATGCGTTGCCCTTTTTTCTTTTTTGTGATAGGTAGTACACAAAGAGGGTTACTAACACACAGAAATTGATGTATTTTTACCACACCACTTGGTTGTTTGTCTGCTCTAGGTTTGCCTTTCGTATACGGTTTTTCTGGTTTTGCACGACACACGTTCCACGGCGTTCGAAACCAGAATCCTTCAAATCATTTAATCTTCTACTTATAGTTTTCATAGAAACACTGACAATTCCTTCTGTCTCTATTTCGGCTTTTGTTTGTCTTGGGGTTTTAAACGAATCTTGGGACGAAATTACTTTTATTAATCTAACTGATCTAGCATTTAGTTTTCTAGGCCTACCACTTCTCTTAGAGGCTTCCAATTTGTTCAATATTGCCCAAACTCCTTTACGTTTCAGCTTAAAATTTTTGGCAATGTCAAGACTTGACATTGACCATCTTTGTATAACTCAATGATCTTAGACTTCACATCGAAAGAAATTTCTGGACCATGCAGCACGGTCTTAAAATCACTCAACTTATTCCACAATACTTGATGAACACAAACTAATCCTCTTCGGACCGAAACTGTACTAAACTAATGTTGAAAAGAATTTGTCTACATATTTTTGTCCCTCATAAAAAAGTGCTTATATTCAGACTTGTATTGTGTTCATTGCAGATAATGTAAAAACAAGGAATTTACTTTTTTCTACTGATAACGCATTTGTTTATGGAGCAATGAAGTATGAATTCGTTTTCTAAAGGTATTTAGGTAAATATTCATATTTGTCTATATACTTTTGTCCAGTACTGTATATGGTGTCCCAACGAAAATCGAAAGTAGTTTTATGAGCAAACTGGAAAATATATTAAAAACCTGTTTTTTGTGGCAATATTGATATGTCACTAATGCATAGTTTAAAATTATTTTAATATATACAGAGGGCATCCTATATATTTTATTGCATGTTTGAATAGAGGTTGTAAATCATATAAAATATGGTTTTGACTCCCATTTGTATAGATATTTTGTCAGACATCTGAAAAAATGCCCAGCTTTGTCAGCTCCCAGCTCTGCCATTTTTTAAGATATTTAGATAAATCTTAGCTCACAGAAATTTTTATCATCGATTTGAAGCTGATCTGGAAAAAGTTCAGTCACGCAAAATCTGTAAGAAATACTAAATATCAAGCAACAGTAGGACGGCCAGCACACACTGGGAGTTGGCAAGAGAAAGATTGGGAAAAAATGCCCATTGTATCGCTTGCTGTTGGATAATAATAATAAAAATAATAATATGCTCTTGTGTATAAGAGTTCATTTTACCAAATGCGTTTAAAACATGAATGACAAACATTATTACAGGAACAAAACTTCATAAATATAAATGACAGTTACACTGACACAAAAAATACAGTAATGGACAAAAGTATATAGACAAATATGAATATTTACCTAAATACCTTTATAAAACGAATTCATGCTTCATTGCTCCATAAACAAATGCGTTATTAGTAGAAAAACTAAATTCCTTGTTTTTACATTATCTGCAATGAACACAATACAAGTCTGAATATAAGCACTTTTTTATGAGTTACAAAAATATGTAGACAAATTCTTTTCAACATTAGTTTAGTACAGTTTCGTGTCAGAAGAGGATTAGTTTGTGTTTATCAAGTATTGTGGAATAAGTTGAGTGATTTTATGACCATGCTGCGTGGTCCAAAAATTTCCTTCGATGTGGAAACTAAGACCATTGAGTTATACAAAGATGGTCAACGTCAAGTCAACATTGCCAAAATTTGAAGCTGAAGCTTAAAGCAGTTTGGGCAAAATTGAACAAATATTAACAAAAAGGTATCTTGGAAGCCTCTAAGAGAAGTGGTCGGCCTAGAAAACTAAATGCTTGATCAGTTATATTAATAAAAGTAATTTCGTCCAAAGATCCGTTTAAAATCCCAAGACAAATAAAAACCAAAATTGGGACAAACGGAATTGTCAGTGTCTCTACGAAAACTATAACTAGAAGAATAAATGATTTGAGGTTATTTGCACGTCGCCCGAGTAAGAAGCCGCTAATCTCGAAGAAAAACCGTAAGGAGCGATTACAATTTGCACGATTGCATCTTGATTGGAGCATCTGTGACTGGAAGAGGCTATGTTTCAGTGACGAATCCAAGTACAATATGTTAGGATCAGATATTGTTCATTACGTTAGACGTCTTAGTGGACAACGATTGAACCCCAAGTACACTTTGCCCACTGTCAAACATGGAGGCGGGTCTGTTATGGTTTGGGGGTGCTTTTCGGGGTTTGGGATGGGACCTTTCAATAGAATAGATGGCATTATGGATAAGTTTGTATACACAGACATACTAAAGCATGTCATGTTACCCTATATGGAAGACAATATGCCCTTAAGATCAATCTTCCAGCAAGATAATGGCCCGAAGCACACTTCAAATCTCGCAAAGAAATTCTTTCTGGATGAAAAAACCCCAGTTCTCAAATGGCCTTCACAGTCTCCCGATATAAACCCCATTGAAAATCTATGGGAATACTTAGATAAGCAAATATGAGATAAAAAATATTCAAAAAGTATCTTTTTGCCGCTTTAGAGCAAAAGTGGAGACAGATTGATGAATCTTATATCAAGAAACTTCTACAATCTATGCCGAGACGATGCCAGGCGGTGATTGATAATAATGGTTATGCTACAAAATATTAACACAAACATGGTTGGTTTTCTATAATTCAATGAACTTTGCTTCTTTTTTCTATAATTGTTTTGCTTTGTCTATACATTTTTGTCCTTCATAGTTCCAGTTCTTTTCAATTAATTTTTTATTGAAGGGAGTATAATGAATTTATTTTTGTATAAGTGAGTATTATGCTATAACGAATTATGTATACAGGTTGATGTATTAATAAAACAAGTTAAAAAAGAAATACAGCACAATATTAATTTGTCTATATACTTTTGTCCATTACTGTATGTCTAAAAATTACGGCTCTATCAGCAAAAGTAAACATTACTGGTTAAGCATGGCAAATGTTTGCTGATGCTGAGAATTATTTAAAGAGCATGCTGTATGGTGCTGGATCATGAAGCTTCAGCATGCTATGGTTACAATGCTATAAACACTGTCTTACCCTCTGTGTTGTCTAATGACCTCAACTTGTGTAGCTGAATGTTTTCCTTTTCCTTTATTTTGTCATTCTGTTTTTTAAGGTGTAGCTGTGTGAAGCATTTGCTGGAGATGGAAGGTGTGATCACAGCATCTGGAGGCGTGAAAAGAAACGCAAGTATAATCGCTCCTTCTCCATCAAAGAAGCCCTACTTTGTTGGAATATCTCCATTGAAGGATCTAACAAAAGTAAAAACACCATGCGATCGCCCATTCAGGGTTTCTATAGAAGGCAACATTGCAGCAGGAAAATCGACATTTATCAAATTCTTTGAGGAGAAACCAGGAATTGAAACCTACCTGGTATGAAAATGAATTATTGCCATAGTAAGGAGTTGTAGAAAATTTCACAAAAGATAGCTAGCGGTGCTGTACTTTCCTTTCAGTTTCAGATGGAAGAGTTGCATCATTTTGGAAAGATTAGATAGAATATACTTGGCAAATGGTTTTTTGTGTTCCTAAGATTCTCATATTTTTTTCCAAAACGTTAAGTGGGGCCATATGTGGTGGACCCTAAATTTTGTCTCAGAAGACATGATGAAAACAATATGTAATGCACATAATTCCGTTCATCGGTTTTTCCTGATAAGTGGAAGGTTGTCAAAGTCTGCCCAATATTCAAGTCGCAAGACAGAACCTTAGTAAATAATTACAGGGTGATCACTATACTGAATAATTTTGCAAAGCTCTTTGAAATAATATTGTTTTCCAGAATTTACTTGGCAACTAAAGTTACGAATTTGGCCACGTTCAGTCAATATCTATGGAGACGGTAGACAATAGGGGGCAAGTGGATGTCATATATACTGATTTCACAAAAGCGTTTGACAAAATTGACCAACTACTTGTACAAAAAATTGAATACATGGGATTCAACAGAACTTACGTGGATCTTCTCAAGTCTTATGTAGACTTGAGAACTCAAAATGTATTCTATAATGGATTTAGTTCTTACAAATATATGCCAAGTAGTGGTGTACCTCAGGGTTCTAATGTGGGCCCTCTATTGTTTGCCTTATACGTTAACGATGTTTGCAGCACATTATCATGCAAGAAACTTATGTTTGCTGATGATCTGAAGATTTACGCATGTGTTTCTAGCTGGCAGGATGGTGAAAACCTCCAACAAAAACTAGTTTTTTTACAAACATGGTGTGTTAATAACAATTTGTATTTGAACAATTCTAAATGCCGCATTTTGACCTTCACCCGAAGCCCAATTTTTAACTTACCCATACAAAATAGATGATTCTGTATTGGAAAGGTGTGAAACTTTCAAGGATTTGCGCGTCTATTTCGATTGTCAGCTCAGTTTTAACTACCACATCAGTGAAATTATGTATAAGTAATACATATCGCAAATATGGCTTTATTATCAGAAATTGTAGAAATTTCAATAACACAACGCTTATTAAGTTATTTTCAGTGCTTGTTATAAGTAAATTAGAATACGGTGCAATTATCTGGAGTCCAATCTATAAACTGTACAAAAATAATGTTGCAAAAGTGCAAAAGAAATTTCTAAAATATCTATGCTATAGGAGTGATGGTGATCTGTCCTCCAAGAGGATGTGACTACTCACAATTATTGAACAGATTTGGGGTCCCTTCTTTGGAAAAGCGCAGAGAGCAGGCTTCCATCATATTTTTATACAAATTACTGCATGGTAACATCGACTGTCCTGTTTTGCTATCGCAAATTAATTTCCTGGTACCTAGATTGACACCTAAATATAAAGTTTCCTTTTACTGCAAGAGGGCGCAGACAAATCTTCTATCTAAAGCACCAATAAACTTTATGTGCAATAATGCGAATAGGATTGTAAGTTTTTGTGATATCTTCTGTTGTGGATTTCATGAATTACGAAGAAGTGCTATACGTTCACATCTTTGACTTTTTTTACGCCTTTCTCTAGGGGTTTTCGTTTGTTATATATATATATATATATATACAGGGTGACCAAACACGTGACGTCATAAAAAAAAAATTAGATTCCCCACATCGAGAGGAACCCAAATCACCCCCATATATATGGTCCGATTTTGTTTAGTTTAGGAGTTATGATTTTTTTTCGGATTTTTCGAGAATTTTTGAGTTCTGTGTTTATTTTTACCATAACTTCGTTAATAATTGTGATAAATGCCTGCTTTTTTCACGATTATGTAGCTAAGACCTAAGGCTTAACTATCATATAATCATTCAAGTCATGTAACTAATACTACTTTTTAATTTTTTACAAAATCTTCGAACATAAAAAAGTAAAAAAGTGCAACAACTTTGAACGTTTATAAAAAATTGAAAAAACATGTTCTTACTATTCGTAAGTATCTTAAAAACTTCCTTACGGTATCAGCTATTTACCGTAAAAATTTCATCAACCTAGCTTTACTACATGCTACCGTAATTGTGGCTCAAATAGAACCGAACCCAAAATTGGATAACCCTCTGCTCAATAGAAATTGTTAGTTTCGGAAAAAAAAATGCAAAAACCACAAAAACACGTTTGATTTTTACTTAAAAGCAGATTATTATTCATTTATGTTATTTACAAGAGGTTTTCAAAATGTCTGCCTCTAACAGAAATGTACAGTGTACACCTACGTATGAAATTTTGTTTTAAATCTCTAAATGCTTGTGTGTTGTTTTTCAACACATGTGTCGCTTCTTGAATTTTGTTCCTCAATGAATTTTCATTTGCACATTCTTGGGCGAATGTTATGTCTTTAAAATATCCCCAAACAAAAAAATTATACGTTGCGTGAATATGCAGAAATGCATTATTATTATGGCGTTGCTCAAGGCAACGGCGCTTTAGCAGCTCAGCTGTACCGGGAACAACTTATACGCCGAGGCGGACCACAACCTGAGCATTACCCAGACCACCGTGTTTTTATTAACACACATAACACTTTCATGGCAGGCCGCATTCCAGGACGAGGAAGCAATGAAGGATATCCTACAGCGGATCCGGATCGCAGAGAAGTAGTACTTGAAGAAATTAGCCGGAATCCCTCAACGAGTACGAGATCTATGGCACAAAACCTTAGAATACCACGAACATCGATACAAAATATTCTTCATGAAGAAGGTTATCATGCCTATCATGTTCAAAGAGTTCAAGCGTTGATGCCTTCAGATTACCAGTTAAGAGTGGATTTCTGCGAGACAATGCTGCGAAGACAACGAGAGGATCCCGATTTTTTTGATACAATTTTATGGACTGACGAGTCACGTTTTGAAAGAACAGGGATATTCAATATCCATAATTTACATACTTGGGCTGTTGAAAACCCCCACCACTCAAGGCCGTCGACATTTCAACACCGTTTTAGTGTGAACATGTGGTCAGGAATATTCAATATGGAATTTATCGGTCCATTTGAACTGCCGTCAAGGTTGGATTCGGTAGCCTACAAAAGCTTCCTTGAAAATAGCCTACCATTATTGCTGGAAGATTCAAGCCTGGAAGCCAGACGGAACATGGTGTTCCAGAATGATGGTGCACCATGCCACAACGCAACGATCGTGCGAAACTACTTAAACGAAAGGTTCCCAGACAGATGGATCGGACGAAACGGACCGATACGATGGCCTCCACGCTCCCCTGACCTCAACCCCATTGATTTTTTTGTTTGGGGATATTTTAAAGACATAACATTCGCCCAAGAATGTGCAAATGAAAATTCATTGAGGAACAAAATTCAAGAAGCGACACATGTGTTGAAAAACAACACACAGGCATTTAGAGATTTAAAACAAAATTTCATACGTAGGTGTATACTGTGCATTTCTGTTAGAGGCAGACATTTTGAAAACCTCTTGTAAATGACATAAATGAATAATAATCTGCTGTTCAGTAAAAATCAAACGTGTTTTTGTGGTTTTTGCAAATTTTTTTCCGAAACTAACAATTTCTATTGAGCAGAGTGTTATCCAATTTTGGCTTCGGTTTTATTTGAGCCACAATTACGGTAGCATGTAGTAAAGCTAGGTTGATGAAATTTTTACGGTAAATAGCTGATACCGTAAGGAAGTTTTTAAGATACTTACGAATAGTAAGAACATGTTTTTTCAATTTTTTATAAACGTTTAAAGTTGTTGCACTTTTTTACTTTTTTGTTATGTTCGAAGATTTTGAAAAAAATTAAAAAGTAGTATTAGTTACATGACTTGAATGATTATATGATAGTTAAGCCTTAGGTCTTAGCTACATAATCGTGAAAAAAGCAGGCATTTATCACAATTATTAACGAAGTTATGGTAAAAATAAACACAGAACTCAAAAATTCTCGAAAAATCCGAAAAAAAACCATAACTCCTAAACTAAACAAAATCGGACCATATATATGGGGGTGATTTGGGTTCCTCTCGATGTGGGGAATCTAATTTTTTTTTATGACGTCACGTGTTTGGCCACCCTGTATATATATATATATATATATATATATATATATATATATATGTATGTGTATATGAATATTTATGTATATACGAGTATATTCTGGTTTCCTAATACTCGTATCTATTGATCATATGTATAGTTTCTTTTTTCTCTACTTAAAGCGCCTTCCTCTTTTCTGTGTGTTTTTTTGTTTCACTTTGACACACAGACTGTGTAAATTAAATCATTGTACTATGTATTGCTCTCTAAATGGTACCTGTACTGTTGGGCAATAAATGCTTTATTATTATTATTATTTTTGAGCAGGAACCTATAGAGTCGTGGCGAAATGTAAATGGACATAATTTATTGGATCTTCTTTATACTGATAAAGATGAATGGCTACGGGCATTTGAAAACTACGTTCTCCTCACACGACTGATGGTACAAACATCAAAGCCAAAGAGCTCTTCAACAACAGTTCAAATCTTTGAAAGATCCTTACAGAGCAGCAGGTAAAAAAAAATTGTCAATACAAGGGTAAAAAATCAATAACATTTTACAAAAAGAAGACACAAGTGAGGTGCTAATTTTTTAGAGAAATGTTTTGCATCATTATGTACATTGTTTATGCGCTACAGTACTTTTCAAAAAGCCCTTCCCTCTCCTCGATTTATTTCTTGAATAGGTCAAGTTAGCAAGTTGAAATTGATGCATATTTTAGGTTTTTCGCGATGTACATGTCATATACAAAAAACAAAATCTCATTTTAAAAATTTTTCGCGATTGGAATACTTTCTTGCCAGTAGGCGTGGGAAGTGAAAAGTTGATTATGTGGAATGTAAAAAGCAGTTTAAATACGAGCAGCTATTTTTATTGATAAGTATTAATATATTATAGTATCAGTGTTCTGAAAGGACATAATCAATGTTGGAATTTTGACTAGACAGTTATAAGGTAATTTTGATTCATTTTATTCCAGTTCTTGTTTCGTTGAGTGATTAGTCCCAATTTAAGGTTTGCTTACAGAATTGTTTATCTAGCAACAGCATTGAAAAATGCAAAATATTTGAGACAACCAAATTTTAAGATGGTTGCTGAAAAGGATCAACAAAAAGTTTAACTTTCAGTTTTATCTATTTCAATTTAGAAGTTCTTGAAGGGTCATCACTTGCTCGCTATAAATAGTAAGTTTATGTTCTTATTTTAATCCCACGAGATTCTATTGAGTAAGGTCAGTACACACAAAGACTATGAATATCAAATTAATCAAATTACATCTAAATGTTTTGTTAAATTTAATATAGTGCCAATGATATTACTCTTATAATAGCAGTAGTTTCCATATTATGCTCAACCAGGGATCTGCTTTCAGCCAAGAATCTGCCGGGATCGCAAAAACTGCTTAGAATCGTGTGTAATTCAAGAAAGGTGCCACACTATTTTAAATATATTTTAAATATCAGGGATAGACAACTTTTCGAATTTTTCACCTTCCAGAATCGCGAATTAAGCAGAATTGTTCGTATGCTGTACACTGCACCATCATTACACATTTTTTTTTTCGTTTCTTTGCCTTATTTGATTTATCCTTGTTTATTAAGAATAACTTAGGGATTCACGTCGTGACACAGATTTATGTGCTGCTATTCGTGTTGTACGAGTACATTGTCTACTTGAATATCGTCTCTGGGAAAGAAATGTACGCCGATGGTTTGCCACTTCGGTAGACAAATTAGCCAAAAGTATGAACTAAATCTATACAATTTTTTCTGCAATCAATGCAATGTAAACATATAGGCTTGGCTCCTTCAAATCTATTCAAATTCGTTGGTTACATCAGTCTTCTCCTCTAGGAGAGATCTATTCCAAAATGTAATGAAATAGGAAACATTTCACTTCTAAAAAATGTTACAACTTTTTTTAACTGATTGAATTTATTGCACATTCAGATAGACGCTTCCGAAACGTTGTACAATTAAGAGAAATTAAATACATATAATGTGGTCTAATTCGGCCAGACAATGGAGTCCTATACTATAATGTTTTAATAATTGGTCGCTGAGTTATAAGCGATTCAATGTAAAAAAAAAAACGCTCAACTTGATAGCCTGGCAGTCGCAATTTTGAAGGATATTGAAGGTTTTATGTTCTAGGATGATAAAGTACTCATAAGAATCTTCAAAATAGGTGTCACCCCTCATTCATGAAACTCTCATCTGTTATTTTATGTTGGAATATGGTATGCATCAATTTCGTCACCCTAAATTTCAGCTCGCTAACTTGATCTATTCAAAAAATAAGTTAGGAAGGCTTTATATACTTTATTAATTTCACTTACTGGTATGTCTGTATCTAAATCTAAATTATTCTAGGTATTGTTTCTTAGAACAAGGTTATACCAATAACCATATCCATGGAGCAGATTATGCAGTTTTAGACCAATGGTATAAATGGGCCAGGGCAAATCATGATATAAGCTTAGACCTTATAGGTAATTATTAATGCCTTCTCTTCAACTGTTCTTAATTATCACGATTATTGACAATTTTACTAATTAGCTTTTTTATTTTTAAACATTTACTGATTGAATCTGTGTCGTTTAGTTTACTTGAGATGTCCCCCAGAAGTTGCATATGAACGTATAAAGAAAAGAGGACGTCCTGAAGAGACCAAAATACCACTTCAGTATCTACAAGAACTCCATGAGAGCCATGAAAAATGGTTAATGAGTGAAGACTCATCCAATACTACTCCAGTTATAGTGTTCAACGTTGATACGACGATTGAGCAAGTTCAGGAACAATGCAAGTTGAACGAAGATAAGATATTAGGTAGGCTTCTACCTTTGCATGGAGTAAAGCTCAAGACCTAAGTAAACATCACGTTTTCTTTAATACTTCATTTTTTCTTCCCACGGCAATTGGAGAACAGATTTCGATACATGTTTTACACGAAAATCCATGTCACTATGTCTCACATTTCTGTTAGTGTCCATCTGCCCGCTAATTGTTTCCTTCTCTATAACTTGAAAAGTACCGCTCGGATTTTGATGAAATGAAAATGTTGACTCAAGGTTAGTACTATGCCAAAGACAAGAAAGTAGTATAGTTTTTGGAAATCGTTCGATTGGCGTCGGAATTGAAAAACAAAAATCGCCCAAACTTTGTTTGTTAAAGTTTAAAGGACTCCTGTTTTTTTTTAAAAGTCTTGAGTGTTAAAAATGGCGGTAGAGGGCTGCAGCAGGTAGGGTAGGCTATCAAATGTTTACCGTTAACAAAGTAGGGTGGTATTAAAATCTAGCGCAATGAAAATAGGTTTTTAAACCTGTAGGGAGGTAGCCGCTACCAATGCGCTTTTCTCATTTTTTTCACTGCAACATTCTGTTGCTTGTCAAATTGAAGAAAACCTGGTACTATTTGTATGGGCTCATTAGGCTGACTTGATCTGTTCAATTCGTTTGTTATACATGTTCATACTTCTTTCTGAAAGGAGCGAACTTGTGCCGAACATAATCTTTAATCAACTGATGATAGTTTTGCATGCGAAGTGCACTTAACCTATTTGCCGCCATTTTTAACACGCATTTATTATAAGCTTGACCTGTATTATACATATGTAACGGAAACATTTAACCTAATTTTCACCAATTTCAAGAAATCTAATTTGACTTAAAAATTTGCACAAGGGTCAACGACCGATGACAGTACAATAATTTTCAATAATTTTGAATTTAAAAAAAATGGATTTGAAAATTTATAGAATTTCGAAAATAATTAGAATAATTGGAAATTTTGATAAGATTTGGATATTTCGAAATTTGAAAAAAATGGAAGTAAATTCAGATTTATTGCCAAATATAAAATATACCAATTATTGATTATAAGTGCTTTTGTTATCGTTTTGAGACTAAACATTCAGAATATAAAAATAGTTTAAACAAATACACTTTAATAGCAATTTGAACTAAAAAGTGGATAAAAATTTTCAAGTATAGGAGAAAGTCCACCAATCAAGTATGAGTAATGCATTTAAATTAAGATCAATATAAAAATTTAAATATTACAAAAAAATGCAATTATAGTAAAAAAGCGTGGGAAGCATAACTAATATATTTTCGTGATACTCCAATTTTATAAATAGCAACTAAAAATAATTAAAATGACATTAAATATCAAGCACCCTACGCTTTTCCACTATACTTTTGTTTTTTGTTAATGTTATTGCAAATGCATTAGCCCTACTTGATTGTAGGACTTGCTATTGCAGTAACACAAACTCCTATACTTGAGAATTATTTTCTATTTTTTTAGCTCAATTGAAGCCTGTTTTTTTTAACTATAATGTATTTGATTATGGTGGGGTCGCTGGTATATTGAGGTTAGAAGCAATTTGAACTTGGAACTAACGATTATCTTATTGTTAGGTTAAGTGGAAGACCAGCCATTCCTCTATAGGAATGAAAGCTGAACTTCGCCTTTTCCAAGTATCACTTCCATATCTCTGTACCTTGGTACCAACGAATAAAGATTATGATTATTATTATTATTATACTAAGGGCCGTATCGTCAGTCGTTCCTACAATTGTAAGACGCCTCAATGATTGTCATAGTCTTTTTTTCTCCTTCAGAAAGGCTGGGTATTTCTAGATTTCACCTGTTACGTGTCAGCGATCTCCTATTGTGAAGTTGTGTGTTTTCTTTTTGAATTGTAGGACATGATATAAATCAAAAGCATGAACAATTTGATGCAAATATAGCCTATTTCACGAGCTTTGACGTCTACTAAGGTGAACAGCTAATGAATCGGGTATAAATCTAGTAAAACTTGTGTCTGGCGTTTTTTTTTGTATGCAAATTAACTTTTCTAAATAAAAGAGCTAGCTGTTAGCAAGTACAGAATGAATCGGTAGCGTACAAAAAAACAAAACAAAATACGGCTGGCGTTGACGGATCCGTGATGGATACTCGTGATATTTCACGATATACCCTATTGGATAAAGAGATATTTGTGACATAACCTCAAAATAGAGCGCTGACACGGAACAGTAGAAAACTATGAAAATCAAGGATGCCGTAAAGGCGCCCTACAGTTGTAGGTTTTCATAACCTTTTGTCTTCTTCAGAAAGGCCAATATAGCGCACATACTGGCGGAGGCGAAGGATATGACAACAGCATCCTCACTAATCGCTTAATGTTCCATAGGTCTCGACAAAAGGGAAGTGAAGAATGTGGATGAAGAAAGCAAAGAAAAAATCAAGAAAACATTAAAGTTTTAACCTTCTGTGGCGGTATTTCATCATGTACCTGCATATAATGCATTTTATTAAGAGATGTTTCGATTTATATAAAGTTTGATATTTATACATAATTCGTGTTTTATTCGAATAGCACAGTCTGCTAAAATCATCTTCAGTTTGTTGTTACAATAAGTAAAAGATGGATTGAGTGGTTAGCAAGCAAGGCAGCGAGACCTACAAATAGATATGCTTTTATAACAGCAGATGTAAAACGAATATCAATTACCTAGGTATGTTTAAGGGGAGTAGGCTGCCTAGTTAACTGCCAACCATGTCAAAAAGACAGACGATTGACCAAATAAGCAATTTGAGATTAGATTTTTTTTTATTTTCTATCGGACACTCCTTTGTTATTAAACTAAATCGTGTAATATTCCGAGTACGGCCTTAAACGTTGAATATCTATAAGGTAACTTACAGGTTTTGAGATTAACTTTATCACATAGTTGTTCGATTTTCAGTTCCCTATGCAGAATATATTGTTAGAAGATTCAGTTTAGTAGCCAAAAAGAGATGTCTGCTTGAAATTCATTGTTTTTTTCTCTAACCTCAAATTGCTTATTTCAACAGTCGTCGGTGTATACCCTATTTCTCGAGTATCCATCACGCTTTGACGTCTACGAGCCGTTTTACACACAAGAGAATTACTCCGAAAATTATGGTCATAATTATACTGAAAATTTGCATGGAAAAAATATTGAAGATTTTCTCTACAACCTGTATGACACAAGCAAACAAAATTTCGGAGTAATTCATATTATACGCCTGCGCATTAGAGTTATATTTTCAAATGGACATAACCTTAACGGGTATGACGTCCAATATAATCGGAAAGACAACAGACGTCGATAATTTAAATTCATTTTTGAAATCGAGATATTGGTTAATATTATAAAACTTCTCAATGCTTGGACTATGGCATCCAGCGCCTGACGCCGCAAATTTCTGTTTTTGTAATTGGGTGACTTCACCTTGTACAGGTTTGGCCATTTTTGGTACTCCTCCAACAACATTGTAAATTATTCCCGATTCCACGACATTATGAATAAACAATAACAATAAACGCTCCTTCGTTCGTACGACTCGAACAGGACCACTCCCACAAATGTTAAGTGAGGTTATGTTGTTGTTGACATTTGATATTGACATGCACGGAAATAACCCTCTGCGCCGATTCTCGCGCATATAATATAGAACGGGTTTTATATTTTTACCATGAAAATTTTCACAAGAATTCTTTTACGTGTAATACGACAGCAAAAATGTTCGGCATAATTATGACCATAATTTTCGGAGTAATTCTCTTGTGTGTAAAACGGCTCTACTGAGGTGGACAGCTGATCAGCAAGTTACATTTTTGTGTTAGTCTGCGACGTTGGCAATAATGAGTCGGGTGTAAATCTAGTAAACCTTTTTGTAGCATTTTGTTTTTTGTAAATGAACTTTCCTAAATAAAAGAGCTGTTAGCGAGTACAAAATGAATCTGTAGCGTACAAAAAACAAAATATGGCTCTGACTACCTGACGTTGCCGGAACCATCAGAATTATGTCCTGTGCCGATATGGGGAATTTTGAGATCCTACTAGACTACTAGATAATCAGCTGTCATTCTACCGGGGTACACCCTATATGACATTGTTGCCAGTTATCTAGACAGCCTGTGCCTAATGTCAAGTGCCGTAGTGTACATGTACAAAATTATGTACCTTCTAAATGGAGAAATTTAAAATGCGGTTTCTACTTTGTACTTTGCAAGAAGGCTACTATAGTGGATACCAAATAAAATCCGATGCACGTCATAGGTGATGTCATTCATAAAAATCATGGTTACCAACAGTTGACTACATTCAATGTGACATTTCTACTTGAAGTTTAAATTTCCCCGTCTCGATTCGGTTGGTAGTGCCGTGCAGAGAAATGTGAGGTTGCCACTTCTCATTTGTTGACATCAGTTGCCATTGTCCTTTTGTCGTACTATTAGTTCTTTATTGTTTAGTTTGTGAGTTTTGCGCTATTTGAGCTTTGAATCGTTGCCTTGCCAATTAAAAATTGTTCTTTTCAGAACAACAGTTACTGTGAAGTGGTGTAAAGTATCCAAAATGCCAAAACAACTTAACAGTCGGTGTAAAGAGCTCATATCATTGAATATCACCTAAATCAGGTGTTTTTATTCAGAAAGGAATTTAATTTTACAACAAGTTTATTTATTTTTAATATAATGGTATTATAGTAAATGGTAGGTATATATAAACAATTTATTTTATTAAATTTATTTGCTTAAAAGAAAATGTGCAAATTCTGGCAACAGCGCACAGCTCCAGATCGATGACGTGCATCGGGTTTTATTTGGTATCCACTATATACTAAATTCATTCAAAACAAGCTGCAGCAATCTAGTGCGCTGATTGGCCAACTGGCGGCGATGGCTAACAGTACGCCGTCGGTAATACAAAGGACAGGTCTGAATCGGGGTTTCACATGTCGTATGTTGCCGTATGGATGTTCCGATCCACTAAAAGTATCGTTACCATGTATCGATTTGTATCGTTTTAGGAAGTATCGATACTACAAGTATCGAAATCTTCCGATACGGAATACACTCTGCCGAAAATCGAAGTTTTTCTACAACCTTCAAAATAATGTTTACTTTTTTCAAGTACATGACTAGATTGTCAAAAACGTTCACTAATAAAAATAGGTAAAAAATAACTAGGAAATTCATTAGAAAAAGAATCATTATTTATTTAACATTTAAACGAAACAACTATATTACATATTACAGATATGCTTATTAAACATAAGATATATAGAGCAAAAGGTATTAAAAAACAATATTGCAAATAACTGAAAGTTCAAAATCTTAGAAATTCCAGTCTTCAGCTCCCAGCGAATGTAAAAATAATAGTTCTGACATTCGTTCATCAGATAATCTGTTTCGGCTTTGGCAGAGTATATTTCCAGCTTCAGAAAAGGGTCTCTGAGCGAACTGTTGTGTCAACAATTGAGAGATATATTTATTAACCAGTTCCTTAAATATTTCCGAGGAAGAACTGGAGCTATTGTAGTACAAAAAGGGATTCGAATCTAGGGGTATGGTATGACTATTTAAATACAATTGTAGCTCAAGATCAGTATCTGATTCAGTATAGTATAGTTTTTAATGGTAGGCCCAAACACTCCGCAGTCAAAAAGTATCCCCAAAATCTTCCCAATTCAAATAAAAATCCTCTGATTTTTGGGGAAAACTCCCTAATATGGCAACCCTGAAATCAAAAATAAATGTTGCGAGGTTGTGAAGTTGAATAGCATCAGCGTTAGGAAACAAAGAAGAAAAGTAATCTGAAGTTAGTCACTGTTTCTGACACAGTCCGCATCCAAAGATAACGATACTCGTGAAATGTATCGATACACCCAAGTATCGTATATAAAAATATCGATCCAAAATATCGTGTATCGGAAGCAGAAGTAAATATCGGATCGTATCGAACATCCCTATGTTGCCGTCATCATAATACAACTCAGCAAAATAAAAATAAAGGTCGATATCCTCGAGACAGCAGGATTCCTTTATATTTTTCGACGCTGAATACGGGATCGGAAAAATCCCTAGACGTCTAGAATCCCAGGCCCAAAAACTTCCCCTAACAGGAGGCGTGAAAATGCTCGTGCATGGTATTTTTTTTCACTTTGTCAAATATTTCATATCAATTTCATTTTCTAAGCACAAAAGCAGTTGATCATTTATCAAAGTAAGAAAGCAGTAAATTTGTAAACTATACAGCCTTTATATTCTGCATGATACGCGTACTGCCTTTTTAACCTTTATAACCTATTATGATATTCACTTATTTGGTTGTTTATTGTAATTGTTCTATTACAATGGAATTATAAATTATTAGTTTTGCTCCAAAATAAAAAAAATTTAAAATATTCTTTGTTTAACTTAACATACACGGTGTTCATTTGAAAACTTCCCACTACGGAATTATCGGAAGCCACTCATTAAAAGAAAGAACGCCGAGACACTTCAAAAGATTTGTGAAGGGGGACAACTTTTTAACCAAAAACTACTTCACCCTCGACCCCCCAGGCGGTCATTTCCTTGAAAATTTTGAATCACAAGAGGGGTATCGCGTAATAGCTTGTTTGAAAGGTCTTTCGAAGTTCTTTATTTTGACGTTTAATTTTTCAATATCAGCCGATTCGTTTTGGAGAAAATTAGAAAAGTGTTTCTTATCTTAATTTGTTCAGATAGAAAACAAAAACACACTAAAATATCACTTTTAATTTCAATAAGTGTTCTAAATGTTGCCCGTTATCGTTTGCCAAATCTATACTTCGTTTGTAATTTAAAACTGAAACTACCAACATAAACAGCAATTCCGCATTTTTTTCATCGACACAGATATCCCTTTCTTTTCATCAACACAGATATCCTGGGCGAACTGTGTGTTGCTAAGAGAAAGAAATAATTTAATTTGCTTTCAATTAAGTGGAAATGATTATCATTTATGATGCCCCAAATCAATGTGCTCGGCAAACTGCCGTCACGTTTAACGCCAGACACCCGGGGAAGATAACTTCGCATAAGTATGTTTTGGAGCTTGTTACTGAATTTACTCAAACTGGATCTGTTGAAAATAAAAAAAGGTGATGATCGGAGAGTTTTGGATGAAGCCGCTCAAGTTGAAGTTTTGGATCATTTTGGAATAAATCCTAATACTTCATTACGCAAAATTGTTGCTGCGACTGGTATTTTACTATGCTCTGTACACACAGTTACTAAACTGCTAAATTCTACCTGTAGTGCCAGTGTCGCCATCTGGCGACCAAAATATATTTATATTCAGGTAAGAAAATATTCGATACTTAGTATCATTTAATGTTTAACCCTGTATGGTATCATGTATATTTAAATATACAAATATCAAACAATTTGTCCTTTGCGTCTTATGACCCGCAAGTCGAAGCTACACAGTGTATATCTGAATATACACGTGTGATCGATCGTTTTCGGTAGATTTCGTTGGTAAATCACCCACTTCGGGCAGTTATTTCAGTCTGTACGGAAAGTGTCGTGCTGTTTGGACGCCGCCGGTAAACACGTGATATCAAATAACATTATTAGTGTGTTTTGTTGGCAGAATTGAGCGTACATTTTTTTTGAATACTTATTGAGGTATGTTTACTACAAAGGCATGTTAGAAATAATATATATTTTATATTATTGTACTTTTCAGGCCACTGACGTCACTGTATATTTGAATGTACATTGTTCAATTCTGGTTTCGACTTTACAGAAATTATGGATCCAAAAATATTTTATGGAAAAAAGGAACATGTTACAGTATTAGTACCGGACTTGGATAGTGAGGAGGATTTCGATAGTGATGATAGCTTATTAGACGAAACATATAAACCCACTTTGCTAGATTATGATGGTAGGTAAAATACTATGGAAATAATGAGTTGTGTTGCTATTTTTTTTTTTTTAGAAGAGGATTTATTGGAGAGCAGTAGTGGAGAGGAAAGTAATGCTGACAACCAAGGAAACAACAATGAGGAAAGGAATAATCTAGGTAGCTGGAATGAAGATGACGAGATCCCTCTCAGACAACTTCGAGATAAGATTCTCCGTGTGTCTGCTGTTTCTGTTCAAGGTGGGGTCAAAAACATGAAAATCAAGAAGGCTCCCTTGAAATGGCAAAGCTCTAATAAGGAGCCCAGTGATTTGCCAACTTGGAAAGCTCAACTACCCTCTCAGACATCTGTAGAGACACCATTGCATTATTTTTACAAATTAGTCGATAAGGAGTTGTTGGAATACATAGTAGAACAAACGAACCTATATGCGGCACAGAAGGACATAGGTCTAAATTTCTGCATGGATTCCAAAGAGCTAGAGCAATTTATTGGCGTTTGTTTCTATATGTCACTGATTACAGTGCCTGGGACCAGAAGATACTGGAGCAGTGCCTGCAGAGTGTCTCAAGTGGCAGACGTAATGCCTCTTTCGGAGGTGGGAACAAATAAAAAAGTTTCTGCATTTTGCAGATAATTCTACATTGCCAGTTGAACCACCAGATCGTCTTTTCAAAATCAGGAAGCTCGTGGAGAGTATAAGGAAAAATTTGAGACTAATTCCCATGGAACAGCACCTTTCTGTCGATGAGCAGATAATACCGTTCAAAGGCCGTAGCTCCCTGAAACAGTACAATCCGAAAAAACCAAAAAAATGGGGTTACAAAATATTTTGTTTGGCAGGTGCTAGTGGTATTGTCTACGACTTTGAATTTTACTGTGGGGCCACGAATCAACCGGAAAATCTACCGGATATAAGTGCTAGTAGCAATATAGTGATTCGACTGGCTGAAAACATTCCAAAACACCAGAATTTTCTGCTGTTCTTTGATAACTGGTTTTGTAGCCCCGAGCTTCAAATCGAATTAGCTCGGAATGGTATTTACAGTGTGGGAACTATACGGGAGAATCGAGTGCCATCCAGTGGTTTGCCAACCGACAAATCACTGAAAAAACAGGGCAGGGGGAGCTTCGAGGAAAGAATTACAAGCTGTGGAAGCACTAAACTAAAGATAGTGAAATGGCAGGACAATAAAGTGGTGACTTTGCTAAGTACATTCATAGGCGGCTATCCTGTGACTACTATAAAAAGATTTGACCGCAAAAACCGACAAGATGTAAACATCCAATGTCCCAGTATTATACTCATATACAATAAATTCATGGGGGGTGTCGATTTGATAGACTCTCTTCTGGCATTGTACAGAACGAAAATAAGATCAAGAAAATATTACTTGCGTATTTTCTTTCATTTGATGGATATGTGTGTAGTTATCTCTTGGCTTTTATATAGGCGCGCTTCCGACGACTGTGGCGTATCTAAAAAACACCAAATGTCGCTTTATGATTTCAAAAGTGATTTAGCACAAAGTTTATGTTGGGTGGGAAAACAAAACAAAAGAGGTCGCCCTTCATCAAGTTCTCAGTTACCACCCGTAAAGAAACAAAAGATATCTAGTGTTCGACCAAATATAGATTGTAGAACAGATGGAATGTCTCACTGGCCCACATATGAACAAAAAACTGGAAGATGTAAGAATGGACGTTGCCAAAAGATTACCAAAGTAATGTGTACCAAATGCAAGTGTTATTTATGTTTTGTGCCGGATAGAAACTGCTTTACTCATTTTCATACATGAAATTATTTTGAAAATGTATTTGTTACTTCATTTGTGGTTATTCAAGCTTTTGTAGCTCTTTTAGTTTCAGTTTTTTATTGACGGAATGGTGTAATGTATATTTCAATATACATATGTTTAGTTCAAAAATAGTTTGTTTTGAAGATAAAATATCCAAATAAAGTTTATTCTTATGCTCATAAACAAATCATGTTTCGACCAAAACAATTTTTTTAACCAGTCCAACTAGGTGTGTACAATAGAGGGTTAAAGGAAAAAAATTAAAAACCCCTTGTCCCGTGACTACATGTAATAACATTTTACTGGCAGCGAACGTGTTAATGAATGGTGTGAAAGATTGAATTCGGCTCTGGCCAGATTGTACCTCTAAAATGAGTTTGGTATAGGCAGCAGTAACGTCAGCAAAGTTTATCGTCCGTGGTTTCCATTTATTGGGCAGGACAATATAAGGATAGATGAAAAGCAAGACAAAGCATATCATAAATTAAATTTATTCAACCTAAAATCTACATGTGTACAACTTAAACATTTAAACAGGAATGGGTACTTCCTTAGCCACAAGCTTCAAAACTTGCTCTGTAGTCATTCCCACGTTCTTAATATCCTTTGATATTGAACACCACAGCTCCCCATGATGAGGCTCAGACGACAAACACCTCTGTTTCACTTCTTCTTGCTGTTCTTTGGTGCCATGCAATTGCTCGAATCGGTACCAATGCGCCCAGGCATCTCCCAGATCCGGTTCTATCTTCAACGTGCGCTGAAACCACTCCCTGCACTTGGATATCTTCCTTTCTGACCAGAACAATTTACTCACTGCTAGCAGCACGTGCGGGTCGTGTTCACACTTCTTCAAGGCGTCCACCTAGACAAAATACAGGAGTTACTAGCACAGATCATATGTAAGCGTCAAAAAAAAAATTGAAAATCGATTGTATCTATCTCAGAGGGTCTCAAACTTATTCGGTTTACTGCCAACTTTGAGTATCAATTATTTTCTAGAGCTCTCCGAAAGCAGTATATCCATCAATGGCAAATCAAAGAGGAAGAATGGTTCTTATGACAAGTGGTGACAGTGGTTCTGACCGAATGTCTTTGTGGCCATGGAAGAGTAGGGTACAATAAGTATTCAATGCGTCGCCACATAAGTCGATTCATCGACCCCCCTCCCTCCCGTAGATCTACAGCGCCCAGAAGCGGGGCGTTATCGCCGACTTTGAGAAACCCTAACTGGACCATTCAAACAAATTTTGAAGTACCGTAAAGAACGGTACAAAATTGAAACAGTATAGTAAACAATTGCAATCTCCATGGCAAACAACCCATTTACTCATACATAGCCAGTAATGGACTAACCCCAACGGAATGTCGCTTGTATAATAACGACCTAGCGATGACAGTGACAAAGGAGTGAGGTACACTAGAAAGGTTTGTGGCTCACGGAATTACTAGGATTACCATACGAATGGGAGAGAATGGATTTCGAAGCTAGTTCCTGAGAAGACGGAAGTGGTAATACTTTCTGGAAGACAGAAGGTAACTTCATTGGTTCTTAGGGTTGGGAATGCCGAGATTCTAAGCAAAATGCCAATAAATAACTAGAACTGTGACTCAACAAAGACCTTGTTGAAGAACTGACACTCTGATAACTTTACCAGACATGTAAATGAAGACAAATCGGTTCACATTCCACCAGTAGCGGATAGCGCTGATCAAGGTATACAAATAGACCAAGAATCAGTTGCCACTTGCTTGAATGTATATGTTCAACTATAAGATTAGGCTAATGTTTTTGGTATGGATATCTGAAGCAATGCTAGTCACCAAGTTAAATGCTGCAAGCATTACCTTGGTGGAATGTGTAAAAAAACGCCTACGGGGTTTTAGTGAGTTGCATTCTTGGGAAAATCACACTTCAGGCAGAATAGGTCAACAAGACAGAGCTGTCGAGCTTTAATGCCTGAGAGTGGCTATAAAAGCGTTCCCCTGTTTTGTTTTTTGAAAGCCTAATCTTTGAGAAAAACAGCCTTATTTCAATACTGTATTTCGATCATGATACTGCTTTCGATACTTTCATTTTTTAAATACAAATAATATATAACGAATTCATAATCAGTAGTCAGCAACCCGAAAAAGTCCTGGACATACATTTCTCAGAGAGAGTGAGGTTTTGGACATCGGTACTGTGAATCGATAACTTTTTTTTCTGAAAAAACGATTCATTTTAATGAAATAAGGTTAAAATATATCATTTCAGCTTCAAAAATATTGTTTTTGCCCATTATTATGCAGGGTGTAATAATAAGAATATTGTATTAGGGTTAGTGCATCCCTGAAAAACTAAATGAGCTAGTTGTTTTCCATGGACCTCTACTAATTGGAGTACTGACAAAATCTCGTTGTTCAAGAGTTATTTAAGGAAAACCAATTTGCAGTGGCGTTCTGGCTCTTTATCACGAAATCGAAGCGGTAATTCGAAAATTCCTACAGGACAAAATACAATAGTCCATAGACCCCTTGAATTTTTGCCCAGTGTTTTCGAAACACTGTAGATATAAACCACAATGTACAAGATATTAGTCAATAACCTTAAATAATGCTATGCGTGTCGAATATGTTTCTTACCGATTTTGTCTTTCTTTGAGGTCTTGGTTCCATGAAAATGCTCTCAGCCCATAGAATTCCAGAATTAGGGCATTCTTGTAACGCTTTTGCCATCATTGCATTCGCGATATCTTTCATGCCTGCCCTTATTTCAACTCTGATCGCTTCTAGCCATAGTTGGTCATTTTTGGGATTCTTCAATCTTGCCTTTTCTAAAACAGATCGGGCTTTGATAAGCAGCCCTCGCTTCTCCTCGAGCCTCGAAAGTAGTATCCAGAGAGGTATGGAATTCGGACATTTCTTTATCTGAAAGTAAACACGCATAATGAAAAAAGTACCGAATATGTTCGAAACATCCGTGGTTTGATCGTACAGCAGTCATGAAATTCACACGGCCGGATCCCAGAGACAGTCACCGACCACTGTATGAACAAACCACAAGACAATATATAATATAAATGAAAGACTAAATGACACGAGAGTAGTAAAGCATATTCATTAACACCGAAAACTGGGGGTGCACCGAGTACTCTTTTTCAAAACGCCGAGTACCGGGTGGTCGGTCAACTTCGAATATCGAGTACCGGGTACTCGCCGAGTACTGAGCAGGGTAGTCGGTTCACTGATAAATTCTGGGTTATTTCAGCTACTGTTAGTGATATAAAGCTTATATTTTCTTATATCTTTCTTCTCAAAATTGATTCACTTTCCTAAAAAATTAAGGCATATCCTGCCTTCTAGTAAGTAAATATACAGCCACTTTCCACAACCTCAAAACGAACTGGTTAGCAGTTACTTTTTAGTGAGAACACAAAAACAATCCAAATGAAGTCAAAATCGGGATGTGGTCGAGTTACCATCGGGTTGCTTTGGGTGAGAAAAGGGTCAGAAACGTCGTATCAATGACAAAGCCGTTGACAGTATTTTCCAAACATCCAACGTTGTTTCATGCTTTTTAGCTATCATCAGCATGGTATGGGTCTGGTCATTAGATACAGACAATGGAAAGCAATCAATTTAAAATAGGTCTACTGAAAAACTCAATATTGTACTGTGCAAGGCAAGGACACTGCCGCGACTGGTCAACTACTCATAGGTAGCAGTGTCACCTATAAATTAATTCACCAATACACCTTCACACATAACACCTGTTTCTGGGAAATAAAATATGACATACCCCTGCATTGTAGGCGTCGAAGGCTCTTGACATTTCACTTTTCTGTTCATAGATTTGTCCTATCATCATCCAAAGTTTTGCAAAATCTGGAAACACTTTAAGGGCTTCGTCGAGTAAGTGTAGAGCCTGGTCTAAGTCGTTCAGGGACCATTCCAACTTAGCACTCTTCATCATCACCCGTGGAGTCGGAGCCGATCCTAAATGAAATTCCATTTTCATAACATGCCGAGAAAAAAACGGATAAATTTTCTTAAAATCGTCATCATAAGTTGGATTTGGCCATTTGACTACTTACAAACATAACAGAGCGGCTGGTGATGCATGGAAGGACTGGAAATCTAACACAGGTGGGGCTCAAACCCACAACCTCACATTTATTTTAGGCGGGTGGTATCACAAGTGTCTTTTTCACGAGTCTTCATTACGTTTTGATGTCTACTGATGTAAACAGCTAAAACTCGGGACAAATATATATATATAGTAGCAATAGGCCCGGACAAAGCCGAAAACATGGCGACTTTGTCGTGTATCGAGGAATTTTAAAAAATCGAAACCTTTGAACGAAAAGGAATAAAGAAAGAAAGAAAGTCGCTATCCAAATTTCACGCAAAAATCGTTAGGTCCGCAGCTCCGTTATCTTCGGAGGAGATAGAGATTGAACATCGAACAGCACGTTTAAGACTCCAAAAAGGCCAATATTCCGACGTTTGAAGATTGTTTATTCGAAACGGGTGCCCTAAACGGAAAAAACTCTTTCTCGCGAATTTTTAGTATTCATCCTGATGTACAAAATGGGCTATGCGAAAGTTATTTCTCTTTGCCGCAGAGAAGTTCTCGGCTTGTTAACGAGCCGTTAGTCATTTTTCAGGTTTTTTTTGGAAAATTCCTAGAAAAAAAAAACAACTAAGATGCGGATCAAAAGCGGACCCGGTAAATCCGAAACGCCCATTATTTTGCTAGATAGCCAGGTCGTATTAGATAAGACGACCGATGCCGAGTCGATATTTGGAGAAATGTCGCAACGACGGCGGAAATCGTCCGGCGATATGCGAAAATCTACCCTATTTTCGGCTTTAACAGCCGTTTTAAAACGTTCATCGTCCTCGTACCTCGATGGTTCTTTCTCGCCCGTAAAGCGCCGAGTTTCTAATTTCCGAAACGGTATCGTTTTCCGTTAAAACCTTTCGCGAACCCGGAAAAAACTGAAAAACCGCACCGTCGTCGAAACGCTCCGATCCAGACTCGATAGGGGAGGCAATCGCAAAACAGAAGATCACTGCTTAATATAGTCGATATGACATCATTAATACCGGAAATAGGGGCTGTTCACCTATCCCTAGTTCATAAAATCTGATGGGACGCTTGGCTGGTAATATCATGAAACAAATGAGTCTGATAATTTCAAGGCCTACTTGGGATATTCTGTTTTTTTTTATTACTAAGGTTTGGCAATGTCAATGTATGACATTATACAGGGTGTAAACGTTATGATAGTCATTATTGAAATGGGTAATAGAGGGGGTCAAAACAAGTCAAAAAGGTCATGTGACGCATGGTCCAAAAGTCAATACATTTTTGTCTAAATGGCTTTATAGTTTACAACTTTAAGTACTTTATATCGACCACAATCTTACTAATTTTTATAATCTAATCTAAAACGTTTTTAAATTGGGTAATTAAGAATTAAATGGCATTAAGTTTTTCTAAGTTAAGTCAAAATTTGTAGTCAGTAAGTAAGTAAGTTTCATTAAATTAAATATTTAAAACACACATGACAAACGGTAAATGTGGTTAGTTATTGTTCGCGTGCGTCGTCGTGTTTATATACAATGTTCTCGAACCAAGAGTTCGCCGACATGTTGTTAGTTTACGGTGAAGCTCGTTAGAATTCAAATCTTGCAGCTCAAATTTATCGCGACAGATTTCGCCAACGGGTACACCCAGACAGAAGGACGTTTGTGCAAGCGTACCAAAGACTCCTAGATACAGGAAGTGTTCAGCCCACTAATATTCGCAATCGTGAAAGACAGGTTACTGTAGAGCAGGAGGAACAAATTTTAAATATCGTGGAAATCAATACAGATATCAGCACTCCGGAATTAGGCCGCCGTGTACGACTATCGCATACCATACTCCATAGAATTTGCTTTATCCCTACGATGTACAACGAGTGCAGGCCTTGTTACCAGAAGACTATCCTCGCAGACTAACATTCTGTCAGTGGTTTTTGCACAAAAATATTGAAAATCCAGATTTTTTTAAAAACATTCTAGCGACGGACGAATGTACTTTTACGCTAGACGGGATATTAAATTTCCATAATACTCACACGTGGGCCCAAGAAAATCCTCATACCATTCGTGAAGGTCATTTCCAACAACGTTTTAAAATCAATACTTTGAAGTTGAGTCATTAATTTTCAGATAATGATTGTAGAAGATAAACCAAAATATGTGTGTAAAAATAAAAAAAATTAAAAAAAAAATGTTACCTTGTTTTATAAAGTATCCTCCCGACAAGTATTTCAGTGCGGACCTGTATTTGATCGTGCGGTCTTGGAGCACCGGCATGCTCTCCCCTGTGAGGTCTAAGTCACCTGATTCACGAGCCCTTTGTACTGTACTACATTCAGCATTTTCGTAAACATGTGCCATTTTTTATTTCGTTTGAGCCACGCAACAAACACCACTATTCACTCACACGTTACCGACTGACACATCGACTGAATACAACTGAATAAAATTGTACATTGTAGTAAAAACATCGTTTCAAATTCTTTCGCTTTTTTGTTTCCGATGCGATGAACGGATAAGGCGGATTATATCCGTTGTTGCCAAACACGAGCACATAATATTATTATTGAGACAGGGCGGTACTCAAACTTCTAAAGGGCTATAACTTTGTTACTTTAATTTTACCAGAAAAATGTTGAAGGAAAAAACATTTCTTTTGATCAGATCTACTCACTGTAAAAATAAATGACTCAACTTCGAAGTCACCCTGTATTTGGGCGGGTATTCTTGACGATCAGGTAATTGGCCCTTTCGAGTTACCCCCAAAGTTGTCACGACAAGGATACTTTAGCTTTCTAGCCAATAACCTACCAGATCTTTTGGAACAGACCTTAGACAACATGCCATTACAACGGAGGCAGAATTTGTGATTTCTTCATGACGGGCACCACCACACATTTTCAGAGGCGTCATTCAGTATTTGAATGAACATTATCCAAATCGCTGGATCGGTCGAAATGCTCCTAATCCTTGAAAATGGCCAGCAAGATCTCCTGACCTCAATCCGATGTATTTCTGGTATTGGGGAGAACTTAAAGTGATGGTTTATGGGGCTGGTCCAATACCAACTGAAGCACAACTTTGCGAAAAAAAAATTAATGCTGCTGAAATAATAAATGGACAACTTCGAGGACCTAGAGTAAGAAGAAACTGGGCTCGTCGTAATGAAGCTTGTGTGGAAAGTGAAGGACGACATTTTGAACACCTTCTTTAAATACAAAAAAGTGCAGTGTGGGTTTTAAAAAGAAAAACAATGTATGTATCAAAATTGTGTTTTCTATTTATGATCGGATTTTTCTAATACGTTCAATAAACTTTCCCACACCAGGTGGTAAGTCCGTTTTTTTTAATTGTTTGCATTTTACGAGTACATTATCAAATAATGAAATAATACCTAAGAGCCAAAAATAACAAACTCCATCTTTATTTAAAATGCCGTTTTGACCCTCCTGTTATATGAAACTTTTTGCTTCTTTTAACCCCATCTATCACCCATTGAAATAATGACAATCATAACGTTTACACCCTGTATATTCTGTTTGGAATCAGAATTGAAAACTCTATTCATCTATGCAAGAATCCAATGTGATATATTTAAGGAAAAAAGAAAACTGAGGATTGAGGACAAGAGACGAAACGTCATATTAAAATTCTACTTACGTTATCTTGTAGAACAGAAAAATCCCTTTTTAAGTGCGAATTTCTTACTTACCTTAGTTTGCAACTTTGCCCCCATTTAACAGACTTCGTATCCGAGATCCCAATGGTATGTCAAGCTTGAAACATCCGATATACTACACATAGTCAAAAACTGTTTGGTTTTATTCCTACCCGACTTGAAATGTAGTCATGATCATTAACAGCCATTTTGCTTGTAGCGATTTTTTCTTGTGTGCAAAGGGACTTTTCTGAATAAAAACGTTGTTGAGAAGAATGAATCCTTTGTTTGTACACAAATGATCACAACAAAATGCGACTGTCTACAGGTCTAACGATGACGACCCATCAGTATTGTCTATCACTTGTCGATATGGGGTAGTTTGAAAATTTCCTAGATAATCAGCTGTTATTTGGTGTTGCTATTTGACACAATGAATACTCGTGAGAAAGACCATAACCAGCCACGGTAGTCGGTGACAAGGTAAGTCAAATTCACTAGTGCAGTACCATACCTCACCATGCAGCTCCTTGGATTAAGTCTTGCTAAGATTTGTGCTATACATAAATTAGGGAAAATCGCGAGAAAAATAGACTACCTCTAGCTTTTGCAAGGAGTCTCCTGGCTCTTTCATATTCCTTGTTTTCTGACTCCAGTTTTACGGCTGCCAACCAGATTTCTTCACTGTTCGGGTTTGCTTGAAAAGCAAGAGACAGAATACCTCTTGCTGCAGGTACGTCACCAGCAAGCCATTTGCTTTTTGCTCCCATCAGCCACAAGACCTGTACAACAACAACTATCAATAATAATAGTAATAGTAGATATATTAATGTTTATATGTATATGAAATTATAATAAGTAATATGACAATACATGCAGTCAGGTTACAAAATAAACATACAATATCCGCTGAAGCCAAAGGCTTGTGCGCGACATTGAAGTTGAACTTGTACACGAGTGAGTATTATGCATAATTAAAAAAATTACTATAATTTAAAAACAATAACTTTATGATGAAGATAATAAAATTAAGTGAAATAATTACAAGGAAGCAGATGCATTAAATGTACATAATAAAAAAACAAGAAATGAATACATACAGTAATGGACAAAAGTATGTAGACAAATTAATATTGTGCTGTATTTCTTTTTTAACTTGCTTTATTGATACACCAACCTGTATACATAAATCGTTATAGCATAATACTCACTTATACATAAATAAATTCATTAGACTCCCTTCAATAAAAAAATAATTGAAAAAACTGGAACTATGAAGGACAAAAATATAGACAAAGCAAAACAATTATACAAAAAAGAACCAAAGTTCATTGAATTATAGAAAACCAACCATGTTTGTGTTAATATTTTGTAGCATAACCATTATTATCAATCACCGAATGGGATTGTCTTGGCATAGATTGTAGAAGTTTCTTGATATAAGATTCATCAATCTGTCTCCACTTTTGCTCTAAAGCGGCAAAAAATTCATTCTTGTTTGAATAATTTTTATCTCGTATTTGCTTATCTAAGTAATCCCATAGATTTTCAGTGGGGTTTATATCGGGAGACTGTGGAGGCCATTTGAGAACTGGTATTTTTTCACCCAGAACGAATTTCTTTGCGAGATTTAGACTTATAGGCTAACATGACATGCTTTAGTATGCCTGTGTATACAAACTTATCCATAATGCCATCTATTCTATGTAAAGGACCCATCCCTAACCCCGGGAAGCACCCCCAAACCATAACAGACCCGCCTCCAAGTTTGACAGTGGGCAAAGTGTACTTGGGGTTCAATCTTTGTCCACTAGGACTTCTAACGTAATAAACACCATCTGATCCAAACATATTGAACTTGGATTCGTCACAGTCACAGATGCTCCAATCAAGATGCAACCGTGCAAATTGTAATCGTTAATAACATTTAGCAACAATCTCACATACTAATGTAAGTAATTTAAAATCATTTTGCACAATAGTTGCTATTTCTTCTCAATGTTATTGCAGCTCCTGATGAAGATGGCAAAGTCCATTGAAAGCTAGATACTAATGAAGTATAAAGAGTCCTCATTGCTTGAATTTTGTCGAAGTACCCAACTAAAGGCGGAAGCTATATTTTTCACCTAGCTGGTCTAGACGACAATGACCACGTCTCAAAAAAAATATATACAGGGTGGCCAAACACGTGACGTCATAAAAAAAATATTAGATTCCCCACATCGAGAGGAACCCAAATCACTCCCATATATATGGTCCGATTTTGTTTAGTTTAGGAGTTATGATTTTTTTTCGGATTTTTCGAGAATTTTTGAGTTCTGTGTTTATTTTTACCATAACTTCGTTAATAATTGTGATAAATGCCTGCTTTTTTCACGATTATGTAGCTAAGACCTAAGGCTTAACTATCATAATCATTCAAGTCATGTAACTAATACTACTTTTTATTTTTTTCAAAATCTTCGAACATAACAAAAAAGTAAAAAAGTGCAACAACTTTGAACGTTTATAAAAAATTGAAAAAACATGTTCTTACCATTCGTAAGTATCTTAAAAACTTCCTTACGGTATCAGCTATTTACCGTAAAAATTTCATCAACCTAGCTTTACTACATGCTACCGTAATTGTGGCTCAAATAGAACCGAACCCAAAATTGGATAACCCTCTGCTCAATAGAAATTGTTAGTTTCGGTAAAAAAATTTGCAAAAACCACAAAAACACGTTTGATTTTTACTGAACAGCAGATTATTATTCATTTATGTTATTTACAAGAGGTTTTCAAAATGTCTGCCTCTAACAGAAATGCACAGTGTACACCTACGTATGAAATTTTGTTTTAAATCTCTAAATGCTTGTGTGTTGTTTTTCAACACATGTGTCGCTTCTTGAATTTTGTTCCTCAATGAATTTTCATTTGCACATTCTTGGGCGAATGTTATGTCTTTAAAATATCCCCAAACAAAAAAATCAATGGGGTTGAGGTCAGGGGAGCGTGGAGGCCATCGTATCGGTCCGTTTCGTCCGATCCATCTGTCTGGGAACCTTTCGTTTAAGTAGTTTCGCACGATCGTTGCGTTGTGGCATGGTGCACCATCATTCTGGAACACCATGTTCCGTCTGGCTTCCAGGCTTGAATCTTCCAGCAATAATGGTAGGCTATTTTCAAGGAAGCTTTTGTAGGCTACCGAATCCAACCTTGACGGCAGTTCAAATGGACCGATAAATTCCATATTGAATATTCCTGACCACATGTTCATTCGTCCTGGAATGCGGCCTGCCATGAAAGTGTTATGTGTGTTAATAAAAACACGGTGGTCTGGGTAATGCTCAGGTTGTGGTCCGCCTCGGCGTATAAGTTGTTCCCGGTACAGCTGAGCTGCTAAAGCGCCGTTGCCTTGAGCAACGCCATAATAATAATGCATCGACATTTCAACACCGTTTTAGTGTGAACATGTGGTCATGAATATTCAATATGGAATTTATCGGTCCATTTGAACTGCCGTCAAGGTTGGATTCGGTAGCCTACAAAAGCTTCCTTGAAAATAGCCTACCATTATTGCTGGAAGATTCAAGCCTGGAAGCCAGACGGAACATGGTGTTCCAGAATGATGGTGCACCATGCCACAACGCAACGATCGTGCGAAACTACTTAAACGAAAGGTTCCCAGACAGATGGATCAGACGAAACGGACCGATACGATGGCCTCCACGCTCCCCTGACCTCAACCCCATTGATTTTTTTGTTTGGGGATATTTTAAAGACATAACATTCGCCCAAGAATGTGCAAATGAAAATTCATTGAGGAACAAAATTCAAGAAGCGACACATGTGTTGAAAAACAACACACAAGCATTTAGAGATTTAAAACAAAATACACTGTACATTTCTGTTAGAGGCAGACATTTTGAAAACCTCTTGTAAATAACATAAATGAATAATAATCTGCTGTTAAGTAAAAATCAAACGTGTTTTTGTGGTTTTTGCATTTTTTTTTTCCGAAACTAACAATTTCTATTGAGCAGAGGGTTATCCAATTTTGGGTTCGGTTCTATTTGAGCCACAATTACGGTAGCATGTAGTAAAGCTAGGTTGATGAAATTTTTACGGTAAATAGCTGATACCGTAAGGAAGTTTTTAAGATACTTACGAATAGTAAGAACATGTTTTTTCAATTTTTTATAAACGTTCAAAGTTGTTGCACTTTTTTACTTTTTTGTTATGTTCGAAGATTTTGAAAAAAATTAAAAAGTAGTATTAGTTACATGACTTGAATGATTATATGATAGTTAAGCCTTAGGTCTTAGCTACATAATCGTGAAAAAAGCAGGCATTTATCACAATTATTAACGAAGTTATGGTAAAAATAAACACAGAACTCAAAAATTCTCGAAAAATCCGAAAAAAAATCATAACTCCTAAACTAAACAAAATCGGACCATATATATGGGGGTGATTTGGGTTCCTCTCGATGTGGGGAATCTAATTTTTTTTTATGACGTCACGTGTTTGGGCACCCTGTATATACATATTTATATTGCACTTCATTAAATAAAATATTTTAAATTCCTACCTCACTTTTAGGGCAATGAGCAACAGCTCTCTGCAACAACGTCTCCAAACTCTCTCTGGAACCATGATTTTTCTCAAGATATGCAGCTCGCAACCAAATCGATTTCTTTCCTGGAAAGGCAGTCAAGGCAATGTTGTAGACAGTTCTAGCACATTCGTATGCACCCTGATTCGCACACTGAAAAAGCATATATGTGTTGAAAGCATTATTGAAAAGATTGTAAATGGCAACGCTGTCTCAGTGCTGCCCGCCTACCACTGTATGATTATGTAAGTAGCACTCAACTATTGTTGGCGCACACACTCTTGATGGTGTTAGAATTGTATAGTACTTGTTATAAGTTGATGTGATAGGGAGGTCAGGGCATACAATTATTTCTTTCTAACACAAATGAAAGTTTTCTTACATTTTCTGCATCTTCCATCCATGTGTGTTTCTGATCCTCTGGTTCTACTCCATAACTGATAATAGCCTTCACAATTGCTCGGCAACAATGCACATGTCCGCCTTTTTCACTTTCAATAGCTTCTTTAAACCAATGTTCTCTGTTTATCTCCACACCATTCGAACTCAGTGACGTTATGGCCCTTTCTATTATTTTCTCCACCATGTGATGGTTACCTGAAAAAGAAGAGTTTTTTAATCCAACTTCCGAAACATGACCTGTGGTTGTGGTAAAATACATGATTTGTGCTCAAACAACTTCTGAGAAAGCCCGCACCATTAAAGCAATACCACTTGCCACGCCAGATGCTATTTGGTGGACCTAAGGTAACTGAAACGCGAACAAGGATTTACATCACAACAGATATTTATGTTCATCAAAATGCAGGCTTACCATTAGCTTCTTCTAACTTAGCAGCAGTGGTCCAGATAGATTTGTCGGTAGGTACGTTTTCTCTAGCTTTGTTCAATACCTTCCTAGCATTCTCGTAAGTTTCCAGCTTGGCCAATGCTAACCACAGTTCCACTGCTTGTGGGCAACATTCTACTGCTCTGGATAGCAGAATTCTGGCATCATCAGGGTTTTCTAGTTCCACGGCGGCTTTCCATAGACGTACGGAGTTAGGAATGTGTTCCAGTGCTTTGCGGAAAACCCGTCGTTTTGCTTTAATTTCGGTTTCTAGATCAGCCGCTTTGATCCAAATACGCACCTAACGAAAAAAATATCGAGATAACCAACATCAAACTCATAAGTTTCCATTAGCATCGGTGGTTAGTACAACTAGCAAATATGAGATGATGCTTCAGTTACTTTAACAACCCAAAAAACAGCCTTTAAGAAGCGTGGAATAATCATTTCCTTTTTACATAATACTACACAGCAGGCTTTTCTGTGAAAATTGTTACTGTACTTCATTTTTACCTACTATCCCCAATTAATAGTAGACCAAAAATATTTCTCAAAACCCAGATGCTCCATTGGGGATACAGTTCTGTTTCAGTTTCAAAAACCAGCTTATACATGTATGCCAGAAAATGACTTACATGAATATTCCTGACGAGTGTATCATAAAGGCAAACACTATCTCAATTTTGAATTTGTGATTAAACGAGCGCGGTTCAATAAGTACCCGTGTTAGAAATGAAGACACCATTTTTTCCAAGAAATTTCTTTTTATTGTTCAACACAATCCCCCTTTTAAAAAGATACACTTTTCCCACCGTCCCGGCGATGACTTCCTCGTTTGAGGTAATTTTTTTCCCCGTGAGCCATTTCTTCATGTCAGGGAACAAGAAAAAGTCGCAGGGGGGCAGATCGGGTGAATACGTGAATACGTGCGGCAGCACTTCATAACGCAATTCATTGCAGTTTGGCGGCGACAAATTCGGATGAATGTGCTGGTGCGTTATCCTGGTGAAGCAGCACCTTTTTGTCGACAAATGTGGACGTGTCTCCTTCAATTTTTTGTCGAAGCGGTCCAATAACTCACTATAGTATTGTCCAGTGATCGTTCTTCCTTTTTCTAAGAAATCCACGAGGATGTCGCCATTCGCATCCCAAAAAATCGTCGCCATGATCTTTCCGGCCGATGAGACCATCTTCGCCTTCTTTGGAGCAGATTCACAGGGAGAAATCCATTGTTTTGATCGTTGCTTAGTTTCTGGTGTGTAATGATGAATCCAGGTTTCATCGACGGTGACCACTTGACGCAAAAACTCCTTCGGATTTAAATTGCTCCAAACACTGGATCCGCTTGTTGATCACCGAGAGCAATCGTGGCACCCATCGGGACGACAATTTTTTCATAGGTAACTTATCATGTAAAATATTGATTGCCGTTCAGGTCGACACACCTACGGCCTCTGATACTTCGCGCACTTTCGTTCGTCGATCAGCGAGAATCATGTCGTGGACTTTTTGAATGATTTCCTCAGTAGCCACGTCTGCCGGGCTTCCTGGTCGATCCTCATCAAAAAGGGATGTTCGCCAACGTTTAAATTTGTTGAACCAAAATCTAACTGTGGTCATAGTTGGCGAAGTGTTCCCATATACAGCATCCAACTTTGCTTTTGTCTCCTCGCATTTTTTCCCATCCAAAAACAAAAAGCGAATTACCGAACGATACGGCCCTTTTTCCATCGAATCACGAAACACGTATTACTCGAATGGCTGGCAAATCCAAACTAACCTATCAATCAGTCTGAAATTTGTTGTGCCGTCGTTTGATAGATGGCAGCACACGATAATAACATTAAGTTCCTTCAGGAACGCCCTCTGTCGCCAAAAACGGGTACTTATTGAACCGCCCTCGTAATACTAAACAACAACAATTGTAGGACGCCTTTATGCCCTCCTTGATTTTCGTAGTCTTGCCTCTCCTTCAGAAAGGCTAGAATATTTATGGATTTCTACTGTTCCGTGTCAGCGTCATCGCTCTCCTATTGTCAGGCTGTTTTCTTCTTGAATTGTAGGCAATTTCAGGCTATATAACAAATGATATAAATCAAAAGCATGAGCAATTTAATGCAAATAGATATTTGTAACATAACCTCAAAATGGAGAAGAGAAAACTATGAAAATCAAGGAAGTCATAAAGGCGTCCTACAATTGTAGGAATGACTGACGATACGGCCCAAAAGGATGACTCTGGTGTGCCGGTGTCTTTATAGGTTGGTTGAGGGACAGTTTTTTGTTATCAGTATCCGTCAGCGATTTGGACGTACAGAAGGTATCTGATGTCTTCTAGCAGAGCAGTTATAGAAGCCGACAACCGCCAAATATGCGTTTATCGGTGGTTGTATATTTTTCGGAGTGCTCAGTGAAAATTGTGAGACATGTTTGAATCTATTTGACCTGAAACTTTGGTGCTATCGGTAAGTTTTTTTTGCATTTGATGAAAAACGCTTTGTAGGAATATCCGAATATATTCTCTTTATGAGTTTACTCGCTGACCTTTTAAGCATCAAATCTTTTATTGTTTATAAAATTCCAAATACCGTTTTCAAGTCTCTTATTGAGAAGAAGCATATGCAAAAGAGAGGTATTGTGACTAAGAAGTGGAATTTTCAAATGTTTTCCAAACGAGTGATTTCACCAATATGGTAATGATCCCCCTAACTTAATCCCAAGACCTAAACTACCATTCAGATGATGGAATGTTGTATACCCTATTTCACGAGTATCCATCACGGTAGAATGAAAGCTACAGTATATTCAGATAAGAGATAGACCGGATGTAAACAAAAGGTTCGGGTGATTTTCACGCTAACGCCGCCGTCTCGACGTAAAACAGGAGCCCTCATTGGTCAATTCGCAATTAAATGCCTATGCCGAGCGGCAGAGCAGTCGTATCAAGGCAGAGTCACATTCAGGTTCAGACGTGTTACGTATGTCGTGTGCATCATTGCAATTTGATATTTCTTTGGACGTTTTCGTTTGTTATCTTATTAAGTTGTTGAGTTTGTCGTTGTTATTGTTATACCTTGTTATTGATTGTTATTGTTATCAACTGCTTGCGCAAAATGCCCGGTAGTACAGATACTGAAAATGAAGTTGTAAACTCCTGTAGTCCACCTAGGAAACGCTCTAAAAAAAGACACCTGAGTGCAGAAATGAAAGAGGTCATTTTGAATATATATAAGATCGAGCGCGAGGAGAACGAGGCATCAACCATCAAAGAAATTGTTGTGAAGGTTTCTCACAAAGTTGGGGTGTGTCGCGCATCAGTGTTTAATGTGTTAAGACAATACAAAAAAAATCACACCTTTTCTGAGCCAATGACCAGTAAACATCGCAAAAGTATTGTTAAATCATTGGATGAAGCTGATAAGCATGTGATTAGGAGGAAAGTGCATGAATTCTTCTTTAGGAATGAAATACCTACTATAGATAAAGTACTGCAGGAGGTAAATGGAGATACAACGTTGCCAAATTTCAAACGATCAACTTTCCATGCGTTACTGAAGCATTTAAATTTCAAATGGAAAAAACGGGGTCGTAATAGTTTACTACTGGATAGAGAAGAAATTGTGCTATGGAGGAGGGATTATTTAACAAAAATTGGGAAATATAGAAATCAAAACAGGAAGATTTATTACCTTGATGAAACGTGGGTAAACGCAGGACACACTACAAGTAAAGTATGGGTTGATGATTCTGTAACTTCATCCAGGAGGGCCTTTCTAGATGGACTGTCCACCGGATTAAAAAATCCAGCAGGTAAATACGACTAATAGACAACAATCGGATGTTTTTCAAACCTTGGGAACAAGGTTCTAAACATTAATTCCAGGGGGCAGATAAAACATATTACAAGTAACAAAACTTTTATAACTTTCGATAAAATGCGTGGATGTTTTATTGTCATTTTCATTTGTTAGAACTTTTTTAAGCCATGTTTTTATGTGTTTTCGATATTTCAATAATTTTTTAATATAATCTTAAAATATGTCGAATATTATAAACTTAAAAAAAGTTACTAAGTTTTATATTGTGTACCGTTCCTAATATTTCTAATCATTTTAATTCATACTTTAAGCTTTATAAAGTTATAATTTGTTAATATTAATATTTGCGCGTATTTCAGGTTCCTGATCATTCATTTTTTAAAGGTTTATAACTTTAAATTAAATTGTGAAGCGCTGAGTAATCATACGACGTTCAATATTCTTTCTTTCAATATGACTAAATAATCCCAATTATAGCAATCTGATACTCATGTCTCAATGTTTTTTCGCTGAATGTGATGAAAACATTTGAAAAAGGTTCGCTTACTGAAATAAATCTACACCAGTTAGTACTTCGATTTCCAGGTAAAGGGAAAAGGCTCATTATCTGCCATATTGGCAGTGAGGATGGATTTGTTGTTGACGGTCTGTGGTGCTTTGAGTCTAAGAAAACTGGAGATTACCACGAGGAAATGAATGGCGAATCGTTTGAACAGTGGTTTTCAAAAATTTTACCGAACAGAGGAAAACGCAGTAATTGTGTTGGATAATGCGCCTTATCATTCTCGAAGAATGGAGAAGGTCCCAACAACGGCTTCAAGGAAAGTTGATGTTCAAAATTGGCTCCGCTCGAAAAATATCAACTTTGAAGAAGCAATGCTGAAAGTACAATTATTAAGAATTGTCAAGGATCACAAGGCGGAATATCAAAAATACGCCATTGACGAAATGGCAGCAAGTCAAAATAAAACTGTGCTCCGTTTACCTCCATACCATTTCGAGCTCAATCCCATTGAGCTCATATGGGCAGAGGTTAAAAATTATACACACACAATACAACTTTTAAATTTTGTGACCTCAAAGGACTTTTCAAAGAAGCACTAGAATTAATAACAGCGCAAAAATGGGAAAACTGTATTAAGCACGTGAAAGACAAAGTTGAAAAGAGAATGTGGGAACTGGACAATATTTTAGAGGAACAAGTCGAGCCATTCATTATTGACGTTGGTGCTTCAGGCAGTAGCGATGATGAAAGCTCATCAAGCTCATCTTTCCAATAAAAGATGTCGTTCATCAAATTCGGTAAGTTATAAGTAATTATAAAGCTACTGTATTTTTTAATTAATTATTGACATTTTTGAACCCATTTTGGCAAAACCTATTCAAGAATCTACTTTCTGACAATGTTCAACCATGCACATTTTTTTACGTTTTGAACGTTTTAATTTGGTTACATATTTACCTAGAAATCAAAAAATATACTAATCAATATTCTAAAAGCAATTTTAAGAGATATACGATTATTTTTAATTTAGGCTAATTTAAACGCCATTTTGAGATTATATTCGACTGTATTTCACCAAACATCAGGCGGCATCCGAAGCTGGAAATCGAAGCGAAAATTTTGAAACCCTTATGTATATTTACATCATTATATATTTCTTACCCCACCCCCACATGATCCTATATCCATCACCAATCGTATACACATCGAATTGTGCTAATTTACTACAAAGTTACGCAAAGCAGCATCTACTATCTAAAATATGTACTGCGTGACTCTTAATACGTCCCTGCTGAATGTTACAGCGTTCGATGATCACGTGGTCTTGTTTATGTCCGGTCTATCTCTTATCTGAATATACTGTAATTATCTAGTAATATCTCAAAATTCCCCATATCGGCACAGGGCATAATTCTCACGGATCCGGCAACGTCAGGTAGTCAGAGCCGTATTTTGTTTTAGTTTTTTGTAAGGTACATACATTTTGTACTTGCTAACAGCTCTTTTATTTGGAAAAGTTCATTTGCATACAAAAAAGAAAACGCTACAAACAAGTCTTACTAGATTTACACCCGATTCATTATTGCCAACGTCGCAGACTAACACAAAAATGTCACTTGCTGATCAACTGTTAACCTCAGTAGACGTCAAGGCGTGATGGATACTGGTGAAATAGGATGTATATACTTGATTACTGCAATGCCAACAAACAAACCTTCAGTTTTTGGAAATGAGTTGTAATATGCAGGGTGTTTCAAATTTGACCTTCACCATTGGGATCTCGGAAACTGTAAGAGATACGGAGTCGCTTAAATGGGACAAAGTTCCGTATTTAGGTAATTAACAAAATTCAGCTAAGAAAGTTTCGAAATTCAAAGTACTTCCGGATACAAACTGAAAAAAAATTTCCCAAAATTAATTTTTTCATTACTATTTGTCGAGGGATTTTAATATAAATTGCACATTAACATTGTCACTTTTTCTCCTCTATAAGATGACATAATTAGAATTTCAACACACAACAATGGTGAATTTGAAATACCCTGTATAGATTCTATAATGGACTACACTTTTTAAAAATGGCATCCAGTAGATTGACATCATTTTTCATGCAGAGGTGTTAGCTTGTAACCAAAGAGTATGACTGAATTTTGGAACTTTTGCTACATGTTTTTGGTGGCTACAAAGTTCTTGTAGTCCTTGTCATCCTACATTCAGTCTGATCAAAACAGAGCATCTGCTAGTACTATTGCAATGAGTTAACCATCCAGTAAGTGATTATTTCAGTATCCTCAATTAATAATGTTCTTGCATCCATTATCACATAATCTACCTTGCCTAAGTTGTATTTTTTAAAAAATTGTCTTACAGATGTGGGAATATGCCTAGCAGCCTGTGCAATTATAGCCTTAGCAGTCTCAGGTGGATTCAACCTGGCAGCTTCCAACCACAGATCCTCGCTCTGGTGATTCACTTCACAGCCCTTCATGATCAAATTCCTGGCCGCCTGCACTTTTCCAGTCACTTCTTCCAGCCTAGCACTAGCTATCCAGGCGGGTGGATGATTTGGATTCGTCTCACGAACGGACTTCAGCAGCAGTCTTGCTTTTTTGATATCATTTATGTCCCCACCATATGTGGGAATCATGGACTGAAGATCGGTCAGGTATCCTTTGGGGTCTACTACTGTTTGTCCTGTTACTGAATCAGATACCTGGAAATCATCATAAAAATGTTATAAGGGTGAATATACGGTATTTGGGATATCAATGTTCTGCCAAAAAACTCTTTTAGCAAATCGACAAAATGTGGAAACAAATCATCCAAATAGTGTGAAATATCATAAAATTATGGTAACCATTGAGACTTAAAAAATGTATGTTTTTAGTGGTTCCTGAAAATTGTTTCCATCACCTGGCGCAGTTCAAATTGCATATTTTCATATAGATGTGAAAATTTCGCAATTTGACCTTGATCAAAGCATAGAAAATCAAGAAATGATAATTTGAAACTAGCTGAAACTAGAAACGGGTTGCACACATAATGATGACAGTTACCCTGTTGCCAGTGGTTCCAGTATTTTTCCTGGTAAGTATATCTTTATGAACTTCAATGGCACATTTTTGCAACTACAGGTATGTAAAAGGTACCGATTCTCGGAAACAAAATTCATGAATCACACACAAGAATATATTAAATGCATCATTTTTTTTTGTTTAAATGCATCATTTTTTTGTCATGTACGTTTTTGTCACTACCCTGTCAGTTTTCAAGTCAACTGTTTTTTACTTTTGTTTCTACTTTCTGTTATTTTTTTAGAATAACAAATATAAACAAAGAAAGCAAAGCATGTAAGCTGCTATCAAAAAAAATGTCTGGCTTCCAAACACAACTGTTACCCTAAGGGTCTGTGAGTTCTCATTCTATAGGATTCTCTTATTCTTAAGAAATAACTATTGAACTTATTCAGCTACTGATATCTATATAATGTTTAAAGTACCTTTTTCATAGTTGACACCCCATTGACCCACATTGTCCCCTTTTGTACATATAAAAGCTGCCAAAATCAAAATAATGTCTGACCCTGTCAAATATATGTTTCACATAACATATGATATGATGACATAATGTGACATAATGAATAGGAAAACAAAATAAGCTATTTTTCGTGCCAGTTGTTATATGAATATTTTGGACATAATTAAGTCTTAGGCATAACATAAATAAGAATGGTAGATGAAACATATTCTTGTCACCTAGTTACACATTTTAGGACCTAAATACATTTTCTTTCAAAGTTAGTGTAATTTTGAATTGTCCTAACAAGTAACATATGATATAATGAATATTAAATTTTATGTTTAGTGTGATTTTAGCCTAATATACCTTCATGACTTTTTAAATGTAGATAATTTCCATTATCATTGTTTTTACGATTTGCAAATACTTAGGATTATCCCTATTTTATGTTATAACAATAATAATAAAACGTCTTTATTGGACGAAGTTTAGCATAAGCTATCCTACCACTTAACCTGTAAAATGTCCATATGCAAAATAAACAAAAAAAAATTATATACCAACCACTAAAAATGCAGAGTTTCAACATAAAAAATGAATTAATTGAGTAAAATACAGGTAAATCAAGATTGGATAAAAGTATAACATTATACATACATATAAAAAGATGCTAATGCATACAGGGTGACGGGAAAATAGATGCGGAGCCGGTGGGGGGAGATAGTACAAGCCAATCTGAGTCGATTTTACTATAAGAACTACCGTCCGAAAATTAGCCGTTTTCGAATTATACTAATTTTTAAGATTTGATAAAATTAACGTCCTTTATACGTTAACCAAGTCATAAAACTTGAAAATTGGGTGTTTCATTTGATTTTTTTTTTGGTTTTACAATAAAAAATTTCTAAAATACGAAAATTGATACTCAAATGTACATTATTGACGTTATCTCATGCAGTAAGCTTCAAAATAGTTTAATTTTCATTAAAAAAATCTTCGATCATCTCAAAAACTCAATTTACTAGAAATAATCACGTACAAATTTTTCGCGCAAAACTATTTTAAAATATCTACGTTTCATTACCTTCAAAATGAGGTATCAAAGTCACAAACCGGTTTAGAAATGACAAAGATATGAGTGAAAGAAGCAGGTAGAGCCGCGAACATCGGACTTTGTCACCGGAATAGTGTGAGAAGTAAGACTAGTCACCCCCCCTCCCTCCCACGCTTCAATCTGCTCTTGCGATTTGTTGCGTTCGGATGTGTTTGTTTGCTCGCTGTTTTGATGTTTCTAAAGACTTGGCTCTTGTTGGACTTCCGTGTGTCATTCTGACTGTACCCTGTTTTCTGTGATTCCTTACGACTTGGCTGCTGTGTGACTTGATTGATCGTTGATCTACCTATCGATGAACAATGGTTTATGAACAAAGGAGGCGGCAGTTTCCGAATCGATGGATCGGTAGAGGCCGACCAATCTCATGGCCAGCATGCAGTCTCGATCTCACACCTATGGACTGTTTTGTGAGGGGTCGCATGAAAACTTTAGTATACTCTGCTCAAAATCCTGTACCCACAAGACCTCAGAAACAGCATAATACATGGCAGCTCAAGAAATTCAAGCCTCTCTTAGGAATTCGGCGGTAGTAAAATCAGCTGTCATAAGAAGAGCATGTGTGTGCATTACAAATAGAGGGCGCCATATTGAACATATATTATAAAAATAAAAAAATGTAGTTTCAAAAAAATTATCCTGTATTAAGGTAGATTTTGTAAGTTTTATTGCTTTTTCCTTCCTCCTCTTATAATAGTCATATTTTTGCCAATTCTTAATCGGTTTGTGATTTTTATACCTCATTTGAAAGGTAATGAAACGTAGATGTTATCTAATTATTTTGTACGAAAAATTTGTATGCGACTTTTTCTAGTAAACTGAAGCTTTTGATATGAACGAAGATTTTTTTAACAAAAATCGAACTATTTTGAAGCTTACTGCATGAGATAACGTCAATAATGTACATTTGAGTATCAATTTTCGTATTTTAGAATATTTTCATTGTAAAACAAAAAAAAATCATATGAATCACCCAATTTTCAAGTTTTATGACTTGGTTAACGTATAAAGGACGTTAATTTTAATATATATAATCTTAAAAATTAATATAATTCGAAAACGGCTAATTTTCGGACAGTAGTTCCTATAGTAAAACCGACTCAAATTGGCTTGTACTATCTCCTCCCACCGGCTTCGAATCTATTTTGCCGTCACCCTGTATATTATAAGTAGAATTAAGAGATAAATGTATATAAATGATTGCTCGAAAATTATTATTCTTAAATAATTTTTGAAATTCAAAGCTTTATTATCATAGAGTAAAGCATTGTACATGATAGTAGTTTTATAACATTTAGTAAAAAATTAGGTTCTGTGAGGGACCATTGTTAATGTATCAATAAAGCAAATATAAGTGCCTAGAACCACGAAATTTTAAAATATCTTTCAAAAATGGGGGAATTGAGGTGAGTAAAAGCTTATGAATATAACATAATCAATAGAATTCAAATAGATTAGGAATAAATAACGATTCCAATTTTATGGACGAGGAGGTAAGGTGGTCATAGTTTTTCAAGTTACAGATTAATCTGCGACATAAATTTTGAAGAGGATAAACAATGTCGCAGTATGTAATTTTTGAAATGACTGACAGAGAATTAGTGTTTTATCTGGTAATACCTGTGATAGCTTCACATTCATCAAGGTATTTCTAGCTTGACCAATCTTTCTCAGATCCATATCTCCAGTAGGAGTCAGCATTCCTAGAAAAAAAAGATGCTATTGACCAAAAGATTCTTTTTGGTTGGGCCTACACGTATACAGGGTGTCCCGAAAAAAGTGTGCAATATTCTACCAGCGGTTTCTAGAGCTTAAAATAGGAAGAAAAGTTTATATAAACATAGGTCGACAAACGTCCCCTAAGGGCGCTACGGTCTTTTAAAGGGGTTGGTTTTTCCTTAATATTTGCGAAACGTGTTGAGATAAAGACATAAAATTTGGTATTCTAGCCTAGTTTGTTTATGCTGGATTTAAAAATATGAACAATTTTAGACAGTTTTGTTTGGAATCGTATGTAACAGGAACGGATTCAGGTTATTTTAGCCCCAAAATTTTTGTGTGATTCTATTTTTTTAATTCAATTTTAGAATTTGAAAATTGGGGGTTTTCTACATAAAAAAGATGCTCTTATTGAATATCGATAAATTGTGCCGTTTTTTGAATAAAATCAAACTAAAGAATTTGTCACATCATAGGAAATGTACTGCGAATTTAAATGAATTGTTGAATAATTAGCCATGACAACGAAAAAACTAATTTAATGATTGGTAAATATTACATAAATACACATTTCTATTGCAACATAGCTAACATTTAGGCAAAAACAAAAGAAATAAATTTTGTCTACGAACGAAATTGAAATTTGTTTAAAAAAGAAGACATACAGTTGGATATACTTAAAACTAGCTTTACAATAAGTGTTCAAATAAATTCCCATTTTGTTGGATACGGAGTCTCGCTCGACGAACTAATGATTGCGTAGCCCGAAAAGTGGAAAACCTTTTTCTTCTTATTTCATTCACAGCCTGATGGATTCTTTGAAGTAAATCTTCTTGAGTATATACTTCAGTCGAGTGAACTAGGTCTTTTAATGATCCCCAAAAATAGAAATCCAACGGATTTAGGTCAGGTGTACGTGGCGGTCACGCTATATGACCTCCTCGGCCTAACCACCTGTCTGGAAAATTGACATTCAACCAATTTCGAACATTGCGTCCAAAATGTGCAGGGGCGCCATCATGTTTAAAAAACATATTTTCTTGAAACTGCTGGCGCACATCCAATGGTATTATATCCTTGAGCTCATTCTGAAGAAAGTTCAGATACACCTCTGAATTAAGACGATTAGGAAGTACAATAGGCCCAATTACTTGATCCCCAATTACTCTTGCCCATAAGTTCAATGAAAATCTGTTGGAAATTTGTACGGCGAACAACTTTTGGATTCTCATCTGACAAGTGATGCATGTTATGGAAATTAAAAGCACCATTCCTAGTAAATATTGACTCATACGACCATAATATTCTAGGAATAGTGTTTTCATTTGCTAATATCCACTGGCAAAACTCGATTCGAGAATGCTACACCCGTTTAAAATGATAAGGATGTAATCCTTGCATTCTTGTCATTCTTCCTATCTAAAATTATTATTTTTAGGATAACTATCAAATAGGTATTATTCATAAATTTTTCTTACTATTGATCCAGGCATATCAATATTTTCTGAAACATTTCGTTTGCTTATTTGCGGATTATTTTCAAACGTATTTAAAGCAATATCCATACGATGATTTCCCAGTGGCCTTCCTGAGCCCTGCATGCGCTGAAAACTTCCATGGTTTGACAAATTCCAGTGAATATTAGTAAACATCCGACGTCCAGGTACTTTGCGATTGAGAAATCTTCTTTGATATTCTCTTACGGCTGCCAATGAACTGCATTGCAAAACCCGTACACAAAATGCATGTCAGTCAGTTCTCTGTCTGTAAATCTTGGCATTTTAAATCGATTTAATAAAAATTTTGATTTTAATCTAGTAATTTTACACTGCTAACAATGTCAGCTTAACGTCAAAATACGTCATAACAAATCAAAACAATTTTTGTTTGCAGTCATGGCTAACTATGTATAATCAACAATTCATTTAAATTCGCAGTACATTTCCTATCATGTGACAAATTTTTTAGTTTGATTTTATTCAAAAATGGCACAATTTATCGATATTCAATAAGAGTACCTTTTTTATGTAGAAAACTCTAAACTTTCAAATTCTAAAATTGAATTTCAAAAATAGAACCAAACAAAAATTTTGGGGCTAAAATAACCTGAGTCCGTCCCTGCTACATACGCTTCCAATCAAAACTGTCTAAAATTGTTAATATTTTTAAATCCAGCATAGGAAACTAGGCTGGAATACTAAATGTTATGTCTTTATCTCAACACGTTTCGGAAATATTAAGGAAAAACCATCTTCAGGGGAGCCCCTTTAAAAGACCGCCGCTCCCTTAGGGGACGTTTGTCGACCTATGTTTATATAAACTTTTCTTCCTATTTTAAGCTCTAGAAACCGCTGGTAGAATATTGCACACTTTTTAGTAAATAATGAGGAATAAAATTGGCTATGTTTTCTGAGTTTTTGTGACACCATGTATGGGTTTACTGTAGCAAATTTCAATGGGGGATTGTATCCTTACCAGGTGTAGCATCTCCTGGCACCATGCTAGCAAGGCCGGAACTGGGATCTAAAGTTGTACTTTGCTCTCCTCCTAAATTTCTAGATAAAACACTGTCAGGTAATGGAGTAAATTTCTCAGCTCTTGGATTTCTTTGTTTTTTATTTCTTGCGTCACCAACTTCTGGTACAGACTTCCATTCATCTTCTGTAACCTGTGCCAAATCTCTCTTCAAATCAGAGAACTGTTGCTGGATTTTTGGACGCTCCTGTCGATATCTGTAAAATGGGTTATATGATCTCAAAAATTCAGTAATGGACAAAAGTATATAGACAAATTAATATTGTGCTGTATTTATTTTTTACCTTGTTTTATTAATAAACCAACCTGTATATATATATATATATATATATATATATATACGGATTCTGCGGATTTAACCCATTATTTTCCTACTTTTTTTTATATACCTTTCTCCGCATGATCATTTTCTCTTTGTAGATCCTTTGGGCTTGAAGTACCACAGCAAGTGGCTATATCCGGCCGCGTGGTTGTGGTTAGATGTCTCCTTGAAAATTCGAGGTCTTCTAGCCGTTTGGTACTACAATGTGTAGGTTGGCTCTTGTTGTGGACTTCGTGTGTCGTTTTTTTTCCCTCTCCATCTTCGTTTCCTCAGGTTACACCCGTATCCGGATGTGTGGGCATGTGTATCTACTTTGGTAGTTTCATATGTGCATTCATTTCGGGCCTGATGAAACCAACCAGCAGAAATACGTATCGCTCGGGTTACCTATCCTATTTTCTGCTCGAATCGACTTTCCTCATTTTTGCGGATTTTGCCCATTATTTTCATACTTATATATATATATATATATACAGGGTGACTTTGAAGTTGAGTCATTAATTTTCAGATAATGATTGTAGAAGGAAGATAAACCAAAATATGTGTGTAAAAATAAAAAAAAAATGTTACCTTGTTTTATAAAGTATCCTCCCGACAAGTATTTCAGTGCGGACCTGTATTTGATCGTGAGGTCCCCTGTGAGGTCTTAAGTCACCTGATTCACGAGCCCGTTGTACTACATTAACAAAGGCACGAGGGGTTGGTTGCACTCGATTGGGAAACCGATCCGCATAAACATGTGCCATTTTTTATTTCGTTTGAGCCACGTAACAGACACTATTCACACGCGACACTGACACTGACTGTATGTATAACTGAACTGAATAAAATAATAAACTGTACACAAACATCGTTCCAAATTCTTTCGCTTTTTTGTTTCCGATGCGATGAACCGGTAAGGCGGATTATATCCGTTGTTGCCAAACACGAGCACATGATATTGAGACAGGGCGGTACTCAAACTTCCAAAGGGCTATAACTTTGTTACTTTAATTTTACCAGAAAAATGGTAAAGGAAAAAAACATTTCTTTTGATCAGATCTATTCACTGTTAAAATAAATGACTCAACTTCGAAGTCACCCTGTATATATATATATATATATATAGAGTAAATTATCATGCGGAGAAAGGTATATAACAAAAATTTTCCTATTTAATATACTCACTTATACATAAATAAAATCATTAGACTCCCTTCAATAAAAAATTAATTGAAAAAAACTGGAACTATGAAGGACAAAAATATATAGACAAAGCAAAACAATTATAGAAAAAAGAAGCAAAGTTCATTGAATTATAGAAAACCAGCCATATTTATGTTAATATTTTGTAGCATAACCATTATTATCAATCACCGCCTGGCATCGCCTCGGCATAGATTGTAGAAGTTTCTTGATATAAGATTCATGAATCTGTCTCCACGTTTGCTCTAAAGAGGCAAAAAGTTCATACTTGTATGAATAATTTTTGTCTCGTATTTGCCTATCTAAATATTCCCATAGATTTTCAATGGGGTTTATATCGGGAGACTGTGAAGGCCATTTGAGAACTGGTATTTTTTCATGCAGAAAGAATTTCTTCGCGAGATTTGAAGTGTGCTTCGGGTCATTATCTTGCTGGAAGATTGATCTCAAGAGCATATTGTCTTCCATACAGGGTAACATGACATGTGTATACAAACTTATCCATAATGCCATCTATTCTATAGAAAGGTCTCATCCCAAACCCCGAAAAGCACCCCCAAACCATAACAGACCCGCCTCCATGTTTGACAGTAGGCAAAGTGTACTTGGGGCTCAATATTTGTCCACTAGGACGTCTAACGTAATGAACACCATCTGATCCAAACATATTGAACTTGGATTCGTCACTGAAACATACCCTCTTCCAGTTACAGATGCTCCAATCAAGACGCAACCATGCAAATTGTAATCAGTCCTTACGGTTTTTTCCCGAGATTGGCAGCTTCTTACTTGGACACGTGCAATTAGCTTCAAAGCAGTTAATCTTCTACTTATAGTTTTCTTAGCAACACTATTACTTTTATTAATCTAACTGATCTAGCATTTAGTTTTCTAGGCTGACCACTTCTCTTAGAGGCTTCCAATTTGTTCAATATTGCCCAAATTGCTTTACGTTTCAGCTTCAAATTTTTGGCAATGTCAAGACTTGACATTGACCATCTTTCTATAACTCAATGATCTTATATTTCACATCGAAAGAAATTTCAGGACCACGCGGCATGGTCTTAAAATCATTCAACTTATTCCACAATACTCGATGAACGCAAACTGAACCTCTTCTGACACGAAACTGTACTAAACTAATGTTGAAAAGAATTTGTCTACATATTTTTGTCCCTCATAAAAAATTGCTTATATTCAGACTTGTATTGTTTTCATTGCAGATAATGTAGAAACAAGGAATTTAGTTTTTCTACTAATAACGCATTTGTTAATGGAGCAATGAAGTATGAATTCGTTTTCTAAAGGTATTTAGGTAAATATTCATATTTGTCTATATACTTTTGTCCATTACTGTATATAACATATATATATATACATATATATATAGTGGGATGAATATATATATATATATATATATATATACATATATATATATATTTTTTACGAGACAAAATTTTTTTTTGATGGAGGTTATAGTTCTAATAATGACAATTTCTTTTAGCATTATGATTTTATATCCTTTAACATGACATTAAAAAAAAGGTTGAGCAAATAGGGATATTACCAGAAAATGAGAGCAAAAAACCTACTTTTCCAATTCTTCTCTGAGACGTTTTTCCCTATATTCTTTTCTTTTTTCATCCATTCTCTTGTCAATAGCTTCATATATAGCATCTGCCTCAGCATCATCTTTGTCATATGGATCCTTGGAAAATAAGGAGCCTCCATAACCACTAAACTCATCATAATTTGAGTCATTCAAATCTTCCTCTTCCTAAAAAAGTATTATGTAGTAACTTCTTATTTCTAAATTGGGCAAAAATACCTCCTTTTCTTCCTCTTCGTCTTTCTTTTTCACCCTCTTTGCAGCTGGCGGGGCATGGCGATCATCCCTAAAATGATAGTTCAGTGTTACCAGTAGGTGAAGTGTGAGGAATCGCCAATTTCGTGATACTTACGATACATCATTAGCATCTCTCGCAGGACCAATATCAGAACGGGTAGTAAAGCCAGTGGCTCTGGAATGAAAATATTGGTGATAAACTGAATGTATACTTCCATATTTGCATATCTTACCCTCTACCTACTCCTGCTACATAACCCAAAGGCGCTGGAACTCCTAGAAAATGTTTCTTATTTCTGTTTACCAACGCTCCCGGCGGTGCAGTCATGTTGATTTATAGAAAAATTGATATTATTTTCTTTTATGTATTTGGTTAGGAAATCCGTATGTTTATGTGTCAATGTCAACCACACAACATATATGAACTTATCGTGACATATGACGCAGCAGCTTTCTGTATATGATTTGTAGGTTAACCATTCCGCGCAAGAGATGTCACTTTCATCTGCACAGCATTTTCTTTTAAAAAGAAAATAAACATAAAATTGATACGTCGAAATCTGTATTTTTTTTATTCATATAATGACATTACAATTCTGGCTTGTTATATGTATTCAGAATTGCATATTTTAATTTTTTAGTTCAAGTGATTTATGTCGGCGCGACATCTATCGAATAGTGATGTTACAGCATTTTGACAGTGCGATGTTTTGTGATGTCACCGCCGACCGGTGTAGACTTATTTTGTGTTGATTTGATTTGATTTGGGTTGGCATTTGGATTTGGAGTTTAAAAGGGAGCTATAATCGGCGACGCCCACCAAGCTAAGCTTTTTTGTTAGCAAAGCACGATGAGCGATTCACTTTGTGATGTATGCAATGAGATACGCCAAGAGCTGTCAGAGGCATGTACAGCACACAATGCATCTCTGAATTATCTGCTAAAATTGAAAAGCATTGTCCCAGAAGTGGTAATAAGCACTGCCCCATGCTGAATTTGTTGAAATTAATTACTTTTTTTGTATTGCAGGGTTGGCTACCAGGCACCAATATATGCGATATTTGTATAAACGAATTGGAAACAGCATATAAATTTAAGCAGACTTGCTTAAAATCTGCCAGTCTTCAAAAAATCGCAACGCAAAATGTGAATAGCAGTGAACTCGATGGTGATCCATTTAATTATAATAGATCTGTTAGTAACCCCTTTGAGTGTAGTGATTGCAATATAGATTTCGATACTCAAGAACAGCTACTTTCACATCAAAATGAAAATCATACAGATGACGATAATTGTTCAAGGCATCTAGAAAAATATAAAAGAAATCAAGAATGTTTGAAATGTGGACGAAAATTTGCTTTAACCTCCTCTTTAGATAAACATGAATTGTTTTGTGATGGAATAATAAGACACAGCAAAGTATATGACAAGCATCAGTGTGAAAAATGTAATAGATTTTATACAACACAGAAAATATTATTAGCTCATAAGAAAAAATGCAAACAAGAAACTCTTAAAAAAACAAAATATCAGTGTGTAAAATGTCATGCATATTATATAAGTCTTAAGACACTTAGACACCATGAAAGAAGAGGTTGTAAGGCAGACCTAAATAAAATGATAAAAGAAGAAATCTGTGACATATGTAGCAAGCAGTTTGCTTCAGCCTTTTTGCTCAAAAAGCATATTGCAGAAGATCATATGATGTGTAAATGCGAGGAGTGTGGTGTATCCTTTGGAAACTATGAAGAATTTATTGCCCATGTAAAATCTGAGCATGTAAAGAATAACTCTAGAAGGTTCACATGTGAGGTGTGTGCAGAACCCTTCACTTTACTAAAATCTCTCTTACAACACTGTGTACAAGTCCATTCTATGAATATCAAAAATGTTAAGCCTTACTACTGTGATATGTGTAACCATCGCTTTACCTCTTCTTCAAACCTGTTGAATCATAAATTGTATCATGATGGCAATAGGCCAAACATGTGCCATTTTTGTGGCAAAAGTTTTATAACTAAAAATGATCTTACTATCCATGAAAAGACTCATTATGATGAAAGGTGCTTTAAATGTAATGATTGTGATAAAACATTTAAGACAAATGCCAATCTAAGGACCCATTACTTAGTTGCTCATACAGATCCCAGTTTATGGAAGTATGTTTGTTATGCATGTGGTAAACGTTTTCCACAAAAATCAAATCATGACCAACATGTACGAAGGCATACTGGCGAGAAAAATTTTGCTTGTTCACTATGTATCAAATCTTTTACAAGTAAAAGTGAGTTATTAGAACATGTAAGATGCCATTCAAATGAAAGGGCTCACCAATGTGCACTTTGTGGTAAAACTTATAGAAAACGGTATTCATATAATATCCACTTGAAAAAAGTTCATGGTATTGGGAATGCAAAAATTAGGGTAAAAGAAAAAAAATATGCTTGCCACATATGTGCAGGAAAATTCCATGATAAACAAAAACTTGCTAGGCATCTTTGTACACATTCTGGCATAAAACCTTTTGGATGTGCTATTTGTGACAAAAGATTCTCAGATAGGTCTTATTTGAACCTACATACGAGATTGAATCATAATTCACAAACTACAGCTGGGCCGGAAAGTCCTTCATCATCATCATTACAAACTATGTCTATTGTTTGAGATTTATTATCAAAATATTATATTCATGTTTAAATTGTTGTAATTTTGATAATGAAGTAAATCACCAGACTGAATCCACTTCGTAAACATTTTAGATTTCAGTCAATTTAATTTATGTATGTATAATAAATTGAGCTAATTTAAAATCACAGTGTTTTCTTGAAATTCCATGAATTGTTAATATAATTGAATGCGCCTTTTTCAAAGGTACTCTTGTGTCTGCTAATGTAACATATATTTAAATAAAACGATCTAAATTCCAGGACTTTTTATTCATTGTTGTATTGTCAGCATTAAAAGTTTATTTTGAGGAGTGGTAGCAGTGTAGTAATGGTGGGGAGGTAAAGCCTGGCAACTTGACTAACATTAAACATGACATAAATTTTTTATTTTCAAAGTATTGGGATATACCTCTGATGTGCTGAATATCAACTTTTGGATTGAAACAATTTTTAAAGCATAATGTTTTTTCTGGTGTCAAGAGTGTTGAGAATAATTACAAAATAAGAAATTACAAAGTTTAGTTGGAGTGTATTCGATGTAACTTCGAGTATTTGGGTGTCTGAAAGATTGACAAGAGATTTTGTGGACAAGAGTAGTTGCTAAGGGGTTGTCATTGTGTTTTAGAACTAATAAAAGTTTACTGAGAAAGGACAGTAGTTTATCTTCTAGAAAAAGTAAAAACCCGAACAAAGAGTCCCAGCAAAATATAAATATTGTCCCAACAATAACAAAACACAGATTCAAAATTACACGATTTAAAAATCACTCATTCATTTTCATCTATAACCTCATAACTTTCCAAAGTATTTTGTTTTAATAAATTTTTTTTAATAATGAAGAGTAACTTTTTGATCCTTAATATTTATTTGTCATTGTAATGCCAATCTGAAATTTTGGTCTTCCCATCCGGTAAGCCTATCTTAAGACCAGGTTTTGCCTCATTATCCTATGAGGGCCTTATAAAAGTCATCTGATATTTATTGGGATCAACCAAAAATATGTTTAGCTGGTTCAATCATCATGACCCTCTAACTGTACACTGATCATTGAATACCCAGGGAATTAGCTACCCTCTAAGAAATAAAAATGCTGTGGGTCCCTGATCCCTAACATTTTGCAAGTGCACACTATTCAGATAAGTTTATTTTTGCAAGGATTGATTGTGAGAAAGTAGGTAGAATAGTTAACATACATTAATTGTAAGACACAAATTTGCCCGATTTAAGAAAAAAACATTTAAGAATGTTCAGTTATTCAGCACATGAACCAATGTGAATCTGGAATCTGCTTACTTGTTTTTCTTTCAAATCTATCTTTTTTCACCATTTTGGCTGGACATGTTTTTGCATGCCACATATTTGACCAAATGTGTTTTTTAGCAGAAGTGGTACACAAAGTTCATGACCACAAAGGTATACAAATTGTTGGCTCCACCAAACTACATATACACAAAAAATATACTGACAATACTTATATGGTTAATGAACAATTTATGTACTATGAACTTTATGTGATAGAAACTGTCAAGAAAATTTAGAAAAATAAAACAAAGTTTGAAATTGGAAATGATTTATTGTATCACAAAAACATTAATTACAAAACCTAAACTTAAAATACTTGAACATGTGATAAGAACATAAGACAGTCTTGATACAGGTGCTGGAAATCTTAAACCTAGGTCTTCTTCACTTCTTGCCTTCAATCTGCTTTGCTGGCTCACCTGTGGCAACCACTGGAATGTTCTTGTGTTCAATCTGTTTTGCATCCAACCTGGGTGCAGTGATGGTCAGCACACCATCTGAAGACAATTTGGACTCGATCTTTGACATATCGCAGTTCTTTGGCACAGTGTACCTTCTAACAAAATGCCTGTAGATATGCCCATGCTCGTCTGGTTTCTCTTCATGCTTGCCCTCAATAGTGAGTGTGTTTTCGCCTGTTAATTTGACAGAGATCTCCTCTGGCTTGAATTGCTGTACATCTAAGTTAGCTTGGAACTTCTCATTGTCGAACGTGACTGTGGATCCAGAGTCTTTCTGAGATGCTGCAGACTTCCAGTTTCGGATGTATCCAGCTGGGCACCTGGTGAGCAGCCTGGGGATAGTCAATGGCTGCAGGAGATCATCTGCATCCAGTACACTGCCGAATTGCTGGTCCAGCAGCCTCGATGGTCGTGTGTGGAATGTGTGGAATGGACTGTCGTCGAACAGGAATGGCAACAGCGACATTTTCACTTGGATTAACTAAGCAGCACGCTATCAATCTCAAAATCGCTTCAAAGTATCACTGGAAACGCTCACTTTGTCGCTAGGTCGTTTCAGGTTCAGGTTGTGCTCACAACTCACTTCAAATGTTCAACTGAGAACTGACCAGAAAACCGGCCGGCATGTTTTTATATTGCGAGGCGGGAAATCTAGAAAACTCCAGATGTTAAGGAACAGACTTCGAGAAACTTCGCGAGTGATCGGCGCTGTCGGTGGTGTTTTTTATCCAATGTTGCCGAATCACTTTTCGGCATTTCTGTATATAGAGGTCGATAGCCCGGTCTCGTTAGCGTCATTTGTAAAATAAATTGCGTTTTATGAAAATGAACTTGATTCTACAACATAAAAAGCTAGGATATAATTCCACGATTGTAATGTAATCCAAAAAAGTGTTGGGATTTCCGCGACATAGAGATACCGAAGTGCATCGTGAATATGACAAGTAACTTGTTAAACGTTTACCTACGAGATTTGCACTGAATGCATATCAGTACCAGCAGTGCTTTGTATGTTTTGTTGAAAGATTCATTTTTGTTAAATCGCTAGGATCCTAATGATTGATTTCAGTCTGCTCGCTATATACAGTAAACTGATCTGATACTATTCTATAGGCAGTTGATAGGCACAGAAATTAAAAGTAGTCAAGTCATTCAACTATGTTACAGTTATTACATTTTGATCTTTGCCTCAGCGTGTCCAATATTATTTAATTCATCAATGAATATAAGCATTGATTAACGTAACTTCTAACTCAGGTAATAGCCAAACACATGTATGTGTATTGTGGCATCCAAAAATGAATCTGAAAGGTACCGGCGCTATCTATGAGGCAGTAGCAGAACAGAAGAATGGATGTATATATCTGCTTTGAAAAATTATACAGTTTGGTTCTACTACTGTCTCATAGATGGTGCTAGCATCTTCAATCCCTTTTTGCAGAGTAGGCTTTGGGGTTTTATGCGTCGTGAGGCAAGCGATAAAATATGGACCCTGCCCTGCAATACCATATTAATTGAGATTTTTGCGCTCCCCATGACATACGCCTTTAGGCGGCTGCATCACTTGCTTACGTAAATCAAGGCCTGAATTTCTAATTGTGCTTTGTGTTCTGCTACTGTCTTATTTGCCTTACTAATGCCATAATACTACCTGTGCCCAAAATTTTGTCCGAATAATTGTGGTCAATCTCAAAAACCGTTTTTTTTTTTGATAGAGTGATTGACAGACTACACAGAGAAACTGATATTGACCGATTGACTCTTAACATTAAAAGGACATGGGTCATTTTCTGAAAACAAATATAAGATAAATCATAAATGTAGATCTACTAGAAGACCTATTATACATTTTCACTGGAACCTGCTTTAATTTAGTTCATTTGGCAACAGCGCGAGGAAGCCGGTACATAAACGATGATGCACGATCTCCTTGAATCTCGAATCGTCTGGATATCTGGATAAGGGAGGTTAAATCCGAGGTTGCATGTTGCTAGATCATTCTATATGACTCAAGAAAGGCGTCAAGGGTATCTGCATTTAGCGTAAATAATTATTTGAATCTGTTCTAAACCCAAATAAGTACCTATTCCTAAAATGCATCCTATTATGTTTTTTATGTATTAGCTATTTTTGCCAATACCTCAGCTATACCTACATTATCTTGAGTTTATTAATCTGTTTCTAACCTTGAATATCAGAATATGTACGTATATTCTACTCAAACTTAGGAGGAAACACGGTGAAAACACAGCTTATGAGAATTCGAAAAAATTATGCATAGCATGAAATCAGTTTATTCCTTGGTGTTTTTATACATTTAATCATTATAGATGTTCGTTTTATTTTTAAAACTGTGACTTTCATCGAAAAAGGAAAGAAATTATGGAAGTCAAATATATTATATACATTATACGAGTTCAATAAAATGTCTAATGTCTAGTACCTAATGTTAAGACGAATGAAGCAGCGTATAATAGTATCGTAGTTTGTACTTTACTTTGGAACACATTATTGTTTTGGACCAACGTGTGGATGAAATTTTTTGTCACCTTATTCAAATGCAGGAAGGTAGTTAATTTACAGCCTGCCAAATTTGGATTCATACATTGGATTCATTACTGAATGGGATCCCCAACCTAAATATTCATTGTTCCAAATTTATAGCTAGGAATTTCTTTTCTGTAAAATAAAAAACCCATATGTTACCAGAAAGGAGGTTTACTGTAACTGTACTGTCCTATGTACTCTTGACCTATGCCAATAATAGCAACGACCAACCTCAATGCACACGAATGAAATGCATTTTGATATCAGCGTCGACCTTCATCAAAACTATAAATAGTGTTCATAGGATTCGAATATTTAAATGTGATATTTTCACTTTGCATCGATCTCCACTTTAAACAGAGCAGCTAAAATTTGAGATATACACAATTTCAAACACTATAAATAATGTTTTTAACAGTGCGGCTTGCACATGGGCGTAGGATTTTTTCTCAAGGGTGTCCGATAGAGATAACCTTTCGTGAACGTGTACCTTCCTAGTCCCAAAACTTTTTCAAGAGCGGGTGCAAAATCCTAAAAATCCTCCAGATTGCACACAAAATCATAAGAAAATATAAGAGGAGTTTTAGTGCTCTTGTTTTGCTGCTTCTTTCAATTTTGCGCAGTAGCAGGACAAACCTTCGTTATCCGTTATCGAAATAAAAAAAGTTACGTTAGCTACGCGGAATGGGGAGGGCCTATTTCGTAAGATTATTTTTGCGCTGGTACCGGAATTCGTGAAGCTGGATAAGCTTAATTAGAATAATTTGAAGTTATAAAAAACATATTGGTTAAAATATAATAGATATTATGAGTCTTAGGATACAGATAAAAAAATGCAAGAAATACGCAGTGTTCTAAATAAATTGAATTTTTGGAGTAATGGAAACGTGTATTTTCTATTACCAATAAGACACTTTAGGTCCTACTGGGATACAAAAAACGATAAGTCTGATAAGACACATAAAGTAGTCACTGTTTTATGTCGTAATTCACCTGCGCCTGCGTAGAAGATCTTTTATTCAGATGGTTGCAGTGCTAAGCTAAACAGAAACACTATCTCAATTCTATTTCATATTGATCGATGTAATATGTTAAGACGGTCTGAAGGATAGAGTTTGCCTCATCTGAGGTACAATTAGATACATTTATACCAATTTACATGTATTGTAACAAATGTTTTAATATTACCTCAATTTTCCATAGTTTATCAATAATATCATTCATATACGTTAATCTAATATACATAATCATGGTCGCCAGCAGGAATTTTCGCACGGAGAAGAGAACTTTTTGGGAAAGTGTACCTCACCCAAAAACTGTTTGAAGAGCGGAGGATAGCAAAATTTTCTCGATGCTAAAAATCTCCAAAAGTGTCGACAAAATTATGCTTAATATGCAAATTTTGTGTTTTGAAAAAAACTTTTTTTTTCGACACCGGCAGGATTATTACGTAAAAAACCTACATAACGTAATAAAATCGGTAAAATGTCAATTTGTGCACTAGGTAGCGGTTAGTCTATCTCTATCTATTCATCATTGTCCGTCAGAGCGGTCCGTGGGACCTTCGCTGTTTGTTAAAGTATAGTAGGTCGTAGGTCAGTATGTATGTCATGTCTGGTTGCCCAGATACCAGACGAAGTCAGGGAGAAAGAAAGGAAGGAAGGGGGAAGAGCAAAGAAGGTGAAGTGCGCTAGTTATAGGGATGCCTTGCTATTGTTAACTGGTATTCGGTTATTTTAAATTGATCCAAAAATTAATTTAGGAATTTGTGTGAGGCAAAAATCGTAATTTTGGTTTTACCTAGAATTGTACGATTTGATTTTGATCACAGTGCGAGCGAGCCGCGGTCTTGTGTGCTTGCGAACTTGCTAGACTTGTAGTTTATGGACTCACGCAACAGAGGGTTGCTGTGCGATTCCTCTTGGCTATAAAGTAACTGCGTCTGATTTTTGATGTAGTCCCTTAGGTAAGGGATGTCGAGGTCTCTGTGAAGGGTCTCGTTGGAGACATACCATGCGTTAGTGATGGTTCGCAAGGTTCTGTTCTGAAAAACCTGCAGATTACGCATATGCGTTTTGGAAAGAAAGCACCATGCTGCACATGCGTAAGTGATTGCTGGTCTGATAACCATCTTGTATAGTCGAACTTGTTAACCAAACTTAATTTTGAGGATCTACATAGCATAGGGTAGAGCTGCCGAAACGTTATTTGGAATTTAGTTTTTAACGCTTGAGTGTGATTTTGCCAGGTCATCCCCCTGTCAAGAGTGTCACCGAGATACCTAGCGGAATTTCCCCATGGTATGCGAGCTCCGTTCACTGAAACCTCAGGCGGGGCGCCACCACGTTTTTTAGTACAATAGATAGCCTGCGTTTTCGAGTAATTAATTTTGATTAGCCACCGATCTGCCCATTCCAATATCTCATCCACCGCACTTTGTAACCTGTCGTGAACCAGATTCCCGGAACGCCGGGTCTGATGGGCCGTACGGTCGACAGGACATTATTAATTTTGATCCGAAATTTGCTTCCTTCTAGGAAGGATTTCAGAAGTTTTAAGAGCCAAAATGGAAAGCCCTTTTGAATTAGTTTATAGAGAAGACCCTTGACCTACACCTTGTCAAATGCATTCGAGATATCCAGAAGCTAGATGCCAGTACTTTCGTTAAGGGTGAAGCCCCTGGTTACTTGCTCCACAAGCCTAACCGCCTGTAACTCCGTACTATGCTCAGACCGAAATCCAAATTGCACGTCAGGAATCACATGGTCATCTGACGAGAAATTCGCAAGGTGACGTAGAATCACATTTCCGGCGCGCTTAGACGGAGCAGACAGTAGGCTAATGAGACGATAGTCCTGGGGAAATATCGAACACACCTTCTTTGGAATCATTATAGCCTCCTCCACGCCGAACGAAAGTACTGGGTCCTCAACATGGCATTGATAATAGCCACGAGATAAGTCACGGGCTTCCGTGAAAGCAGCCTTATTAGTAATTTGATCATCCCCAGGCGCTTTACGCACCTTGAGGTCTTTAATATGACCTTGAAGCTCTGCTGGTGTGCAATGCGGGATCTTGGGAGAAACCGCTGATGTGCTGTGTAACTCTTTAGCTGAAGAATCTTTCGAAAAAGAATCACTAATGGCGGCGTTGGCCCTGAAATATCTCCTGATCGATCTTACAATTTGTTGCTCCTTCTCGAGATCATTATCAAGATCATAGTTGGGAGAGAATTGTTGTTCCATAGCATCAGCGGAAACCTCGACCTTGTTCTCTGTCCTGAAAACTATGAACCTAGGACCGTGAATGTGCGGGAGTTGTTATCGGTTTCCGTTTCTGAGCGACTTAGCCACTTTCCAGAGAGGAGTACTTGAGTCAAGCATCCCCGCCAGAAAGTCGTTCCATTGCTCATTGCGGAATTCATGGAGAGCATTTCTTACTTCATGAACAAGATTCACTCCAGAGCTTACTGAACGAAGCTTGTCCACCCCGCTTGAACGGCATCTATACCGTTCTGATCATCTATGATCGTGATATTGGGGAACTCTTGTATAGTTCCCAATCAACCCGTTTCCTTGGAGAAGTTCCCTCTCCCAAGGTTTGCTCATTACCCACCTCCAGTACGTCAGGAAGATGATCGATAGAAATGTCATACATGATTCGAGAAGTGATATGTATCTACAGTTTCTAGATATCGCGAAGTCGATGACATCTGGTGCCTGAAGGTGATTAAATGGGTGGTGCGTCGGCTCCTCAGTACTATGTATGAGGTAGCCATTTCGTATCACATGGTTGTACAGTCGAATCCCACTGGTGGGATTCAACCTAGAATGCCATGCTCTGTGTTTGCAGTTGAAGTCCCCTGCTACAATAAGCAGACCAGAGTAGTCCATAAGGACTTCCAGGTCCACCTCCTGCAGAGTGGCAGCACACCTGACATACACCGATGTGATCTTCAACGGGATACCTCCCGTCATATTGACCTCCACGGAAGCCGCCTCATTGCTCTGCATTTCGGTATTTGGGCTTCTATGGTAGTCAATACCATGTTTCTCTAGAACTGCCAAGCCGCCACCCCGTCCAGTTAATCTATCAGATAGGATAACATCATAATTCGGGAAAGCTAGACGATCTCCCGGATTAAGCAATGTTTCCTGCAACTGAGCCACATCTATACTCTCATCCAAAAGCACTTGATGAAGTTCCCGTTTTTTAGGAATATCCCTAAGATCCAAACAATACCAAAAAAGAATTTTGATCAATGCAGGCTGTCCACTATTGTACCTAGTCATTTATCGGAAAGATCGCCTGCAAGGCGTGTGTAGAGCTTATCAGGAGACTAATTACTGCAAGGACCTGAGCGCTGTTGACAGGTCCACGTGAGCTCGGGGCAGCAGGGGCAGCTAGAATGTCAACCTTTGCCGCGTCTGCGTATGATTTTACTCGCCTTTGTGCGATGACATGTAGATTTCGCCTAGGAGTGAATCTACAGGTAGAACTGTTGGCCTGATGAGCACATTTGAGACACTTTGGAGGTGCAGTGCAATACGATTGCGCGTGTCCGTACTTCTGACAGCGGTGACACTGCCCGATGAGTCGAGAGTTCTTTTAAACCTCAACTCTGATAGAGGTCCCCAGCAGTTCATGTTCGTTGAACATTTGCTGTGACTTCTTTGTCTTAGGCAGGATCACCACTACCAAAGGCATGGGCACGCCGCCGTTTCGCTTCAAGCGTGGAGGGGAGTATATCCCTTCTGTTCGAACTCCTCTTTGATTTCCTGCTCAGCAGTTGACGCTGGGAGTCCTCTAATAACGGCGTGATTGTTACGCTCAGAGGGCAGAGGAAATGTATGGTGAGACACATTTTCCTCTTTGAAAAGACGAATTATCTTCCGATAATAGGTACGATGCGTATCCCAGCATCAACAGCTACTGCTTCTTCTCCATTCGCTGTGGTGGAGGGGTCGCCTGGTGACCCCTTGGGTGTGCGTTACATCTTATATTCGCCTTTTCTCTCAGCAAATTCTCCAAATTTTTAAGGAGCAAAAATCTGACAACTTGCCTTTCCCTGTCTATCTTGGTAGCGGTTAGTGTTCAGGGTGACTTTTTAAGCTACGTAATACGGGCACGGATCATACCTATAGTGTGTGTACCTTTAACACACTACCAAAAAATATGAAAACGTCTTCATTGTCTCTTTTCAAGCTCAATAAGATGCTGAAGATTTCACATTTTTACTAGGCAATGTTTGATTTCCTAAAAGCAATCACCCAATTTTATGATTTTAGCATCATTTTCAGTTTTGGCCAAAAAAAATAATATTCTTCCAGATCAGTACCATAATGACTGAACTATTGGACACAAGTTGAATCGATGACGGTTTTCGTGAACACACTCGAAAGGGTTCGACTGGCAACGATGGAGTCCCAAGTATTCTCGGCGCTTCTAGAAAACTCTAGGCAACCAGTCAAACATATAAATTGTTTGGCGCGGTCGTGAACGGCAAGTCAGTTTGAAATACACAAGCGAGTGTGATAGCAAAGCAAAGCGTTCGAGTGTTAACAAGCGCCTTTAAAGCGAGTTTCGATTTGTTGTGTGAGTGAAAAACTAGTTCATCATGTCTCTGTTACCACTGCTGTTCGACGAATCTCTGTTTGCTCCAAGGAGATGCGAGCCTCCTCAAAGGACGTGGGTCGGCATCTTGGACGATGATCTCTATAGGCCAGTAGCTAGACAACATCAGGATTATTTGAGGAATCTGAACGCTGCTCTTCAAGACTCTTTGGGTGCCAATGTTTCGCTAGATAAGAACAAGTTCCAAGCCAATTTTGATGTCCAGCACTTCAAACCTGAGGAGATCTCTGTCAAATTGAATGACAATGTAGTTACCATCGAAGGAAAACATGAAGAGAAGCCAGATGAACATGGTCACATCTTCAGGCACTTTGTCAGGAAGTACACCCTTCCAAAAGACTGCGATGTATCCCGATTGGAGTCGAAACTGTCTTCAGACGGAGTCTTGAGTCTTTCTGCACCTCGAACCTGCGGAGACAAACCTAGCGAGATAAGCATTCCCATTATCAAGACTGGTCAAACAGCGAACTCCATTGACCAAAAACAAGGCAAGAAGAAGTAAAGGTGTGAAGGTACTCGCCATAAGTATTCTACATTTTGCTTCGTTATTTTCTGAAGACTGCACTTTGTTTTAATTTCTAGATTTAGTTTTTTTTTTGTACTATGTTATTGGTGAAATAAAATTTCTCATTTCATAATTCGCATGTTTTATTTCATCTGGGTTTTTTACTTGTTAATTGCCATGTTATCCTAGAAGTTATTCTTTTAGGGCCGGTTTCATAATCGCTCACTAAATGGCCTGTTAGATAATTGGGCTGTTAATTCTCCAATTAAGGGCCGGTTTCATAATCAAAATTAATTCTCCAGTTAAATTTAATCGAGATTTTAACGATTGAATGGATTTCATAATCTCTAATCAGCCAGTTAAAATTTTCTAATTGGCCGTTAACTGCTCGATTTCGGCCTGTTAAGCGGTTAATTGGGGAATTAAATGTTTAACATAACCTTTCTTTCTTTGTTGTGTCATTTGGACGCTATTTGTTGAACTGCAGATTGAAGCGATATTTTTATACAAACCGACATTCCTTTGAACAATATGGTAAGTATTTACAGTACAAAAAAGTCCTTGGAAATATTTATTTTCATGTACGTGTTTATATCCTAGATGAATCTATGGCAAAGTAGCAGCAGCAGCTCTTCATCTGATGAGGACATACCTACTATTCGTAAAACGAAAGTGTATAGGAAAAGAGATTATTTCAACAAGTTTGATCTGATGACAAAACTTCAAGATATTAATGTGGAGGCAGAAAATTTATATAATGAATCAATAATTAGGACACGGAATGTGGTGTTTGGAAAAGACGATTTCCTATCTTAAAATTAGGTATGAGACTTGATGTACATACAATCATGGCAATAATTATTGTCGCCACAGTGGTCCTACATAATATTGCTATAGAAGAGAATGAAGCAATACCTGAAGAGTGGATCGATCATTCTGAAGATGAGGAAATAAATGAACAGGGTGATGTTAGATATGACAATCGCTCAGGCCAGGTTGATAAACAGATGTTAATAAATGAATACTTCGCCAATTTATAATAAATCTATATTCAATACAACTAATTGTTAAGCATTCTTTGTTTTATTTCTATTTCTAAAAGTTCAAGTTTTTTTCTATGTAGTTCCCCTTCCCACTCGTGTTTCTCTGCATCCCTCTTTCTCTTGATCAGAATGTCTTCTTGTTCTAGTCTGCTTCTTTCAATTTCTTCTTCTGCGAACATAATTTTTTTTTCATAAAATAAATTTTTGCTAGTAGAATTCGTCTGTCTAAGTCTTTTTGACATGGGCGTCTTCAACTTTTCCGATGTGTAATTTCCCCAGCTCTAAAAAAGTATGAAATAAGACTATGTAAAAAGCAGGACTTGATCATAAGCAAAATATACTATAATATACAAGTGGTCAGTGTTATTCTAAGATTTAATTTAATCCTAGTCTTCATGAAATAATTTGAAAAACTAAAAACTCTCACAAGTGATATTTACTTACAATACAGACACTACGAACGAGTAGCAGTTCCTCCTCCTTGGTGAAATTGCTTCCGCGTGCTCGTTTGCCTTTGTTTAAAGCCATGTTGGTAGATATATTCGTAAAAAAACAATAGATAACGCTAGTAAACCGCAAATACACAATCGGTGAAATTAGAGAGATATTGCATATGGACCTAAATAAGGGTATGCATTATTTAGGTGAACCTAAATAAGTACAGTGGAATTAGAGATATTGCACATGTAACGTATTTTGACAGTTCGCTTTGATGGTGTTTATCTTAACCTCACTTTTCCTTCCAGTTTTTGCTTGCATAATATAGGTGGTTCGTAGTTGAAATTCTACCAAAGGTGTGAGAAGTGAGATTGTAAAATGGAAGCTGAATTGGAAGCAGTTATATTGGCAGGAGCAGATGAGGAGGAAATAGAACATATCATCCTCCATAATATATTTATTGATAGAGGCATTACTCATACAGCACAATTCAACTTGGAAAACTTGCCAGATGAAGTAATAAGACTAAATTTTCGATTTGAGAGGTCTGACCTTCATAGGCTGATGGCTGTTTTACGAATACCTTCAGAAATTGTCACTATCACACGTAATAAAGTGGATGGTATGATTTTGTTTAAATATTTATTGCTATATGTTCATCATTTCAATCGAACTCCATCCTCTGACTCAAACAACACTTGCCAGAGGCTGGAATTCTATCAACATGAAAACCACAGTATAAGTTCCATTTATCTTCTTTCAGGTTTAACAGCATTGTGCATTCTACTAAGACGGCTGGCATATCCAAACAGATTGTGTGATATGGTCCCTATGTTCCACTTGTCAACTCAGTCTTTGTCACAAATCATAAATAAATTGATAAGTGTGATTATGGAGGAGCATGCTGTACTTCTCAACAATTTGAATTCATTGCAGTGGTTTAATAGGGAGAAGTTGGAGTATTATGCACAGGTATTGTATTGTGTAATATAGTTGAAGTGATGGTTGGTTCATAAAATGCTGAAATGTGCTTTTTGTAGGCTATTCATAATAAAGGAGCACCTATGAATAATTGTTGGGGTTTCATCGATGGTACAGCAAGGAAAATTTGTCGACCCTCTGAAAATCAAGAAGAGTATTATTCAGGACACAAAAGGTATCACTGCATAAAATTCCAATCAATAATTTGTCCTGATGGAATTATTGTTAGTTTGAAAGGCGCATATCCGGGAAGAAGGCATGATGCCAGAATATTTAGGGAGTCAGGTATCTCTGAAGAATTAGTGCAAAAGACATGTTTTGACACAAGACGATTTGTTTTATTTGGTGATCAAGGATATGGGCTGAGTGATGTGCTATTTACCCCATTTCATGGCAGAATGGAAGATTTACCTGCCCATCAGCAGAGTTTCAATTCTGCTATGAAAGTTCTAAGGATAGCAGTAGAATGGGGTTTTCAGAAAGTCATATCAGAATTTGCCTTTGTAGATTTTTCAAAAAACCAAAAAATGCTACTTCAAGACGTTGATGCTTTATACAAGGTGGCTGTACTACTTACTAACTGCCATACATGCCTGTATAGTAGTCAGACTGCTATGTATTTCAATACAAATCCACCTTCACTTGAGACCTACATAGGCCACTGATAAATAGAGGACATTTTGGGTTTGAAATACTCGTTTGCTTTCCATCGCCGCAGCCAAGACCAACCGCAGACAGCGCTGTTTCGGGCTCTTTAGCCCTCATCAGTATGGTATAGGTCTGTATCAGGTCCAGCCGTGAAGGCGGACAAATGGAAAGTAAACAAGCGAATGTGGTCTATCAAATAGCGGGAAGACGGTAAATGTAAAAGATGGCTCGCGCCATCTAAATTTCGCTAGAACTAGTTTCTTTGCAATGGAAAGCAAACGAGTATATCAGACTATATTATTGCATGTTCTGCAGAAAATGCTATTGTTAGTTTGTCCTGTGAACGCCTTGCGTTACGACTCTGGTGGCCGGCTACTGTTGGTTGGTACCGGGGTATCTGTACTCTGTACAATTCATCTGAGTCAGCGACCAGAAATCGTAAGGGGTTTCTGCTTTGCCTGCGTCGTCATTGACGAAACTTGCAAAGAAACTATCTCTAGCGCAAATTTAGATGGCGCTAGCCATCTTTTACATCTAAATTTTGGGTTGTTTCTAACTTGTAACGCTTGATGATAATTTGTAATTTTTTATAGACTTGTAAGACCAATAAAGCTTGTTTGGAATGTATGTTTATTTATTTTACAACCATAAGGGCAGCAAGCACCCAATAAGAGATTTCAAAACTAAATTAGTATGTTGCTGAAAATATATGAAATCAACTTCTTCAGGAGTTGTGGATGAAATATGTTTGATCCTGAAGTTACACAGTTTTACTATGTTCATACATGGAACCAGTTGCAGAATCAATTTCATATATTTTCGGCAACAAACTTGGTTTGTGCTCACCATCCTTAGCATCAACATTATTATTTCAATATAAGGCCAGTATATTATTTTTTTAATGGCAAATTATCTATTATCAAGTTTTGTCAGTAATGCTTCAATAAGCTTTTGTTGTGTTTTGATGAGGTCACTCAAGTTTTTTCTTTCAGCGACATCTTGCTCAGATTTCTTTTGTTCTAACTCTATCCTATGTTTTTTTTCTTGAATTTCTGCCTCAAGCCTTTTAGACTCCAAGGCAAGTCTTGCTTTGTCATTTGCAATTTTTTCTTTTTCATTATCCATTTTTTGTTCTTCTAACTTGAGTTCTGCAGATCTTATTTCTCGTGATATTTCCGCTTTTTCTCGTAGGTAATCAAGGCCATTTTTTCTCAATGTTTTACTTTTGTTCATCCTTTTGGTACGGGGGGCTGTAATGATCGAAAAGTAAGTAACAGCAACAATAAACAAATGTATTTAATCTTGAACATGAAATGTAAGAGGTAGTTTTGAGCTTTCTGTTTTATAGGTAATGTATAACATACTAGAAACTACTTAATCTAGTAGTAGCCCTCTGAATGGGATGCCATGGCAATGCTATATACGCTGTAGTCATCTGGATCCACTATTTGGTTAGTCTGGCCTGTAAATAAAACCGCAGTGCTAAACAAAAGAAGTTCACTGACAGGTTAGTCATTGCACTGGCTTTTATCAAAGTATATAACATAAGTACCTACACATTTTATATCGAGCACTGGTTTTATTTACTGGTCATACTCCATAACCTGTGGATCTGTTTTAGTGTTTCTATTACTGAAGATTCAAGCAGTAATTCTAATCATTGTTTTACCTGATATCTGTTTTGCAGTTCCAACATCTTGTACAGATATCTGTTTTGCAGTTCCAACATCTTGTACAGATATCTGTTTTGCAGTTCCAACATCTTGTACAGATATCTGTTTTGCAGTTCCAACATCTTGTACAGATATCTGTTTTGCAGTTCCAACATCTTGTACAGACTTATTATTATTTTCTGTGTCAACGTCGACTGTAACACAAACACCTAAAACTGTGATAATATAGTAATATGTATAAAAAATGTTTAGAATAGTTATTTTACCGTAATCATGGTCGATTAAAGTGTCATCCACATCAGAAAAGGCCAGCAGTGCCATAGCCTCTCTTTCATTGCGTGTCTTTTCAATCATATCTTTCGCTTTGTTTTCCACTTTTTTCTTTTTTGCTGGTGTAGTTGAGCAGGTCTCTTTCATTAACTCGCTGGCTTCTTGGAGCATATGTTCTCTTTCATTATAGACTTCTTCTATGCCAGACCTGTCAAACACAAATGTTGTTTCACCAAGTCTTACATTAAGCATTCTCTTGTTATTAAAATACATGTAGGTACAGTGTGCTATCTTATACTTACTTGACTTTGCTGTTAACCTCCTTTTTGAGGAACAGCTCCAGAAGATGGTTCAGATGCTTTTTTATTGTTCTCAAAATAAATTCTTTTCCCGTAAGCTCTCGCAAGTTCTGTAAGATTGAGTCCCACTTCTCAGGAGAACGGATAGGGTTTTGTGCAATAAATTCACGCAGCAAAATCATTTCGTCGTCATACGTGAACCTTATTCTCTTTTTATCCATATTCATAGTTACCAAAACGCTTCAGCAATCGTTGAATTTTGAGAGTACAAATTTATAGGTTAAATAGGCTTGCGACGACACCCGATTTGCTTAGATCGTGAATCGTCGTGACATAAGAACGCCTAAATAAGCTCCCCCTATTATAGCTTAAATAAGGACGTGCCTTATCCCTATTAATTCCTCATAGATACAGAATTGTATGTGCGCATGCGTAGATGTCAAAATAAGGTCTGCACTAATAAGGCAGATGTTTGCAATATCTCCCTATTATCTGACCATATTGCAGGTTAGGTTAGGTGGCAGCACCCTGAGGTCAGGCATAAAGCGAAAAGTTTTTCTCTGTTTCATGTTTCATGAGTGACAAGCTCGATTTGTTCAGGTAAAATTTATTTCAGGCGTACCAACCACAGTTAATCCTTTGTTACTAAATTGACGTTTTGTAAGACATTATGAAATGCCCCGGAATTAAAGAGGCGTTAATTGGAGAATTAACTTAACAGCCCAATTATCTAACAGGCCATTTAGTGAGCGATTATGAAACCGGCCCTAAGGCCTCTTTAATTCCGGGGCATCTCATAATGTCTTTCAAAACGTCAATTTAGTAACAAAGGATTAACTGTGGTTGGTGCCCCTGAAATAAATTTTACCTGAACAAATCGGGCTGGTCAATCATGAGACACAGAAAAACTTTTCGCTTTATGCCTTTATGCCTGACCTCAGGCTGCTGCCACCTAACCTAACCTGCAATATTGTCAGATATTTTCACCTTTCACCGATTGTGTATTTGCGATTTGCGGTTTACTAGCGTTATCTATTGTGTTTTACGAATATATCTACCAATATGGTCGCTTAATAAAACGACAGACGTGCAATGATTTACTAAAAAACATATTTTGTTGCACTTTGTAAAAGGCTAATGAGGTGGCCAAAACGTTACTAAATTTTCATCCTACATCTGTGGTTTTATCTGGCGGCCAGTGAAACATGGAGATTCATAGGCAATTATAAAAAGGTTTAATTATAATTAATTGTATAAATACAATGATGTCAGTTCTGGAGATATGTTAAGTTTATTGTTTGAGTACCTAACCTTTGCAACATATTGCATTGAATAGTGATAACTTGATTTAAAAACTGCGTAATCATTGGGATCGTTCATCCAAGATGAAGTCCAGTGGTGAAGCCTTTTATGCTGAATAGCAGTGCCGTGAAATGTGTGCATCAACATTAATCAATGCGGGGTATTAATGCACAATCTGGTACCCTGTCGCCATTGAATAGCATGGATTAAACCTTCTTCAGTGTATGTTTTGTAGTTTTATGGCGAATGACCAATAGCTATTGCAACACTTAGGGGGCTGCCGCGCTGCATGTTTGTTGTGCCGGGGCGTAAATGCACTACGAATAGAGTATAGATTATTCTATACTATATCACCATATCTAATAAAAAGTACCCAGCAATTTAAATATTTGATTATTTTTTATGACTATGTCTTCTGACAATACATACTATTAAAGCTAAATGAAGAATTTTACTGGTATTGTTCACATTTATATTTTACTGTATTCTATCAAGTAGCCAAGGAAATGGATCCACAAACATGTATGCAAATAAAACAATGTATTTCTAATATAACATTTATTAAAGATATTATTCTATATACAAACAAATGTCTAAAAATAAATTGTATGCTCAGAATGAATCAGTCTCCCCAAGAAAGGTGATTTTATTTCTTATCAGATTTCTGTTGAATCTTTGCTGGTTCACCAGTTCTGGCAACAGGAATGTTTTGCTCCTTCTGGCCAACCCTGGGTGCACATATGGTTAAGACACCATCAGATGATAACTTTGAATCCACTTTGTTCTTATCACAGTCTTGTGGAAGTGTGTATTTTCTGATAAAGTGCCTGTAGATCCCTCCATGTTCATCTGGTTTCTCCCCATGTTTTCCTTCTATGGTTACTACATTATCATTCACCTTCACAGATAGTTCTTCGGGTTTGAAGTGCTGGACATCTACACTGGCCTATAAAAAGAAAAAAGTTTTTTAGTATTCTAAAGAACCGTTCTGTTGGCTGTGTATATTTTTCATAAATGTATCAAATATTGCTTCATCGTGGATATTATTTTTATTTCAAAATCCAAACCCGAAACGAACAAAGTACTTAGCAAAATATGGTTTTCGATTCAAAATTGTGCCTAGAATTTTTCTGTAAGATGCTTCTTGGATTTTACTTGTCACTGTGGCAGTGTTGCCGAACCTACAGATTTTAGGGCATTTCTACCGAAATGAGACAACGAAATTCCGAAAATGACCTCATTTTTCAGGATGTTTTAAAAATAATCCCGATATTTCCAGATTTATTACCGAAAATTTTTCAGGATGCTTTAAAAATAATCGAGATATTTCCAGATTTATTACTGAAAAAGAGCTCGAACCAAAAGAAAGCTGAAAACGTGTAGTTTATCTAGTTTTACATTTATGTACGCACATCCTTATTCCGCTCTCTCTACATTAGTTTTTGTGTACAACAGGTACAGACTGGTAGATCATACCGTCATTTTCGCATCATCAGGCAGCAATAAGGAAACCAAAGCTCGTCTGTATTTAACTGAATAGTAAATTAAAATGTCAGGTGATGAGGCTTCAAGTTCAGGAAAAAAAAAAACGGAAAAATATTCAGAATCTTATGAACAAGAATGGTAAAAGGAGTATAATGATGGTTGCAAAGGTGTTTGAAGAGCGACCAGTATGTTCATAATACAAATAGTAATAAAGAACGTTACATTAACAGATGCCCTAAAAAAAAACATGTGTACCTATGTGTTCCTAGAACAAGAATATACTTTCTGCGCGACGCAAAGTCCCTTGATCCACCGCCTGATCTTGTGACGGTCCTGATTCGTTGCTTTTACCGATTTTGTCCTTGAGTCTACCGAACTTTAACGATATTATCTACCGATTTCGTCTTTTGTAGTTCGTCAACACTACATTGCGGATACAAGATATAAACATTGACAATTTAGAAAACTTATCATTTTTATAAGAGCAGAGTTTTGATTTGTTAACATACCTGGAATCGGTCCTTATCGTACGTAATGCCTGTGTCACCTTGTAGAGCTGCTTGGAGGTTCCTGAGGTAGTTCTGGTAATCGTAGAGTGGAGCCGGCACCCCCACAACAGGTCGGAACCAGTCGTCGTCTACCAACCAGTTACGATTTCTCCATGGGCTGACATGAAAGCGGGAGTCGTCGGACAGGTATGGCAACAGAGACATCCTTCTACCTAACGGCTATCTTCAAAAAACTAGAAGAATCCGCTTGGTTTGACGTTCGAGATCGCTTGGTCGCACTCACTCGCTTTGCTATCGCTTCGTGTAACTTCCTTCAACTGCCATTTTCTGCCATGGAGGGGTTTTTATATTCGCCGACCGATGTCGGTTTGCCGGGCCCGAAACACATCTAGATCTAGCATCTGGATGCGAATCGATGCATTCTCGAGTTCTCGATGGTCAACGACACCGCGCGCCAGCGCCGTCGAGAAAACGGTATGTTGCCAGACCGTTACATCCAGAAACGCATAGCTTTATATAGTCCAGTGAGTTTGATTATAAATGATTTTTGAACAATAAAAAGCGTTTACAACGTACCTATAGTCAACGCCAAAGTGGCGTGCACGTCATCACGATAAAAATTCCCCGACCTAATGCCTAGGTTTCTATCACAAACAATTGCTCTATTGCAGTTTCATATTAATGTGATATATAAATTGTAAAATGGTCATTACTCTCTTATTATGGTTAATAGTCATATAAACATTGTTATTAAAATATCACATAAGTTGCTTTCTGATAAATTTAGACGCATTATGCGAAATAAAATGTTTTGCAAACGCTCCAATCACTTATCGACATGTAAACGCACTAAGCCGATTTCGCAGCGTTGACACATTGTCACCTTGAAACTTATTTAAACTGGGAACTGACATTTGTATTAATTTTGACACTGAATCAATTTGTGGCATTTCAAATCTTTATAAATCCTTTGGCCCCGCATACTGTAAATCAACAACTGTTTGTTTCAAAACAAAATTATTCATTTTACGAGTAGATAAAGGCAATTTTGGTATATAAAGATGCCCAAACAGTTAAATAGTCGGTGTAAGGAACTCGTGGCCTCGTTAATGCACTACTTTGAGCAAGAAAGGGACAACAACGGGCCTTTGTTGCCTTTAAATGCTGTTCAAGAGGTAGGTTACTAATAATTATATGTAATGTATATTAATAATAGTGAAATTTTATTTCATTTTTTGTAGCGTGTTGCTGCTGCTTTAAAAATTAGTTTAAGGACAGTTAGTCGTATTTCCGAGGGTGTGAAAAGTGATGCAAATTTAGAATCGCCCAAGAAAAAGCGGAGTTATATTAAACGTGTAACCAACACAGCGACATTGGATACAAGTGCCATTCGAGAAGTGATCTATAATATGTATCACAAAAGTAAGATCTTATTATAATAACTTATCAGAAATTTGCATTAATTTGTTAACTAAATTATAATGTCATATTACACATGGTTTCAGAAGAACAAGTTACGATACAAACTTTATGGTCTCGATTAAGAGATTAAGGACAATCCGCGACGAGGGCTCATGGAACTACCAAGTATAGCTTTGAAAAGGGTGGAATTTCTAAGGCAATACAATCAAGCCAAGGTTGAGGCCTTATACCAGTTTGTCTTCCTCGATGAAACTTGGATATTTCAAAATGGGACCATAGGTCGCTCTTGGCAAAATGGAAACCAAAAAAGCGTGAAAGCTATTAAAACAGATGGTAAAAGGTATGTACTTTTACACAATTTGCACTATAAAATTTAAAACTAATATATTTTAGATACATTATATTACATGCTGGAAATGAAAATGGGTTTATTGAGGGTAGTGAAGCGATATTTTCTTCGAAAACAAAATTGAGCGATTACCATGGAGAGATGAATCAGGACAATTTTTTGAAATGGTTTCAACATCAGTTATTAGAAAAATTGGAGCGTCCATCTATGATTATACTGGATAACGCCCCTTATCACAGCATGATATTGAACAAAGTGCCCAACAATGCATGGACAAAAAAAAATATCCAAGACTGGTTGACAAATCAAAACATACCATTTTTAAACACAATGTTTAAAACAGAGCTATTGAGTATTGTTGCTCGGTACATAATGCTTCTTAATTATATATATTTTGGTCGACAGTTTATATTTCTTTTGTTTATTCCTATTCTTAAAATAACTGCTTTGTTAGAAACAAACCACCTAAAATATACGTGATTGATGAATTGGCGGAACAACATAGGCACAAAGTTCTTCGTCTGCCTCCTTACCATTGTATATTTAACCCTATTGAGTTAATTTGGGGCATAGCAAAAGGTTACTATAACAGACATATTGGTAGAGATGGTAACAGTGAAAAAGACTGTTTGGATATGTGGAACGAGGCTCTACAAACGGTTACCCCAGACATGTGGAAAAATAGTGTTCGACATACTGAGCAAGAAATTTTTAAATGGTATGAAAGAGAACGAATTTTTGATCGACCAGACATCGAACCTTTAATAATCAACTTTGAGAGTGATGAAGATTCAGATTCAGACACCGCTGAAGAAAGAAACTCCGACTAACTTTATTGTACAGAAAAAGCTTACACCAGTAGCTTACCTAATTTTAGAATGCATTTTTCTGTAAAATAAATACCATGCATAAAATTTGGAGGACCCATTTGGATTTTTATTCAGTACCTTTAAGCTATCAATTAAATATGGTAGTTTCATAGTGTCATCTGATCAATAATTGTCATACTTAATGATTATGCAAGTACAGATCTATAATTTTATTATACTATTATTTTTGTTCTCATTTGAGGTTAATATTGCTTATAAACCTAGATATGTAAATAATAAATTTTATTATTTTACAAAAAGTTTGGCAACAATGTAAATTTTTCAACACACCCACCTTGATGACGTGCACGCCACTTTGTTTGGCGTTGACTATATACGTATTTTGCTGTTTCAAAAATGATAGGAGAGACACGCGCTCGGTTGTCGTTGCGCGATTAAAAAGCTAATAGAACGACTAGAAAAAAAATACAATAGCGATAAAAAAGTCCTGAATGTTTCTTTCTAACTACGAGTTTTGACATAGAATTTCATTGTTATTGATAACATTTTCTACCCTAATATAGCTGTATGATATAATTCCGCTAGTGCAAAAATCTCGTAAATTCCACAATTTGAATTTGCTAGGATAAAATTGTCTCCTTTAATAGAAACTGTCACTGATAAATAAACCAGTTGTGGCTTAATGTAGGACCTATTTCTGTTCCAAAACGATGAAATTTCGAATAAACTTTATTAATGATAATAGAAAATGTCGGAAAACTGTTATGGACTTACCTATTTTGTTGTGACAGGTAAATTTGTCACATGCTTTAATTTTGCATGTTTTAATATTTTTAAGCTAGGGTGAATGTGCCAGTGATCGGACAGTTTAGACAAAAGTGGAAAACAAACTGTAATTACGAATTTTGTGTTCCAGATTCAAGTTGTCATTAGAACTTTGAGGAAAAGAAATTAAACTCACCTATGCTGAGTCCATTTAATATAGTACATAGATACGTTTATCAAAAATACATACAGACTAGATAAAAATGAACAAAAGGAACTAATTTTTCCTTTAAGCCGGTCCTGCACTGTCGACTTTGAACTACCATACTGCTTACATACTTCAAGCAATTTTCTAACATTTCTTAGCTTCGACTGTCTCCTTTAGCCTGCTTCCACAGAATTTATTTTTTCCTTGGTATAAAAAATGGCGGAAAAATGGAAGTGGCCGGTTATTGGGATTCTATCAAAATTCTTTCATTCCAGTAGTCGGACACAATATCACAGCCCATAATCTACACTATTTGTTATTTTTCACTGTCCGTACACTGACTGGGGTTTTCGGTTTGTTTAATTCCGAGACAGAAGTCTGATGGCTTTAATGTTTTAAAACCCTTAACAGGAAACGGGAATTGACGGGTATATGGTACAGAATAGGCAACATGCCGTCTCTCAGTCTGCGATCTTTAAGAAGTTCAAAATACTAGAGTAAGAGGAAAAGCGGCGAATAACTTTGCTGACGCTAATGTTAGATGCTCATTTTGTGTTTAATACGTTAACCCTTTCGATACTAACGGGTTATATAGATACCAGCAAAAATGCCTTCATCTAATTACTCATTATTAATAACATACCGATTTTTTTAAAAAACTATAGTGTGCTATGTCAATTTAAAACGTATTATGCATTGTCCCAGTGGTAAGGTGGGTTTTGTCTTAGATACTATTAACAGGAAATTATATTTTGAGGTTAGGTTGTAGCATTATTTTGCAACTTGTAAACAAATGCACTTGTGACTCCTCTTTGCTTGTGAGTCTTTGGCTTCAAATTCGTTCAAATGTGATTAAACAACATAATTGTTTATAATGATCTAAAGAAATACATCGAATTTTTATGGGTGGGACTTATATGTCCCAACAGTAATATACAGGGTGACTTTGAAGTTGAGTCATTAATTTTCAGATAATGATTGTAGAAGGAAGATAAACCAAAATATGAGTGTAAAAATAAAAAAATTACCTTGTTTTATAAAGTATCCTCCTGACAAGTATTTCAGTGCAGACCTGTATTAGATAGTGCGGTCTTGGAGCACCGGCATGCCCTCCCCTGTGAGGTTTTAAGTCACCTGATTCAGGAGCCCTTTGTACTACATTAACAAAGGCACTAGGGGTTGGTTGCACTCGATTTTGAAACCGATCCGCATAATTATTGATGCCGCGGCAGCATTTTGTAAATAAGAATCATGTCCACAAGTTCAGCATTTTCGTAAACATGTGCCATTTGTTATTTTGTTTGAGCCACGTAACAAACACCACTATTCACTCACGCGTTACCGACTGACACATTGACTGAATACAACTGAATAAGCGTTTCAAATTCTTTCGCTTTTTTGTGTCCGATGCGATGAAACGACAAGGCGGATTATATCCGTTGTTGCCAAACACGAGCACATAATATTATTATTGAGACAGGGCGGTACTCAAACTTCTAAAGGGCTATAACTTTGTTACTTTAATTTTACCAGAAAAATGTTAAAGGAAAAAAACAGTTCTTTTGATCAGATCTACGCACTGTTAAAATAAATGACTCAACTTCGAAGTCACCCTGTATAGTCAGTAGTAAGTATAGTGTATAGTTGGCATAATAATCAAATTATACCCATTTGTAAGGACATCACAATGCAGTCACCAGCAAATCGAAAATGAATACGTTTGGAATATTTATCATATTACAAATTGATATAATTTTGTTACTATAAACGTTACTATTTTTGCATAGGTCTCATTTTATCTTTTTATTTTCTAGAAAAAGAGCGTTAACTGCTAAAGAACTTGAAGAAAAGCTTTTCAAGACACCGGTTCCGAGTATAAGTCAGAATCGGATATTTCATCTGAAAGTGATTTGGCGCTTCCTGCCCGTCGTACTACACGTAAACGCAAAAGGAACAACCAACAGAAAGCTAAAAACGATATGCCTGATGTTGAAATTCTTAGCGTAGAGCCTAATTTAGCGTCAGATCTTGAGGAGATTCAGGTAGAGCCTAACCCCATCAGCAAGAAGAATATTCACTGGAGCACTAGTGGATCTTCATTTATTCCTTCAAAGAGTATACCTACCGCGCATGTTACACGTATTTTACATGCAGATATTACTTATAAATCATCTGAACTCGAGTTTTTTTTAAATTAGTTCTCAGAAGTTTGTTTATTTTTATGGCTGAATATACTAACGAAAGGCTAAGCACCTTACAAGAGAAAACAAAAAAGCAATATCTTTCCACCGATTATCAAGAAATTATGTTGGTAATTGGTTGTCATTTTGTCATGGCGTACAACAAAGTAACATCTTTGTCTAATTATTGGTCATCTAACAAATCACTTGGAAATGAGGCCATTAAAAATGCCATCTCTAGAGACAGATTTTTTCTTCTTCATTACAACATCTTAAAAAAAGAGAAAATTCAGACAAACTCTATTACATTTCTGAAGTTATGTCGTGTCTCAAACATACATTGCCAAAAGTTCGAACTGACAGTAGTTTTCACAGTATAGATGAGTCAATGGTGAAATTTAAAGGTCGTTCCTCGCTGAAACAATATGTTCCGTTAAAACCAATAAAGAGAGGTATTAAGATTTGGGAGAGATGCGATTCTGACACTTTATATGTATATCATATGGATATACAGGGTGACTTTGAAGTTGAGTCATTAATTTTCAGATAATGATTGTAGAAGGAAGATAAACCAAAATGTGTGTGTAAAAATAAAAAAAAATTAAAAAAAAATGTTACCTTGTTTTATAAAGTATACTCCCCTGTGAGGTCTTAAGTCACCTGATTCACGAGCCCTTTGTACTACATTAACAAAGGCACGAGGAGTTGGTTGCACTCGATTGGGAAACCGATCCGCATAAATCCGTGATGCCGCGGCAGCATTTTGTAAAGAACCCCCCCCCCCCTAAATAAGAATCATGTCCACAAGTTCAGCATTTTCGTAAACATGTGCCATTTTTTATTTCGTTTGAGCCACCAACAAACACCACTATTCACTCACGAGTTACCCACTGACACATTGACTGAATGCAACTGAATAAAATTGTAGTAAAAACATCGTGATAAGCGTTTCAAATTCTTTCGCTTTTTTGTTTCCGATGCGATGAACCGATAAGGCGGATTATATCCGTTGTTGCCAAACACGAGCACATAATATTATTATTGAGACAGGGCGGTACTCAAACTTCTAAAGGGCTATAACTTTGTTACTTTAATTTTACCAGAAAAATGTTAAAAGAAAAAAACATTTCTTTTGATCAGATCTACTCACTGTTAAAATAAATGACTCAACTTCGAAGTATATGCTGGACGAGGAGCAAAAAGAAGGAACGTTAGGGGAAAGGGTGGTAAACATGTTATGCAGCTCTACAAATGATCCAAACGTGATGTTGTGTTTTGATCGTTTTTTTTTTCGACTGTAAATTTAATTGCTAATTTAGATTTTGCTGCTGTTGGGACATGTATGTCAAATAAAAAAAACCTGCCACAGTTTGAAAAGAAAAAATGGGAAAAGGAGATTGCCAAACATTATTTAGTGATCAGGGTGTTATCGCACATCTATGGAAAGATTCTAAAGAGGTTTTGATTCTTTCAAGATGTCACAAAGACGAAATGGGAACCGTAGAAAGACGCCAACAAGCCGGAACCAAAATTAACGTGCCCTGTCCGGAAGCTATAAAAGCATATAATGGATGTATGGGTGGTGTTGATCTTTCAGATGAAATGTCTGTTATATGAAATTGATCGGAAGTCTTAAAAATGGCGGAGAAAAACATTTTACAAGCTACTGTTAACATCAGCCTCAAATGCATGGATACTATTCAAAGAAGCTCATAAGCCTGATGTTCCGTTCATTACATTTCTAGTAAACCTAGCAGAAGATTTGATAAACACAAATCGACAATGATATACACTTCTTGCGCTTCTCTCTCGTATACATTGAACGCAAGCCGTCAGACAAATTTGGTTTTCCCTGTAGACCCTTTTATCTAAAAGAAGAAGATTGATGTAACTTTTCGACGCATAGTTGATTCTATATACAGAAACGCCAACTTTGAAGATTATGCCGGACCGTTATTTTAAAAGATAGTAATTTTGATTGACCCGTTCAAAAAAGCACTATATCCAATGGTAAATTTGTGTATTCTCTTTATTGGTTGTGACTTTTAGTCGATAATCCAACATTCTGATGTTCAAGTATAATTTTATTATTGGTCAGTAACTATGATGTAGGTATACTTATACCTAGGTATAGTTTTCTTTGAAGGGCTTTTCAATATTTTGTTCGTGTTGTAATTTTTAGTAAACAATTCTTATGGGCGTAGGGTGAACGGTAATTAATAAAAACTTGAATATTTGAAATCCTATAGTTGCTGTTAATTAGTGCCAGATTTATCATCTAATTTGTGATAGTTTACAAAAATTTCACATTCACAGTGGTTGTAATATTGAAAACAGTACTAACGCGTTAAAAACAGCACGCGCGCATTCGTTTCCTCAATTTTTGTTATTTGTGTAGTGGCATAAATTTTAAAGCAAGTAGAATCGTCAGCAGACAATATATAAATACTGTACTTGTTACATATGCAGAAGACATTCAAAAGTTACGAAATAAATTAATCCTAATATTATGTTATTTTAACATTTTGAGGTCAAATTGTAGTGGCTGCTGACTGGTTCAATATACTATAGTCAAAATCCAAAGTCGGACAAGTGTCCGACTATTAGGATGGCGTGGTAGTTATCAATCTTCTTCTCTTTAAACCATCAATCTTTTATTTTGGAGGCGTCTGACAAATTGGTTAAGGTTTTCGCGGCCAGTTGATAAACTGCTGTCTTGATTCGGGTCTACATCCAGCATCGGAAATAGAAGGACCTCTGAAGAAGCTTGCCACTGGTGCTAGCGAAACGTTAGGAAGAAATTCCAACCGACGACGGCCTTCAGACCCGAATCAAGACATCAGTTTTATCTTGGAATTAAACAAACTAAAATACGACCGAAGCTCCATCAGCCAGTGGATGGACAGCGAAAGATAACAAATATTGTGGATTATGGCCAGTGATTGTGTCCAACTAGTGTAATGAACGAATTTTCATAACATCTCGTCATTTTTTCACGAGACTGTGAAATAAAATTTCACATTTACACTTCATTGGGGTATCGATACAAAGAAAAAATAAATCCTGTAAATATAGTGAAGGCAGGCTAAAGGAGACAGTCGAATCAGTGAGAAATGTTGGGAAATTGCTTGAAATATGTTAATATTATTAATAATATTATTTCAAGTATTCAGTTCAAAGTCGATAGTGCCGGATGGGATTGAAGGCAAAAAAAATAGTTTCTTTTTCATTTTTTTGCATGTATTTTTGATGAAAATTTCTGTATTAAATAGACTCAGTATGAGTGTGTTTAATTTCTTTTCCTCAAACAGTTGATTTGAAGTTTCTGTTCTACTATCACAAATTTTTGAATACGCTTCTGTCTAAAGCTAAAGTCTAAAGCAAGCTGCCCGACAATTGGAAACTAACCGGCCGGCTAGCACGGCTATACTACAACCTACAACTATTTAAAACTGTAATGACTCATACGCGTGATCAACACGTGATCAGAGCTCGATCCCGGCTTCCTTCCAGTACAGCCGTATAGCGTTAACAGCACAGACAGAGATGGAAATAATGGCTGATTGTTCTCCGCCGGTAGAACCAATGAAATCAACGACGCGCCTCGACCGGCAGACTCATAGGCGTCGGCAACGCATTGGAACGTGTTTCGTTGAGCGATCGCATATTGTGTGTTTTTATAAGAATTGTTGTGTGATTGTTATTGTTGTGGTTTCTGTGGTTACTGTTTTGGTTATACTTAACCATGGAGAGTACAAATGGCACGAGTGGAAGTACCAGCTGCTTCGAGCTGGTTTCAAGGGGTGCTTCAGCGAGTTGAGCCCAACTCTGTGATCGTCATGGATAATGCTTCCTACCATAGTCGTCGAGCCGAACGTGTACCGACTATGGGATCTTGAAAAAGTGACATGCAGCAATGGTTGGGCGAAAAAGAAATCCCGTTTGACGATTCATGTGTGAAAGCGGAATTGTATGAAAAAATTAAACATCACAAACCTGCGAACATTAGTTACGTGACTGATGAGATGGCCCGTCTATGTGGTGTCACTGTGCTGCGGTTATCGCCCTACCACTGTGAACTGAACCCACTAGAGCTCATCTGGGCTCAAGTGAAGGGTTATATTGCGCGGCATAACACAACCTTCAAATTACCAGACGTTAAGGTTTTACATGAGACTTCCATACAACTAGTAACGCCCGAAGCTTGGCAGAATACTATCCGTCATGTTGTGAAGGAAGAAACAAAAATGTGGCAGCTTGACCACCACATCGACACCATCATAGAGCCAGTTATAGTCAATTTCAACGAGGAAAGCGATAGCGACAGTTTATTACTGTCAGATGTAAGTGGAAGCGACTATGAATAAAGGTAATTCCCAAATTTTTGACATACAATATGTTTCAAACCACTCTTTATTAAGCATGTGACAAATCTAGTTCACCCATGTTAAACATTCATACCCCGCCTATGAACAGCCGACTACTGGTAGTTAAGTGATGTTCACGTGAACATCGATGAGTCATTACAGTTTTAGATAGTTATAGTATAGTAGTAGTGTGTTAGTGTGTAATTTCGGATTTAATGAAAAACTAAACCATAAAAATAGTTTTGGCAGTATTTAGTACCTGTTGTGCCATCTAGAGATAAAGGTTTGATAACTCCAATAATTTGAAAGAGAACCAAACTTGGAAATGATGGTTAAACTATTCACTAGTAGATGGTGGAACAATTAAAAGTGCCATCTAGTAATAAAAATATCATAAGAATTATAGGAATTAATGCAGAACTTACTTTTGGCAATTGTGCCATCTAGAAACTAAAATCGTAATTATTGAGAATATTTATTGATAACTCCTAGATGGTGCCACCAGCTAAAACAGTGGAGTGCTTCAGGATTATCAGGAGGTTGCTCAGCTTTTTGGTCTGTCCTTATTGTTTGCACACAGTTTTCGCCAACATTTCTGACTGATTCTTCTGCTAAACATCTGAGTATCTGTAGAACTTCGGATTTCACTGTTTTTCACTTGAAACTTATAGAAGGTAGTCTGATAGATTATTTTAAATCATAAAATGATAGATTATTTTAGATCATAAAAAGTGTGGATGAAGCACGCTTTTCATGAAATTTTTTCCCAAAGCACTGTATTTTTTTAGCAGTTATTTCCCCCCATTATTTCCTCCGCCATCTACCATATGACGTTGACGTCTGTGGATATGTCATATATGAGAAGCGCTTGCATGCGGTGTTGCCGGATTGGGCTCCATATTTAGGGAAAAATATGAAAAGTGAAAATTTATATACTTCATATTAATTAATGAAACACAAAAACAAAAAACAGTAGTAAAATTAAAAGTGATTCTTACTAAGCATAAAACAAAAAATAACAAACCGCAGTAAAATAAAAACCAATTCTAGGTGATTATAAAAAAATAAAAATTAATACAGTAGTGGAACAAAAGGCAATTCCTTGTAATTATAAAAAAGAAAAAATAACAAACAGTAAAATAAAAAACAATTTGGATGGAATGGAATTGTTTTTCGTTTTACTACATTTCTTACTTTTTGATTTGTGTTGTCACTTAGAATTGCTTTTTATTGAAGTCTTTGTTATTTTTTGTTTTTCATAATTACATGGAATAATTTTTTTTTGTTGCACTACTGTTTTTATTTGTTGTTTTTTATAATCACTTAGAATTGCTTTCTATTTTACTGCTGTTTGTTATTTTTTGTTTCTTATAATTATTTATAATTTATCATTTTTTAGCTTACTAATGTAATTTTTTTATTCATTCTTATCAGGAATCGCCTTTTATTTTGCTACTGTTGTTTGTTTCAGTTTTTCGTTTTTGTGATTCATTCATATGTACCTATATGTATATAAATTTTCCACTTTTCATATTTTTCCCTAAATGCGGAACCCAGTCCGGCAACACCGCAGGCAAGCGCCTCTCATATTCGTCATATATGACATATGCACAGACGTGTACATCATGCGGCAGAAAGATGGCGGTAGAAATAATGGTGGAAAGAACAGCTAAAAATAGTGTTTTGGGAAAAACATTCATGAAAAGCGAGTTTCATCCACACTTTTTCTCTGCAAGACGCAACAGCACCTCTGATAAAATCGTTTAAAATTCCGCATAAAAAATTTATACTGGATTGAGATATTGATATGTGTTGAGATTATCCAACGTACTTTTACATGACACTGGCAGAGTATTACGTAAAAAATCTATACAAGGTGTTGGTTTCGAGGGGGCAAAATAATGGTGACCTTGACTACGACCCCCACACTGAACAAAAAATTTCAATAACGGTGATGAAATGTAACAAAGTTGCATGATACGTTGTCCGCAAGCAACTTTAACACTCCTGTTACATCACAGTTACTTTCAATGTTCCTTACATCAACGTTCGCTGAGTTACAGAAATTAAAGAGGACGTTAGTACCACGAAATAACCTTTTTGAGGCAATAATATCACCTCACTGTTTCAGAATTTAGGTACATCCATGTTATGTATTGTAAACGTGACTTTTATGTAATATATAATCTTTATTTCAAAATAACAGTGCACATAATGCCATAATAGCAAACAAATGCAAGACACAAAAATAGTGTCTAAATATTATAATATTACACAATGTTTGTTTCATATTTCTAGATATTCATCGAGCCCCTATGGCTCTAGATTCATTAATAACTGGTGAATACATTTCTTGAACTTTTTTCTATTCGATAACTTTTTAAGTTTCCGGGGTAACTTATTGTAAAGCTTTGCACAACTGTAATTGTACGTTTTTTTCGATAACAGTTAGATGATGAATTGGGTACACAAGACTTATATCTCTGTTCCTTATATTGTAATTGCCTGGGATTCTTATAAAGTACCAAATATTTTTAAATGTAAATATCAATATTTCCTGAATATATATTGCCACTATGGTGAGTATTTTATTCCCTTTAAATTTTCCTCTACATGTTTCTCTACACGGAATTTTAACATGCATCTCAATGCTCGTTTCTGTACCCGAAAGAGCCTGTTTATCTGGCTACTGTGTCCGTAAAAAAATATACCAAAACGTGCAATGGACTTAAAGTTGGCATGGTAAACAATTTTTATGTAGCTATTTTGTAACTATATGTTCGTTTTACTTTTTACATTAATATTACAAATTTCATACCTGGCCACAAGAAAAAACACATCTATTAAATAAGCAGATTTACTGATGTTTCGTTTAACTTTGGTGTTCTTTATTAAAGTGCATAAATTGAATAAAATGTTGCCATTGGAATTGATGCGAAGTTTGTACCTTAAAAATGCCACAAACGGTGGCTACCGAACGCCAGTAAATCAGTTTATTCAATGGATGATGTGTTTTTATTTGTTGACCAGGTAGAGAGATACTGTGAAAAGGTACCACAATAAATTTTTGATCGATTACATTTCAAAAACAAGATTATTATTTGCGAAGGAAAATGGGCGGTAAAGAGACTAACTCACTTTTCTAATCCATATTTATTACTTAATATTTCTTTGGTTTGAAAATCGGAGCCAGTCTCCTACTGTGACCTCAAAGTCTTTATCAGTTGCACGCTTTTAACACTATCTGAATTTTTTTGAAATAATCCCATATAGCCGCCATACGAGGCTTTAAAATGTTTCAAAATCATACAGTACTAGAAGTAAAAGACCAGGTGCAACTACAATAATTCACATGAGTAAAATATATGATATTATAAAAATATATGTTTAGGCACATAAAAACCGAGTTATATTTAAGTATTTTCAAATATGGATACTGGAACTAATTCAATAATGTGGTTTTAATCATTCGATAGGATTGGATGGCAGATGAAAGATAGTCACGTTAGTGCAGGAACTATTCCATGTCACAAATTTTCCAATTTTGCTTTTATATTCTACTTGTTCCTCTTTTCAATTAACGCGACCTTGAAATGACCTTGAAGACCGTAGACACGGTCACTGTCATCATGCTGCCCCCTCTAAACCCTACAACTGTCGTTTGAAACTTCTGGACAGTGCGAGTGACACAAACCGGGTATACCAAAATTTCACAAAATCAAAATGCCGAATTTTAAACATCAACTTTGAATTTTCGATTTCATGGGCAACAGCCCAGACGACACCCGTATTGCGTAACTTAAAAGTGACATTATATTGATTTTCAATGACATCATGTACGTTGTTCCGCAAAAATGTCACCTTGGAACTAACTGTCATTCACTTCATGTTAACGTGTACTAGCTGTGCATGTTGCCTAAACTTCATGGCACTTGAGGTTCACGGTTTTGCTCTGATGTGATGTAACGTCTGCTTTAGAGCTGGCACTAGAGGCCATTTATATCTTCTGTGGTTAAGCTATAAATTCTATACTATAGGCCGTTGGGCCCCCATAGGTGGCGTTCACAGCGAGTGCCCGTCGCGTGGATTAGCGAACAAGCTAGTATGTAAGTACGTAAGTTGACATTATACAAATTCTTAATGACATAATAATAACGTGATGTTAACTAGATTTGCATAAAAAATGGGCTTGGCCGGTTCCTGCAATATACCCTTAAATTGGATTGCCATTGTTTTTAGTTGGTAATTATAGTGGGCCTAGCTTTCTTCGTTTCGTACTTTGTCGAGGGATGTCGTCGATCATTTTGTTTGATAAGAGAGCTGATATACAAATTCCAAAAGGGTATTTTGGATTTTTGGGGTTATACAATTTCACTTGCAATATACAATAACAAAAACTAATGATTTTCCATCACAAGGGCCTTGAGAATGGGGTTTCTTGACGTGTATAGAACTCATACTGTGAGAAATTTTTCAGAAGTCACTAGGCTGAGTATAACTCACGTTTATCATTACCTTAACGATACATTTTTGAAATACCTCCGCACATTTTAGGTATGTTTTAGTGACTACCCCCCAAGCAATTATCCCATAATTTAGGTATAATATATGAGAGCATAATAGACTGAGCGAAGCTGAGTTTTGATAAGGAATATTTTAATTGTTTCATTGTGGCTATGATATCCCCAATGTTTGTCCCAGCTTAAGTGGTAATCTAGTTACATACCCAGCTATTTAACATTATCTCCTATCAACAGCTCTATCTGTTAATTTTGATAGCGGATGTTCAAAAGTTTCTTCGTACATGTTTCCTGGACAATCTATTGTGTAACACATAGGGCTTCCAAAGGTCAAGCCGCGTTTTAGGAATCGTGACTCGCTTTTTTTTCAGCAACCTTGACGTGTACAAAACTCGTGTTCTTTTGCCTTAAAACTTTTGAGGTCAAAATGGCTAAAGAAATTTCCTGAGGCAGGATTCAAGTAACCCGTTGGCTAGTTTTGAGTCATCATCATCATAATCCCAAAGTTACGAACCTGAAAAAGCGACGCTCGCCTGTGCGGGAATATGTCCTAGTCTTGCTAAGGGCCCTATAGTCCGACGTTCCTACAATTGTAAGACGCCTTTATGGCCTAATTGGTCTTTTCTATCCTTCAGAAAGGCTGGGATATTTCTAGAGTTCTACTACTCCGTGTCAGTGTTAGCGATCTCTTATTGTGAGGCTGCTTTCGTTTTGAATCGAAGGAAATTTCAGATGATATAAATCAAAATCTTGAACAATTTGATGCAAATGGATATTTGTAACAAAACCAAAAAATAGAGCGCTGACACGGAACAGTAGAAAATCAAGTCGGCCCTTAATTGTTTAGTTGTTTTGTAAGCGACAAGAGGTTATCGAGGAAATAAAGGAGGTCACATACTTAGTTATAATTTATATATTTTCTCTATAAACAATAAACAACAATAAACGTTATGGCAAATTTTGGCTTTGAATGCTTTGGCATTAAACCCCATGAAAATAAAATACTTCTTAAACAAAAACAATAATATTTACATATAGCGTATGTTAGGTATGAAACTGGTGATAATACTATAGGTATTAAACGTTCTACTTTCATGTGAAAATACTTTGTAAAAATACTCTATTACTAAGGCAATTATCGTTAAAGTACTGAAAATTCATAACTATTATTATATTAAGTGATAAATTAGGTTAAGATAATATTACAATCACTAGCTGTTTGACTAAATTATGTCCATTTTATAATCCTGACCCACACCCTCGGATTGTTTATCACTGTTTTCCTCTTTAATGACTACCTCCCCGGTTTGTACATTGATATATCGCTTTTCACCCTCATTATTGTTGAATCGTTCCTCAACATCAACACCTTCTACTTTAGAACCATGTTCCTCGAAGAACGTCTGTTCGTTTTCATCTCCTAGCTCTACTTTAGCTGAGGTTAACTTAACACTATCACAAGTCATGAAACCTTCCACCTGTCTCATCTTACTGGGCACGAAGTGCCACTTTGTATGTTCCCTAAGGAAATGATTTTGGGGTACAGAATAATCACAGTGTTCACAAGTATATGCGTTTTTCACACCAGACACTGAAATGTGTCGTTTGTTGTGATTGTTCACAGCTGCTTTACTGGGATTGGTGTAAGGGCAGTTCTGACACCAATACATCTTCTTCTCTTCGAGGTCTTTAGCTTCGCGCATTTGCCGATGTTCCTCGATCGCTGCTATCTGTTGGTCTGCCACGCTTATCCTAGGTTTAATATCTACTTCATTGGTAACTTCTACAGTTTCATCAGGTTCGACGTCCATTTCGTCACTTGAACGTCTGGGTGTTAAAGCTTCTGCATTCATTCTGTGCTTCTTGAGGTGTTGGATATAGTTTGCGTAGTACTTCACCGAGTAATCGCAGTACTCGCATGTGTACCTCTGCTTAGCCCCGTGAAGGTTTGTATGCACTTTGTGTTGTTCCCTTTTATCGAAGGCACTGGGACACTTCTGGCACTTGTAGCGTTTTTCTTTCGTTTTTCCATTTTTAAGGTTAGACGCAGACGAGACATTTTGCGCTGCTTCATCCGGAATAGGTGAAGGTTCTCTACTTTGCTCGGCGACTTGCTTCTGTTCAGCTTCAGATTTCTGTAAGAACAAGTCTGTTCCTGACAATGGCACACTTTGACTGGACTTTAGGGGCTTGTTGAGTATGCTGCATAACGTGCTCATCTCTGGTTTGACCTCAGCTACTACCCAAGCTGACTCCCCGTTGAAGTTTTTGGTAACTATTGTTGATTTAGGGTAATTTGTACTGGTTATATACATACTTTGCAATACCTTGGTCCTTTCCTGGTATTCTGACGTATGCACTTTGTAGTGAGAGTACAAGTGAGGTTTTTCGCGCGAGGTATAGCTACAATACTCACATTTATAGAATAACTTTGATCCATGGAATCTTTTGTGAATTCCAAACTCATTCTCTTTCAAGAATCTAGCGGGGCATTCTTTGCAAAAGTATAAAACAGAACCAGATCCAGAAGAGCTGTCGATTTCGTCTTCGTTTGGTGACGACTCTACGAAGTCAAAATCTTCTATCGTCGAACCTTCTGGGAACGGTTGTATACCTAGAGATCGGCTAAGTTCTCTGATTTGTTCCTCATCTGTTCTAGTGGGATCAACCAATCGGTGCACCGTCCCATATAATCCTTGATGCACCTTAGAATGCGAGGAAAGCACTCCGGCGTTGTTACAGACATAATTGCATTCTGTACACCGATGTTCGCTATCTCCGTTTCGCGAAGAGTTAGAGCTCTTTTCTCTAGCGCTGTGCATTTTCTCGTGCTCCTGGATGTTGACCTTCCTCAAGTTGACATGAGGACAATATCGGCATTTGAACATCTTGGAGAACTTTCCGCTTTTTGACACCCAAACAAGTGGAATATCAGGGAAGTTCTGAAGGTCTATATTGAAAGCAGTAGCTTGCGGTATTTCGTCTATCTCATCGCAAACATCATCGAGGTACAGCGCCTCGCCATTTTGTTTGTGAGACGTAACGCTGATTCCATGTACTTTGAGGTGTTGGTGAAGTAGATGTCGCTTGCTGACATTGTACGAGCAGTGAGTGCAGGTGTACTGGCCTCCTCTGGGCTTATGGAACTGCTTGTGATAAGTGTATTGTGATTTGGAGTTGGTTACGTAGGGACACGCCAGGCACTTGAACTTCTTCCCATCGCCGCTCTCCAGCAGAGGGCTCTTGTCAGCCACTTTGTTGAGGAAGTCATCCGGGTCTGCAACTCCGTGGAGCTTCAAGTGGACCAGGAGATCATCCCTATGCGAAACGGAATAGCGGCAGTAAAAACATCGATGTCTTCCTCCGTCCACGTGCCCAAACAGGTGTGCTTTAAGCTCTTCGGCTGTATCTGTTGAAAAGGGGCAAACAGTGCATTTGAAAGGCTTCGATTGGATTACGTCCGATTGCTCAGGTGCGTCTTCGCCAGCTAACTCATCCACCTCTAACCGCTCTTGACCGTTCTTGTTACTCACGACACGGATGTCGCCGCTGTGTTTTAAACGGCAGTGTCTCTGTAAAAAAATAATTTACAATAAATACTAGGGATCTTGCTTTTACTGCAATCATGACCATTACAAATAATATGAGCAGCAACAAACATTAATATAGTTTCCTTCTCATCAAGATTAGCGATATGTCAAATACACTTTAAGAAATATAAATACAGTAAGTGCTGGTATTTGAGGGTGGTTATTGAAAGTTCATATCAACGTATGAGTAGGTGTATAATACATACAGTAATGGACAAAAGTATATAGACAAATTAATATTGTGCTGTATTTCTTTTTTAACTTGTTTTATTAATACAAGAACTTGTATACATAATTCGTTATAGCATAATACTCACTTATACATAAATAAATTCATTAGACTCCCTTCAATAAAACATTAATTGAAAAAAACTCGAACTATGAAGGACAAAATATATAGACATAGCAAAACAATTATAGAAAAAAGAAGCAAAGTTCACTGAATTATAGAAAACCAACCATGTTTGTGTTAATATTTTGTAGCATAATCATTATTACCAATCACCGCTTGGCCACCGTCTCGGCATAGATTGTAGAAGTTTCTTGATATAATAAGATTCATCAATCTGTCTCCACTTTTACTCTAAAGCGGCAAAAAGTTCATCCTTGTTTGAATAATTTTTATCTTGTATTTGGTTATCTACGTATTCCCATAGATTTTCCATGGGGTTTATATCGGGAGACTGTGAAGGCCATTTGAGAACTGGTATTTTTTCATCCAGAAAGAATTTCTTTGCGAGATTTGAAGTGTGCCTCGGGTCATTATCTTGCTGGAAGATTGATCTTAAGGGCATATTGTCTTCCATATAGGATAACATGACATGCTTTGGTATGTCTGTGTATACAAACTTATCCATAATGCCATCTATTCTATGTAAAGGTCCCATCCCAAACCTCGAAAAGCACCCCCAAACCATAACAGACCCGCCTCCATGTTTGACAGTGGGCAAAGTGTACTTGGGGTTCAATCTTTGTCCACTAAGACGTCTAATGTCATGAACAATATCTGATCCTAACATATTGAACTTGGAATCGTCACTGAAACATAGCCCTCTCCAGTCACAGATGCTCCAATCAAGATGCAATCGTGCAAATTGTAATCGCTCCTTACGGTTTTCTTCGAGATTAGCGGCTTCTTACTCGGCGACGTGCAAATAACCTCAAATCATTTAATCTTCTAGTTATAGTTTTCGTAGAAACACTGACAATTCCGTTTGTCCTGATTTCAGCTTTTATTTGTCTTGGGATTTTAAACGGATCTTTGGACGAAATTACTTTTATTAATCTAACTGATCAAGCATTTAGTTTTCTAGGCCGACCACTTCTCTTAGAGGCTTCCAAGATACCTTTTTGTTATATTTGTTCAATATTGCCCAAACTGCTTTACGCTTCAGCTTCAAATTTTGGCAATGTCGACTTGACGTTGACCATCTTTGTATACTCAATGATCTTAGTTTCCACATCGAAGGAAATTTTAGGACCACGCAGCATGGTCTTAAAATCACTCAACTTATTCCACAATACTTGATAAACACAAACTAATCCTCTTCTGACACGAAACTGTACTAAACTAATGTTGAAAAGAATTTGTCTACATATTTTTGTCCCTCATAAAAAAGTGCTTATATTCAAACTTGTATTGTGTTCATTGAAGAAAATGTAAAAACAAGGAATTTAGTTTTTCTATTAATAACGCATTTGTTTATGGAGCAATGAAGTATGAATTCGTTTTCTAAAGCTATTTAGGCAAATATTCATATTTGTCTATATACTTTTGTCCATTACTGTACGTGCTGAAGTAGGTCGACATTTTTATTTATTTTATTTTTTTCGGGGATTATTATTATACCGTCATATTACCAGATGAAAAAGAAACTTAATTAACGACCACAACAACATATTCATTTTCTCTTAGAATTGGGTTGACTTTTTAATGATTTACAAATTATAAATGTCAACTGTTATGACTGTAGAATGTAAGATATTTAGCACGTATTACTTCAGGCTTACCGATGCGAGGCGACGCGAAGAGAACTGAGTCGACCGGACACTTTTCTTTACTAATTGCACTTCTCGCGAAAAATTTCGTTTCAGTTCTCTTCGCTTCTGCGTACTGGGTGTGCATCTTGACATTGAAACTGAAGTATATTGAAATAAAAATCATCAAGAGACAATGGAATATGCAGCTGCTAAGCTTCAAATGCTCCAACTGGCGATACAAAAAACTAAGAAACATGTTGAGGCAAGATTAATGACATTTAGAAATTATGAACAGAAAACATAATTTTAGTATAAACACTATTAGTGCGGACCCAATGAAAGCTTTTCACATCAACAAAGGCGGATCCACCTTTTGAGCCGGGAGAGTTCACCTTCGAGTGGAGGAGGTCTTAGTCAAGGTACAGTCAAGATAGGCTTCAATGCGTTTAAAACATCAATTCTAATTTAAAAATAAGCATTTTATTAAGTCTTCTTTTTGTTTTCTTGTGAATCTATTCAACACTTGTTTTAGATCGATATGCGTATTTCTGTGGACGTAATGAAGTACCAGTTCAGTCACATGCGAACAGAATTCATCTTTGCTGCCGCTACACTAACTGGCAGTGTAGCAAGTATGCATAAAACTGTTTGATTATTATTGCAAAAAAATATCAGCGGTCGTTCTCGGTTCGCTGAAGGTGGGGAGGGTTATGACCACTATCACTCTCACCCTGGATCCGCCCTTGCACATAAATATAACACGTTAGCAAAATGATGTGGAAGGTTATCATAGACTTAGTAACATTTATGCAGATTAAGGGTAATATACAAAAAGTAGTATCATTTTTATCCCATATTTCGTTTTGAGGAGGGATAAATGATCGCTGATTGGTTACAAAAAGGCAAGTGGAAAATGTTAAACTATGGCTTATTTGGTACGGGTTAGTAGTATGATTTTCCATGCAATTCTGAACGTCTATCATTTGTCGCTCCATAAACGCTTAGAAGTTGGTTTAAAGTTTGTACTTGTTGAACAATGAGTATTCTTGGACTTTAATGATTGAAATTGTTGCACGTTAGAAATTATATCAACAACAAAGAAGTACTGCAACAGTGAAACTTTTTACAAAGGTCCAGGTATAACATTATGACTATACAGTGGTTTTCTTTAGTATCTCGATTTACTTATTGGTCGAGTCAAGTGAGCAGGTTGATATTCAGTATGATAAATTTGATGCATAAATACTGTTATTTCAATGTAAAAGTGACATGCTAAACATTTCAAGATGGTGGTTGCGCATTCTCTTGGATTTGCTTGAAGCAATGAGGGGTTATGGGATACATTATCTTGAATCTCTTTATAATGCTAGAGTATATTAAAGATCACTGTCTTTCGGAATGGTGGTCTGTCAAAGTTGAGTTTTTGTACATTGAACCGAACAACTAATCATCAAAATGATATGATATACCAACTTTCTTTCTTTGGAACGGTTTATCAAAATATGCAATAAAATGTCAAGCATTTCTTCAGAAAAAACAATTCTGCTTCTCTTTGACAAAATGTCAATTTTGCTCTTTTGCAAAATGGAATGACCCATATTTGAAATGGACACATTTGCTTTCCGTCTCTTTAACTACGACCAACCGCAGACAACGCTGTTTCGTGGTCATTAACAACGCATCAGTGCGGTATAGTAGTCCTGGAGACAGTTGAAGGAAAAACTCAAAATACTGTAGGCGAAAAATCGGACAATTTCCACCAGCCAATGGTTTGCTAAAGTTGATCTTCATCCTCATCCCATAAACTCCTACGCTATTGGCTCATAACTGTGTAGGGCTTTTCCGTCATTTTTCATCGTCTGGATGAGGATGGAGACCAACTTTGGCAAACCATTGATCGTCAGCTTTTTCGCCTACCTCCGTACATGCCCGATATTATATTCCACATTCAGATAGACAGTTCCAAAAGGAGAATACTGATATACCTACTGGTAATATATCGTCTCTTTTTTTTAAAAAAACCTCTGTATATTTTGGAACAAAATACCGCGATCCTATTCTACAAATAATGATTTGATGAAATGATGTTCTGTTGCCTTTTTACCGACTCAACATGAGAACATGAAAACAGAGAATATATACATGATGTCACCTTGTGTTAAAACTGTTAATAATTATTAGTGTATTAAAAAAATGTAACCACGTGTCGAGAAGCTATAATTACCCCTAATTTAAATAGCATGAAGAAAATAGAAGACGTTATTAGGTGGAATATAGACTCAGTACACGTCAAAGCTACTCCAATTATAATAATTATCATTAAACGTTATTTAATACTTCTAATTGAAGCTGTTGGCCTTGTTTGATTAGATTTGGAGAATTTTTCACAAAATAACGAAGTACTTACTGATAAAGAATTATTGCTACCACTACAGCGTACTCAGGTCATGTTTCAAGGTGATGCAGCTACTGGTAGTCAAAAAAGTATAAACAATTGTGTAGAAGGAATTGACCTGAATGTTTCATCAAATTTCTGTATTCTAAGGTGGATGTACGAGCCCCTTCCCACTTCAGTTGGCCCAACTATTGATATCTTAGTTTTTTTCTTATCAAACACAAATAATAAAAATGTAGCAGGGTGTTATAGGTTAAAAATATTAACAATGAATATTTTGATAGTATATAGTAGAAAACACCAACTTTATCACTCCCTAATCAAATTTGCAGCATAAAAATAACAGATGTTGCAATTACAGCATATCAACCTATTTTCATTTCAATACAAAATAAGTCTATAACGCATAGGTGGCTATGAAAAATAAAAGCCATGACAACTGTTTTTATTAATCACAGCTGTCAGATTACGTTTAAAAATGTTTTGGGTAGTTAAGGTTTTCAAAATGGGTAGAGGAAAGGTTATTAGTGAGAAAATTCGGTTACTGATAATTAAATTTTTTAATTCTGGAAATCAAACTCAGAAATTGCAACTTTGTTAGACTTATCGCGGTACAGTGTGAGAAATATTGTTAGAAGATATAACGTAACTGGTTCAGTTAATATGCCGACCGAAGAGCATTAAGAAGAATAATCGTGAAAAACAGGCGTGCCAATTATTTTAAATTAAGTGCTCTGTGGAGTGACGCTGTTGGAAGGAGAATTTCGAGGTCCACAACTCACAGAGAGGCCCACAAACTGGGATTTAGCACTTGCAAGGTAAGTTTTCTTATAAAAAAAGTGAAGTAAAAACCCTAAAGTTGCACAACTTGTTTATAGGCCAAAGAAAAGCCACTATTAACTCCACTGCAAAAGAAAAATCGGCTTAGATGGCCTAAAGAACATAGACAATGGACACCTCAACAATGGTGTGCAATACAATGGAGTGATGAGGCCCGATTCGAAGTTTGTGTTGGTGACAGTCGCAGTAGAGTTATTCGCAAAAAATTAAGCATTCCATGTTGACTGTCTGAAGAGAAAAGTGAAATTTCCAGCATCTATTATGGTCTGGGGTAGTATGTCATCAAAAGGAGTAGGAAAAATTCATTTTATTGATGGAAATGTGGATACAAACAAATATTTGCAATTTTAGGAGAATCGCTTTTACCAGTGATGGAAGAATGTTTGACATCCGGCAAAGATTTTGTGTTTCAGCCAGATGGTGTAGCGTGACATACCTCAAAAAAGGCTATAAAATGGATGGAAGAAAATAATGTACCACTTTTGAAATGGGTTTTTAGCAGTCCAGATCTGTCACCTATTGAAACTTTGTGGCACGAGATGAAAAAGGTTCTACGACAACATCCTGCTCGTACAATCACCGAACTGAGACAAAAGCTTCAAGAAATATGGGATTGTTTTACACCAAATTTTTGCCAAAACTTGGTTAACACTATGCCCCAAAAAATTTCAGCCGTAATAAAAAATAAAGTTGATGTTACCCAATGGTAATCTTTCAATTGTTGCTTTGTTAACTTCGCGCATTTATTCGCACAATGTTTATTTGTTCAGATGTTCTATTAGTTATAGGTCTAAGTGATTACAAATATGTACTTTTTACGACTAGAGTGAATATCTAAAATGTTTTTGAGGAAATAAATTGTTTTAGAAGTAAATAGTTTCGACATGTTTAGTTTATAAAGGCATATTTTGGTACAAATCTTGAAGTGGGCCAACTGAAGTGGGAAGGGGCTCGTAGCATGATCAGTATTTACTCCGGTTCGTTTCATCAGTATTTACTGAAAATTCCGTACTTATGTTCTTATACATCAATAATTACTAACACCCGCAATACAAGATTAATAAATATCACCCTCGATGGCGAATACTGACGGATCACAGCAAATACTAATCGTGCGGAGCAACAAAAGTAATATTTCTGTTGATCTAACTGGGGTAATTTTAAATCATTGATATTCAAGCTTCTCATATAACATGTTAAGGACCATGTGCATCATATTGGTGCACAATCTGTTTTCTGCACAGACCGTGTGTCACTATGTGGGCACAGTCAACGGTAATGTTTAAAGTTATATGGGTCTAATAGGGACACAGATGCTTGAAGGATGGGCCTTGGGAAATAAAATACATTGGTCCAGAAGCAAATTTCAAAAATTCAGTGCTGATCAAGTGTTAATACAAACCAATTCAGCATGATATTCTTTATCGGTTGGGATATAAGCCTTTATACAAAGCGATCCAGAAAAATATAGCAATTGCGTAAAAAGTGCATCCAAAAAGAACAAAAAAAGTTATTATAAGCCTAGGTCCATTACCAAAATACAGGGTATTGAGTACTAATTTTGAAACCGAAAAAAAATATATTTCTTCGGAGAGTGTTAAGATAATGACATAATTTTGTACATGTAGTACTAACAGCATAGCCAATAGATACAAAAGTTTTCATTTCTGAGACTACTCCAGTGACGTAGATATAGGTAAATCTTGATCACTATAGCAGAAAATAGAAAATTGTTTTTGCGTCACTGACTTTTTAGAAACAGTGGCGTATAAAGTTACAAAATGCTGTATTTTGGTAGTGGGACATTTAAGAACCTCTTGTTTATAGGACTGTTTTAATTTTTGAGTGTACTTCCTACTTCAGAAATATTGCCACGCATTTCTGAATCACTCTGTAGAGTCATGCATTGGTTAAAGCTCCTGGACTCTACTTTTTCTTTGATTACGCAAACCCCATACCAACCTTCTTTGGTTTGAAGTTTATTATGTTAAAAAGAAAGACGTCTTGGTACATAATTAATCACGGAATGGTACAAACAAGAACTATCGCATGCCGTGATATGAAGATATAAAAACATATTAATATATATTAATTACCAAAACAACTTCCTCGAGAACATGCAAATTGGAACATCATGCTATCATGCTTATATATAAGTAGCTACATCTTCAAAGTAAATCAATTCACGTCATACAATTTTTCTCAATGTCCAGAAAGAGTTTGGCCCTTCTTGAGATCCATGCATTTAGCATGTTCAATCAAAGATTACGAATTTATTTCACTTATTTATGTTTTTATTTCTAATGATAAATCTTATTTTGTCTATACCTCGAATCTATGTATTGTTCAGAAAGAGTGACAAAACACAGTCTCACAAATGGGAACGTTAAGTTTGCATAGAGGACGCAAAGTCTACCGTGTTGATTGAGGTTGTATGAGCAGTTGATAAAAACCTAAATAATACGGTTTAGCCTTTGAAGACCTATTTATATCATACTTGGAATCACGAAAAATAGGTCCATAGCAACTTTTGGACTCCTATCAATAACAATAAGTTAATCAATTTTCTTCCGTTGTAGTACATAAAAAGTTCAAATTTCATGTACATACCAGTATTATCATCGTTAATGGTATGTGATCTCCTTGACATAATTATGCTGGATCAAAGATCACGACAACAGCAAAGGTAGACCTTCTGACTCAAAACATTGATTACAGTATTCTTTACAACGCAAAAGTTCTTGTGCATGTGGTATGCGCACATGTGCATATTCTTGTGTCACCATCAAGGACCTTGGGGTAATGTAAACCCTTAAACTTATACTCTGGTTTTCATGCGATGGTAGGTGGTACCACCTGAATCAACAGATGTATAGAACACCCTCCAGCAACAACATGTATGACGATAACAACATCCACAATTGGTGTAAATGGTATCAGTGATATATTCACTCTGTAGATGGATAGACCGCCAAATATGGACAGGTCGTTCTATTAATAAATTCTAATAATGTTCTATTAATAATAGAACAACCTCTCGGTTCTTTGTCTTCAATACAGGGTAAAGGATACACATCGATCGTATAATGAGGTATGGTATAGCAACATATTTTCGCGAGCATAGAGTTATGATAGCCCTCGCCAATCATGGGTGAAAATAAATTAATGGAGCCCAGCACCAAAAATTTCCCGTGATTCCAAAGCGAAGCAGCTTATGTAAAACACCAAGTGGACCAAGAAACAGGTATTTGAAAACTTGATTCAATTTGAAAGACTGTGGACAATCCGTCAGTGGTACCGTCGATCGGTCTGTTTGCGTTATATGAGACATGATGGATTCACAGTAACATAAACATAAACGTATATCAGAATTTTTAATTGTGCTTTCTGCACGGCCCCTCAAGAGCCTCATTTGTCGGTATAAACTGGAAGCTCAACATGATCTTGTTATCCTAGTATTATATATAAGCAAGTTTCTGTTCAGTACAGATTTTTTATAAACTCCTTTACCCTCGCTTTTACCTGACACGACCTAGAATGGTCAACCAATTTTGTGGACTTTTTGTTGGGGAATTGTCTGATGGATTGTTTTGATCGTTTTTCCACCACATCACTGAAAGGTTCAGGACCTAATCCAGCTCTTAGGGCTGTTGGAGTACTTTCGTGAAGCAGTTAAGAAAGCGTTCGTCGGACATCTGAGAATACCTGCTATATACAGGAACCGTAATTTTATAGGGAACGAAAAAAACCTTATCAATTTATACTACCGCCCTTAAGACTCTACAACTTTGGTCACAAAAAATAAATGACGTTTAACACATATTTAAATGAAGCTCTAATTGACAAAATTAGTGCAGATAGCTGATATTTCTGCTAACTTTCTTTGCAGTTATCAGATATTGTACTATGATGCACACATGGATTTTCGTGTTAGAAAAACTGTTATTCATTATATCAAATTAAAAGTTTAATGCTTTTAAAAATCAAAAAGATAATAGCATGTATTGGGATTTACACCTTAAATGAACGTTCAGCTTCTTTCCTTGACATATGGCAACTTGTCGTAAAACATGTGACAGTCCTTAGATATAACACTTATAATCTGAAATGACGGGTAGCTGTTTTGGTCTCATAGGCATCTCCTGAGGCTCGACACTGAAGTCTAGTTTCCCTTCAATTTATCCATCGGGATTATAACATAGTACTTTCATGTCCGCGACTACATTGTCGCTGCCTGGTCTAATTGTTGAGTATCGCTGCACCTCTGTTCGAGAGTAGTCCTTGAAGAAGTCGTAACTCAATTGGATCTCCTCATATGGCTCTGGTTTTGTACTAGTTTTGACGCCTTAACATAGTTATTTGGTAATTCAATAACTCTATTTCTCAGTTTTCTTTAAATGCAACTGTG